CAATTAGATGTTGTTATTTCATTTGAAAAGTGGAAATCCTAAACGAATGTGCGTCAAATTCTAGTGCGCCGCTAACGCCGACTAAATAACGAAAAATAATAAAAAGACTCAATATAAACAGAAAGGATATTTTCGGTTATGAATTCGAAGTGGCGAGAAGAAAGAAACAGAAGTAGTATATCTTCTATCTTCTATATATATAAAAATGGATTGCTGTTCCTTAGTCTCGCTAAAACTCGAGAACAGCTGAACGGATTTATCTTATCTTATTCTTGAAATGTTCGTGGAGGTTCAGGGAAGGTATAAAAGCTGAAAAAAATTGATTCATTACTGGGAAAACCATAAAAACAGCCCTTTTCTATTTCCCATACAAACGTTTTTTTGACATTAGATTTGACAACTAACTTTATGGCTTATGGAGATTTATGGCTTACAGGTAAACTCCAAAAATATAAATTAAAAAAAGTAATAGATATTTCTTGATTATAGGGCGATACTAAGTTCGCCAGGTCTTCTAGTCATTAATAAAAAATGAGCTTTTGATTTATATCAATTTAAAAATTGAATGTGACGAAGCGAATGACACTTTTATTTTAAACAAAAAACTGTCACACGGTGCGAGAAGTGCAAAAAAAATAAGGTTTTATAAAAATAAAGAATTAACAAATAAATATTTGTCTCTTTTTTTGTTTTTCCCATAAAATACTATATCTCTTTTAAATGTACAATATTTTTTACACCTTATTTTGGAAAATACTATATTTCGCTGATGAAATGTTGGCAACCCTAATATTTAAAAATAATAATTAAAGATACAAAAGACATGGCTGTATCCAGGGCTTTGTTCTCTTTGCCAATGCCATCTTTAAACTATTTGAGGCCCTGGGCACATTAGGATCATGGGGCCCCTATGACCTTGAGAAGACAATATTTAGTTACAATAGATAAAGAAAGACAAACAAGGTTCTAAATTTATTTTTATTTAGTTACTAACTATAAAAAAATAGGAAATATAAAAAATTATCTACAAAAGTAACTCGCTTAACTTAAAATCCTTAGATTAATTCTATGTTGATTGCAAAGGTACCCTTCTAGTTTTAAGGTGAGCAAAATCGTTAATCGCATCTTCAAAATCTATGGTATTGAGAATATAACACTCTACGGACATCAACGACAAACTAGTTAATCTCTCTTGAAGCATTGTACTTAATTCATTTTTTATTCGTTTCAATTTGGAGATGGACCGTTCTCCGCTGCAGTTAGTTACCATCATACTTCAAAATATTCTCGATGCAATTTCTACGTTAGGAAATGTGTCTTCAATTTTGTTTTGCTTTAATACATTATATACTTTTTACCTCTGCAATCTTTTATGGGAATATCATGTATCTCTAAAAAATTAAGATGGTCTCCGCTAAATACTTACATTTATGCTCTTTAATAGGTATAAATTTCAAAAACCTTTCAACAGGAACACAATCTTTTACGTATCGAATGATGAAAGTTAGCTGGTCAATATGTGACAGTCGGGCGTACTGTCAACGCTTATGGAAAAATATTTTGCTGATTTAACTTCATTTATAATTTTTTTTAGAACCTGTTTTCCCATTACTTCAATAAACTCATTACAGATATTTGCTGATAAATAAGAAATGTTACCCTTTCCAGGATTCCCAAATTTTGTTAAGTGATCTGCAAGAAATGGATCAAATTCACTCAATAATTCCACACAACCCAAATATTTTCCATTGTTTGGAGATCCTAGAATTTCATTGTCGCCTCGAAATGGAAGCCCTCTCGAAGCCAAAAATGTTACAACAGCTACAATCCGTTTAAGTACGTTTCTCCAGTAATCCACTTCCTTTTGATGTTGAGATATCTACTCTACCAACCGCTTTACTTCGTGCCAGATAAGTGTCCAGTCCAACCAACTTGTTCTTCACGTTGTCTTTTATTAGCAGCAGAAAAAGAAGACTTTCCAGTATAATTTTTACAGCAATTTTCATATATTGTCACAGATTTCTGATTTTTGAGATATTTCAAGAAATCATCAGCTCTTTCGATACTTGCATTAATTAATACCACGTTCAACAGTAACAACTTCGCTTTCAGTTAAAAGTTTACACAAATAAATCAATATTTATATATATGAATCTTCTTCTTCTACCTGGCAATTTCCCAGCTTTAGCCAGGATCTGCCTTACATGTTGTGAATAGTTTTGGCTATTTGTTTTTACGACTGGACTCCTGCCTGACATCAACCCCCTTTGGGAATCAGCATGAATCAGTGATGTCTAAATACTCTTAGAAAGTACATATAACTCGGGAAAATCACATTGCCCGGGCCAGGATCGAACCCGCACCCCCGAGTGGTGGGCCTTTTAACCACTAGACCACCACTGACGGTTATATATATAAAATATAACAACTCTAGATGTATATACGTATCGTACTCATGCATATTGTGACGATTACAACTTTTATAACTTTTTGAATCGTTATATCTCCGAAACGGTGTCTCGTGAGAAAAAAGTATTGATATGTTTTTTATAGATAATTTTATGTTCTATAATTTTAGTCCGAGGTATTTTTCTCATAAAACTTGCCGTTTTTTTGACATTTGACCTTGAATAAATTTTTTTCCACACACGGGAATGATGGGGAACTTTCAGCTATTGTTTATAATCGTGTTTTGAACAATTGTACCAAAATTCAGCTTGTTGCGAATTTATGTAGCACCGAATGTCCAATTTGACCGGACTATACTGGTCTGAAGACTGAAAGCTATTTAATGTGTAACTCGATTGGTTGATAGATCGTAACGACGGTTGAAATAACGTGACATGATTATTAATACTAGGTACTATATTATTATTTTACAATAAAAATATACTATTCTAACAAAATCTTTTTATTAATAAAAAGACTTCATAACTTGTGTAGTACATCAAATCGTAGGTTCAATAATGTTCTGTTTCTAAGCAGCGTGTCGTGTCGTATGTATGTCGTGTTGCGAGGTGTGAGTGGGCAACTGTTAATGCATGTTTTATGGCATTTCTTGAAGTCTTTGTTTAAAGATCGCTCGCCTCGAGAGTCTCCGGGAGATGTGTTCACGTTCGATGACTGACGCCGGGAGTCGGGACGAGGCTCGCTACAAAACGTACTTAGGTACCTACTATACGACACTACTCTACTCGAGAGAACGACTGTGCGAGTTGTGAGCTGACGGAGGTGGTACATTCATATCAACACAGCCGACCAAGTTATATCACCTATATACATAACATTTAAAAGTATGCATACAGTTTATTGTTACTATTTTAACATGTTATCCGCTTATCGACGCATTGTTCAATTCCGATACCTGTACTGGTGTTCTGGGTACTTGTCTACCAGCTCTGTTTTAAACTCTTTTACAGTAAAGAGGTATACACATCAGTCAGAACTCAAAATCAATTATTAATTAGTAAGATTATTTCAAATAAATTTAAAAATAGAACGACTACAAGAATTATTTAATACTACATAGAAGACCTGGCGAACTTCGTATCGACCTATAATCAAGAAATATCTATTACGTTTTTTATTTATATTTTTGGAGTTTACCTGTAAGCCATAAATCTCCGTGTTTTGAAGTGCGACAGAATGATTGACATATTAGTTAGTTGTCAAATCGAATGTCAAAAAAACGTTTGTATGTGAAATAGAAAAGGGCTGTTTTTATAGTTTTCCCAGTAATGAATCAATTTTTTTCAGCTTTTATACCTTCCCTGAACCTCCACGAACATTTCAAGACTAAGATAAGATAAATCTGTTCAGCCGTTCTCGAGTTTTAGCGAGACTAAGGAACAGCAATCCATTTTTATATATATAGATTGTTAAAATTATCTTTAAGACTTGTTTTCGTCTCTAAGACTTGTTTATTGTTGACAATAAATAAAAGAGTTTTGTAATTTTAACGGATATTATAATCGATAAAAGACTTAAAGTTGTTACATAGAACACAGAGTTACATTTTGATAATTAAAAAAAAACAAAACAAAATAAGCGACACCACTATTATTATTTGAACAAACTGAAAACAAAAAATTGTCGCTTATTTCGTCTCTTATTTTGTGAAAGAGTTAAACAAAGTAAACATGTACTTCTGATACAGTTTTCTTTGACACCAAATATTATTATATTTTCTCCAATGATGTTAGACTTTACGATAACACAAATGACAAAAACAAATAGAACCGAATCTGGAACAGGACATCAACATAAGAAGTGTGCGTTACTAACAGAAAGATTAACTTACAATAATTTTATGTATACAAGAATATATTTATAACTTCTCACAATTAACGTATGTATTAGTATGAGAAAAACTTATCCGGTAACAGGTGTAACTTTAGTATAAAGTGAATCTGGAGATAAGAATCAAACATTTAGGAAAAGTTAACAATTAAAACTACTTAGCAAAAATATATACACGTACGAACTATAATCTTCTCCTGTCTTTCAAATTGAATGAAAAGTATTAAAATAATAACACGTCGTCATCTCGCCTCCTCACTCGCTCGTACAGAGAGAACACTTTCAAGCGTTAGTGTTGTGTTTCAAGATTCAGGCGCGATCGTGGTCGTGGCCATAAATACATTTATATATAGAAACCTGTCACTTGTACAGGTCGGATTTATTATTTCAAAAATATTTGATCAATTTCTAAGAAGAAATATAAATAAATTTCTTAAAGAACTACACATTTACTTAAAATTTAAAAATCTATCGTTGTTAGTAATAATAATTAATTTGACGTCCACATGTCGGCCGTTCTCGGAACAATAAATAATATATATCTCAGTCACTTCTTATCGTGTATATCAGAACCGTATTAAAATCTAACATCACCGACTTTTATATTTTATGTTACATTTCAAAGTATCTCATTATTGGAGCGGAACATACTCGGTCGCGGACTGTGTCACAGAGTGTCCTAAGTCGGGCGGCGGGTGTCGTTAGCGAGCTCGTTTGTCGCGGGCGTGCGGTCGCAGGCGGCGGCGGGCCAGGCACAGCGCGCCGGCCAGGCCCGCCAGCAGCAGCGCCGCGGCCGCCGAGCCCGCCGCCACGCCGCGGAGCCGCGCGTACTGCGGCACCTGCAGGCCCGCGCCTCCCACCAGCTCGCCGCACTCCACGCTGGCCCAGTAACCCGCACCCTCCACTACTGGACTCACTTTCAACACGAACAATATTTATTTATCTTTCCATATATTAATCAATTAATATTGGTATACATTTCTATGTGAAAATGTCGATTTTATTGATTTGTAAAGTCATAGATGTGGAGCCAAGAATGGATAAAATCCCGTCGATAACTTTTGTACTTCTCTTGATACTGACCCAGAATATAATGTTGGTGCGTCGAGAAGACAGCTATAAGTTTGTGTTGCGGCTGGTCGGTGTCGAACCAGCGCACCGAGCAGAGCGCGTCGTCAGCGGGCGCGCGGCTCCAGCGGATCAGGGCTCCTTCCTCGATGAGGCGCACGGTGACCCCGAGCTCGGCCGACACTCCTCCGACCGAGCCGAGCGTGGCGCCGCTCCAAGAGGTGCCCGTGTTCGTGACGCCTTCTGTTGCTGTGGCCGAAACACCGGCGGTAGTACTTCCGTCTTCACCGTAATCGGAATCTGGGGTGATTAAAATTAAAACCACAAGTTTTAATCAAATAAAAAAATTTAAAGGATACAGGTTGTCTTCTTATATTACAAAACTGATAAAGATGTCGACCTTGGGTCCGCACGAATATCGGTTTACTGAATAAACCGTCCCCGATATGATCCTGTGACAGTACCCTCAGTTCGTACTCGGTGGCCGGGCGGAGCGCTAGCAGGGTCGCGTGGGTCGAGCCTCGTGACAAGAGTTTCATCGTACGCCACTCGCTGTCCGCTCGCTCGCGGTACCACACGTTGTACTCCACGTCGACGCCATTGTGTCCTGAGAATAAGTAACCATGTGTGACTGACACCGGGCCTCGCTGCCGAGGGGAGGAACAAGAACAAGCTTAACATTAACAGATACCTGGAACCCACGACAGGTGGATTGAGTTGGTAGTGGACGTGGCGGTGAGGTTGTAGGGCGCGCGCGGAGGCACGTTCTCTAACAACAGCTCCGTCTCGACGGCCAGCTCGTCGGCCTCGTTACTCAGAGAGCACACGTATACGCCGCGGTCCTCTTCTGATACTTGTGTGATGGTCAAATTGCCTTCGCTTAGCGAATAACGTCCTTCAGGCAAAGGAGTTCCATCTTTCTGTAAAAAAACCTTTCTGTAAAGTTTTTAACCTGTTGTTTACATTTTTTTACCTCGCTTGATCACTGATATTGTACACTTACCTATAACAGAACCCCTTATGTAGATAAAGTAAAAGAAAATGAGAATTATATAAGTTGTAAGAACTTAAGTTAACTTAAGAACAAAACATTTTTATTAATCGTTATCTGTTAGACAGTTCGTTTTTTTTCGATTTTCATTTATAGAGTGTTTGATGGTGCATTGATTTCTCTACGTCAAGTAAACTTTAGTAGAACCTGCCTTGATCCAGTGAATGGCTGGCGGTGCGTGATGCGGGTCCCGGGCGACGGCACAAGGCAACGTGACTGTCGCTCCGAGCCTCACCAGGTACAGAGGCAGAGGGCGCACGGCCAGCGCCGGGGGCCGAGCCACGCGCACACGGACCTCGGCCGACGGGCCCGCCGACCCCAGCACGTTGTAAGGCGTACATGAGTACATTCCCTCGTGGGATTCATCTACCTGAAGATGACCGGTTGTAATGATGTAATGTCTATATCTTTAATTTATACAATTTCCAACTCAAACTTATAATTGTAAACTCGGCCCACCTGATTAAAGAGTAGACTACCGTTTATACTATAAAATACGCCGGGTACGTTATAGGGATCGAATAGGAAACCGTCTTTTTCCCATCGTAGGTTTGTTAAAGGAGGATTCGCGCTGAAATGACAATCGAGGCTCGCCGATTTGCCATATGGTAAATACCTTTCTTTGGGAGAGTAGACAACTTTTGCCTTGTCTGAAAATGATAATAAACATAAGAGTATATAACAATATCTCTGATATTATTTCTAAAAGCGAGATGTTTCTTTACGAACATTGAACGTCTAAAAAGGCACTAGCGCTCTGGAGCTGTCCGTCATCTGCACTGATACGACACTCGTACTCTCCGAGGTCAGTGCTGACAGCCTGCCTCATGATGAGGCTGCCGTTGACGGCCAGCTCCGTCCGCTGCGCCAGCTCGGGCAGCGTCTCCACCGGCACCCCCTCGCGGTACCACTGCACGCTCCACTCCGGGCTCTTCGGGAGACATTCCAGCTCGGCGCGATCACCCTCGAGGACCGTCACGTTGACGGGCGGAGTCACGATGAGGTTGCCGCCTGTAAACCGATCGTCGAATACAGATAGACCGAAGCCGAAGGTTGAGATTCCAATCGATGAGAACGACATGTACTGTCACCGTCGACGTCGAGGTAATAGAAGGTCCCGTTGTTCCGAGCGGGCGGCGTGCGGTTGGGGAAGGTGACGCGGCAGCGGTAGAGGCCGGCGTCGGTCTCCCGCACGGAGCTGATGTTGACGGAGCCGCGCCCCAGCCCCGGAGAGAGGACCCTCCGCACGCGGCCGCCCCAGCGGTCCGCCAGCTGGGCCCGGCCCTCGCTGCTGTACCACGAGAATATCACCTCGCCCTGAAATAACATTACATACTTTAATAACCACCAAATCCTTAGCTTGATGCTACCGAGTCTTTAGCTTCTCTATGACCCTTTACAAGCGTCGATACAACCGATACCTTTGTTTCACTATGACTTAAAATCATATTTAGACGTATAACATTCAAATTTCAGATTCCGGACTACAATACGTAGTTATATTCTTAATATAGGAGCACTAACTCAGCCCTTCATTGCGACCATTGTGTCCCTGTGCAAAAGATCAATTTAATAAAATAGCTTAGGTTATGTACTAAAATCAAAATAAAATTTAATTAGACTAAATCGGTTTCGCAGCACCTGGCGTCCCAATATTTAACTATAGCAAGCACTCCATACACGCAAATAGGAACTGAATACCGTACACGTAAAACAGATATATGTTACACTGTTATTATTTTACTTACCCGCTTAAACCCAGTGTTTACAAACATTTATAAATCTATTCTGTCCGCAGTATACAGAAACATCCGCGATATTTCGTGTCTATTTGCTTAAATTTTGCTTTCCGCTGTGTGTTTATATCTATTTTATAAAGCGGACATATTAAAGACACACTATATGTTGGCGCCTACGTGTGCACCTTTTTTTTATATTGCACCTGCACTACATTTACTTTATATGACATCTTGTCTATATACGCTACGATAATCTACATAAATTTGTAATCCTTTTTTATCCGTGTACCTACATACGTCACTTCCTTTATATTTCAAATTTGAATATCATTCCGCTCCGATTTCTTGTCTTAGTAACACCTGTATCGTCAGATAAAAGTGTTTAGCAAAACCAAAGAAGTTTTCTTTAACCTGTCTAAATACCGAACACTATACATATATGTACATACATACATTAATATTCTGTCAAACCTTATCATCATTTTCATTTATTTCGAATTACGATGAAAAGTTGTGAGATTTTTTTATTTTAAATTGAAATAAGACTTTTAAGAAAATAATTTTATAGTATTTGAATGTTTTTAATCAAACTTAGAGGACAATGGACATTCGTATTGTGTTACAACTCAAGAGATAGCAATTTCCATTACACACTATTTTATTAAATACTAGTAAACCTGGCGAACTCCGTTTCGCCACCAGAAGGCTTTTATATAACATTTCGTTTGGTGATTAAAAGATGAAGATTTTTTTTGTTTTATATTTGAAAAGGAAAATTTTTATTTCATTTCACTACTGTAATTAATTCATTTCGATTACAAAAATGAAGTGTTATTAAGTTGAACTTCTCTAAGTAAATGAAAGTGAATCCAACGTAGATATCGAATCGAAGCGTTATACGTGTCCGCAAATTATCCGTTTCATTGAAATGCTCCTTTGTAAACCACATTTTTTGTGTTTTGATCCAACTTTAACACAAATAAAGCGTATGGTTTCCAAACTCGTGAACACGCAAAATATAACTGCCCATGTGAAAAACACTGATTTTTTAAATTTATCCCGCGTATACTAAATGGTTTTTGAGTTCAAACTACAAACACATTACCTAAATTTTTTTATTTTTATATAGTAGATTTCTTACAAATATCTAATTGTCATCCATACGTCATTGCATATTTGTCATTATACGTCAATTGCATAGCTGTCAATTGTGTTATTCCACGTTTTATAATGACTGACGTTTCATGTCAAGTCCCACGGGAATGCTGTCGAACGGGATAAAAAGTATCCTATTGCAATTTCCTGGTTCTAAACTACCTCCCTGCCAATTTTCAGCTGAATCGGTTCAGCCGTTCTTGGGTTATAAGTGAAGTCACTAACACGATTTTCTTTTATACATATAGATAATATTTATGGTTTAAATCAAGAGTTATGAACGCTGGTCCGTACCACTGTAATATCTCCACCAGGCTGTGGCCCTCGGGAGTATTATCATTGACATATTTGTTCCAAGTCTAGTTGCCATTAGAACCATCGCCTGTCTCTCATTGGGGGTATGAAAGCTAGTAATTTAGCGTATCTATTATTATTAATTTGTATACTTAAATAAATATTTATTAGGTACTATTTTTACATATTAGGAACATCACAACTCCACACGGAACTATGACGGTGTGAAAAGGTTTTTTTAAGTCGAGTTAATATATTAAAACTACAATGATTGTATCAATAGTTGTTTTTAATTTCTACAACCATATCAACTACTGATAGAAACAACTTAATGGTACTATAATGAATTCAGTTGCTTGTATTATTATTTGTTTCCGTTTTGTTTTGTTTTAAATATTCCTCTGGTTCAACTGTCTGTTGTCAGTACATAAACTAATTTCCGATTGTCATTGTTCGTTCGCTCACGATATATATTTGTAATCTCACGATATAAATTTGTCTGAAACTACTTCCTCTTTTACTATTCATCATTTCTATTAAATGTCTTAGGGGGCGTTCATAAATTACATGAGGTGTTTTTTGAAATTTCTGAGCCCCCCCCCCCCCCCTGTCTCCGACAATCAGTAAATGTATAGCGTCGAAGTAAAAATGAATATTTTTTCTATGTATAAAGTAAGTATCTTGTAATATTCATGATTATTGTGTAAACTGGTACATTATCGGTTATCTTTTGAATACTTAATCTGAGTAAAGGTGTTCGCTGATATTTCGGGATTCTGTTTTCGTTTCATTAATCTCGTTATTTTTCTTAATTCTTCAATTCTTCTGATGAAGTTCGTTCAGGTCACGTCTGGAGTCATTACGTACGACTCCTCAAAGCGTGTTTCTCTTCTTCTTTCGTCATGACTAAATCAGGAACTAAGTTGCTTTCTCGTATTATGAATCCCAGCGAGACGTTCATTGTGGCCTCATAATTATACCACAATAAGTTGGTGTGTATGTATGTATGTATGTATGTTGTATGTATTTATTTTGTCCCTTGTATTATAAGACACTCGGATTACTAGTGATAAGAAACCTTCTGCATCTTCAGTTCCTACATGAGCACTGCATATAAATTGTGGTTTTAAAATCGAAAATGAATTCAGGATTTTGTTTTCAAAATGACCTTTTCAAACCTCCGTGTAAAATCTCAAAGATAAATCTCAAAGAAGCGGTAATTTCTTCTAATTGTTCAATATATAGAATGAACGAGTGACGTTCTTTATACATCAGTATAGTAATTACAGCTGCCGTTCCCGTAATAGTTAATATTCGTATTCTATGGATGTTGACGATTTGAAAATAAAAAGTAAAGGAAGTAGCTATTAGGAGAATCACAATTTATACAAATATTTAACAAAAGTATAAAGTGGTTATGATTCTACCGGCAGGTCATATGTTAATGGGACAGGTCCATCTTAATGAACTCCTCCCTCATCAGCCACACTCGTTTATTTAACGTGTATTAAGTCGCTAGCTGCGTCTCGGAGCCGCTCTCTATTTGTGCCTACACCTAGTGGGTCATTTAAATTACACCACTTCCTGCTGACGCTGACGTGAGCTCATTCCTCTAACGAGACCGTAATCTGGTGAGATTATGGTCTCGATTTAACACTGAGCTCTGTTTGTGGACAGACGTGGACGGCGGAGGGAGCGCTGGCGTCACACACGAATAAACACTATCATTACATTTAATTTAATAAATTAAGTTTTACTTAAGAGTCCATCATCAATTTCTTTCCATTTCCGAAGCTGAATGTCACTCGTATATTTAGTTACATAAGTAATGTTCCCGGTGGCCGGTGTGACGTGTGTGATGTATCATACATATACTAGTCTATCATACAAATACTAATATAATTGTTATTAATCAATATTTTATGATACACAAGTCGGATCAATGTCATTATAACACGTTTGAGGTAACATTACATATCTGTGTGTTGTTTGGTCCTTACTCTGGTATTACGTTAATAATATTATACGAGTTGCTTTTGAACACCTCGTAACTTATGTGGCAATCTGTTTTGATTTTCTGACTTGGAATCAATATATGTATGTATATGTTAATCGGTTTCAGTCAAAAATATACCGTCAACCTCCTAGCGAACTCTAGCGTGGGTAAATATCCGGGACAGTAGTAATTGATACCGATGGACATATTTAATAATATATTAAACCGTCTGCCTGTTTGTCCGTGTCATAAGTTAAGGCGTCGACTCTAGCCGTTGAGTCATTTACACTAGTTTTAAATACATATTATATTGTGCGTGTGTGTGTGTGTGTTATTCTTTTATAAAACTGACCACCTTCATTACCGGAATGCAGCTTCCTAAGGAATGTCTGAGACCTAATCTAATAATGTTCTATTTTATCAAAGGCTGGGAATATTTCATTTAGTGATTCTATTCATGTGTTATGGTCTTGTATGAAAGGTCTTTGGAAAGTTATTTGATTTGATTTATAATTAATATATAAACATTAAGATGTGTTTCACTTCGTGTTCTTTGTTTCTTTGCTTTTTAAACTTCTTCAAGTGTTTATTTTTAAAGAACCAACAATAGCTGCCCGTGAGTTCTTTTGCAAACAGTCACTATGAACTGTGTCTTCGAGAGAATAACAGTTTAAGCTAGACGACTTCTTATTGTGGTCCGTTCAAACACAATTAAAACCAAACTTAATTAATATGTGCTGCATGATAGTTATTATTGTTTGAAGTACCTACAATTAATAGTAATACTATTTTATTCCTATAGTCTCTCTAAAGCCGGCCCGCTCCATTCTTTCGCAGTCCTTTAATTCGATCAGTTCGTTATGGCTGTATTCTTTATTCTCCAGAGTGTTCAGCGCTCCGTGTCCGGTTCTACAATGGCGGGCGCTCCCTCGACTCCTCGTCCTCAATTCCCTACAATCATGAATCAATTCACCTTCACTCCCACTCAATACAATACAATTATAATGCATTGTCTACGTGCAGACGCGCCGACGGTTAGCCACAGGTAGCCCTCCTACTACACACACACACAGACACACACACACACACTATGAAACGTTCAGAGAGAAACAAAACTAAATAGGAAAAGAAATCAAAAAAGATTACACAAACGAGGTGACGGAAGGAGATCGTTATTTACGTATTGTATTATGCATCTTTAGGCCTCGGCCTCGAATCTCGCGGGTAGCGGGGCGGCAGCGGCGGCGGCACGGAAACGCATACTATTCTCCAAACTAGCGGGCAACGGGCACGGAGAAATGTATGCGTTTTCGTGCCGCCGCCGCTGCCGCCCCGCTACCCGCGAGATTCGAGGCCGAGGCCTTACACTCAAACCGACTTAAATACAATGTATGATTGTTTACAAGGAGTGCAATTGGGATAAACCTTTTAAAGCTTCAGTGTGTGACTGTTTATTATAGTCTTAAAATAAATAACATTAAAATTACTTATGTAATAAGTATTTATTTCAAGTCAACTGATCTCAACTGATGGACTCAAATATATTTTCCACCTATTATATGTTGCATTACATACGACCCCAGGGTGGGGGTGATGTGCACGGCGCTCGTGTTGTCGATGTCAGAGGCTGGGGTCACGTGAAAGTGTGTCACTTATATTCTTCTTAGTATTAGGTATTGAATAAAATGTATGGTTGATTATTTGAATGTTTTATGTACTTTAAGTATTATCATTTATCCTTACTATGTTTAATTACTATAGAATATTTTCAGTTATGTGTTCCTTTGATATAAAACAAATGTTTCATTTTCACTGTGGTTTCATGAAACCACAACAACCATTTTCAGATTATGTTTTTATTTATTTTAATTATTTTCACAACTATATAGTCCCGTTGAAAGTTATTTTACGTTAATAGTTTACCAAAATTATTTATGTAAGACAGAAACTTCAATTAAAATATTTTCCCGTAGCTAGATACGAGTAGATATTGTAATGACAATTAATAAATCAAAAGCCGGTAAACTTGTTAATTAATTTTGTTGGCCGTAGTTCTTTAACTAATGAGAACCCTTAAGTCTTCTATAACAAGACAAACATTATGATGTCGGTGGAACGGAGACCTTCAGTCCGATCTCGAGTTAATAGACAGTGACTCGTGTTACTCACTCACTAGTTAATATGAGAAACATCGAAACTATCAAATAACAGAGCTGAGAATACTTATAACAACATTATCTCGTAGAGTTCATTAATGATTATGAAATCCATTATTACATCGTTAGTACGAGGACTCCCGAGTCCCGGCACTCACAGGCAGATCAGAGAGGAGTCGCTTGATAGTACAGGTTTCAAGAGACTCCACCGACCTGACACTCGTATGATATGTGACTATATACCGCTATACACCGCTTGGTTCAAGTTGTACCGCGCTATAAAGACAGGATAACAAATGTAGCAACTTATTAAGGAATATAAAGTGACCTAGACGGACATACACAATACATGTTATTAAAATTCCAGAATAATTTTTAAAATGACATATGTAATATTATTGAAGAATCTATCAAATATCATCAACAAACTATGAACAGTGTCGTGAGCTATGTGGCACCACTGGTGGGTGGTAAGGTGGGTCGGGTAACCCGATGTGTTCGTTTTATTCCATCCTCGTAATAATGAGTCGTCGGCGCTCTACTGCGCACTACTTAAAGACAAACTCGTGCACAAACAGACTTAACATTAGCAATTTAACGCACAAGCGACAATTGACTTCCACAGGAAACTTAAACACATGAAAAATCTGTTATTACTACTGAGCACTTCGATGCTTGCGGAAAACTGTAATGTAGGAGTATTTTATTTTTGAAATTATAGAGCCAGTAGCATCGGATAGATACTAGGTATATACATATAATGGACTAAAAGTCTAGCAGCCCACACCATGGTACTGTAAAATATCTGTTTTGAATATGGCGAAAGAGAAAATTGAAATCAAACAAAGATTCGATATTAAAGTGAAATAAGGATCGAAAAATGAACAAAACATATCTGATATTTAATAATATGATAGAAAGAATTGTGTCGAATATAATGCAATAGTATCTCGTCATTAAATTATAATAAATTTTTTAGCAGTAGGTATTTATATTTTGTGCAGGAATTTTTTAAATTTAAGAACTTACTATGACTACCTATTTACTTATAAATAAATTATAACATGTACGAATCTTACATCTTTCTCCCACTGCAGATGATAAGGTATTTCGTTTCCGAAAGGAAAATCTAGATGACAGTTCATGACGGCGTATCCACCGACGCTCGCTCGCAGGCGCTCGGTGTCGAGCGGCAGCAGGGAGCAGCACGCCCTCTTCACCGCCGACAGCACCAGCAGCGACGTGAGCAGCAGCGGCCACGGAGCAGCAGCGCACGACATGGCACTCGGACACGACACACGACCGTCCGCCTGAGACTCGAGCTCGCGATACACTGTGTAGGGGCCAGTGTGTGACTGACGAGCCGCGGACACTCGGACCCGCCGGACCTCGCGAGCCACGAGCGGCTACGTCTCGCGACGGGAAGTAATCCGCGGTCTGCAGTCGCCACGATGAAGATAGTAATAACTTATACAGAGACCAATACTAGAGACCCATAGCATATTTATAATTGGTCTGTCGAAAAATATGTAAGTATATTATGTACTTAGTTGATCATAGATAGGTATATTAGTTACGCACACATAATAATATACATTATTTTTTTGAGTACTTTTACGTGTGAGTGTTAGAGGAATATTCAATAATTAAATATTCTTAGTTTTTATCGACAATTAAAAAACAATCATCAGCACCTTAATGAGAAATGTCTGGTCTTTGGAATAATACGTTATTTGGATTCATGTTTAAATCGTCATCAGCCTATCAGTGCCCACTGCTGAGCCAGGCCTCTTTCTCACATGGAGAAGGTTTGAGCATTAATCACCACGCTTGCTCAAGACGGGTTGGTGATTTCAAACTTATAATTGTGAAACTATAAGTCCAGGTTTCCTCACGATGTTTTCCTTCACCGTATGTCAGTGATGTCTAAATACTCTTAGAAAGTACATATGACTCCGAAAAATCACATTGGTACTTGCCAGGTTTGAACCCGCGCCCTAGGCAACGAGAGGCGGACCCTTTAACCACTAGGCCACCACTAACTTTTATGTTTAAATCATGAAAACCATATTAGAAATTTATTATAAGTACCTATATGACAATGGACATTAATAAAAGCTTACAAAATCCATTTAGGTCTTGTGTTTATTGAATAAACCGTTTAAAATTTCTTATGAAGATAAATTTTTAAGACACTATACAGTACGAACTTCTTCCACTTGACTCCATACAACGTCGGGCAGTCCGTATTGTCAGCTATCTCACGCCCACTGACGATCTAGAACCCCTAAGCCTGTGTAAGGCTTGTGTGCTCCCGTTGCTTGTTCTAACGTCTATGTGACGGGAAGTGTTCCGAGGAACTGTTTGATATAGTGTCATCGTCTACATTCCACCATCACACTTCTCGCCGTAAGGTTGTATTTCATCCACATCATCTAGATGCATTTAGTTGTAAGTCTGTACGTACGTCGCAGTTTTCACGCACGTGCAGGATGAGAAATGACCTTCCACCAATGTTTTCCCAGAGAGCTACAATATGAAGTTTTTCAAACATGTGTTCAGGTGGCTCCTTCACAAACAAGGCCGGCAACGTAGCTACAACACCCCTTATGTTGCAGCTATCCATGGGCGAGGATGACTACTTTCCATCAAGTAGACCGTCTGCCCGTTTAAAAACAGTTATTCAGAGGTTATCCTACGTTAAATAATTGGTCAAGTGGAATTTTGTCAAGTAGTTTTAAAAACGCTTATCTGAACAAATGGCTTCATTCACAGATACCTATACATTATTTATAGGATGTTGTGTATGTCAGAAGTAATAATCATACTCGATTAATATTATCAATTTTGTTGTTAAGTTAGAAATAAGTTGACTAATTCAAATAACTGCTATTCTTAGTTCATTCGAGATCGAGTGTAGAAGTAGTTTCTCACAGTTACTTCTTCAAAATATGACGAAAACAATATAAGACGTACATATAAACTACTCCTTGTATCTCATTTTAAGTGAATTCAAAATTCTTATGAGAAATAAAGTTCTTTATTATCTAAATTATTCGAAAAAAAATTTGTCCTACAAAATGTATGGTTTGATCGAAGAATCCCCCTCCTTTCAACATGTATTGATAACGAGGTCATTGCAAATGATTACTAACCAGCTGATTTTTTTTAAATTTTATTAGTTAATAATTATATAATTTACCAGTAACATTGTCCTACAAGTATAAAATAATTACTATCAAGCCGAATCTTCGTGAGCTCCATTTCAATGAGACGCCCAACTTTTTCTTGTGCGATAATTCTCGATTGTGGTAGATAACAGAGGTAGCAGGCATTAAATAATATGTTGATTTTATAATCCTCCAAAATTTATTACTAACAGGATTTTTTTATGTTAAATCTTATGATAATTATTTAAATTATTCAAAACAAAAATTGTCCTACAAAATGTATGGTTTGATCAAAGAGACCCCATCCTTTCAACATGTATCGATGACCTCATCACGAATGATTACTTACTAGCTAGATAAATTAATAAATTACCAAATTTTAAGTATTTAAAAGATGAAATTCATCTCATTATCAATTTAAGCATGAGTAAAAAAATTTACTTAAACATCAACGACATTTATGCCAAGCTTGGAGATCAATTATCTTGTTCACTCGCCATATGCCATATTTTTACAGGGAATGATTATAATCCTGCATTTTTTCGTAAGGGAAAAAAGAGACCTTTTAGTATTCTAAAAAATATATTAATTTTTAAGAGGCCTTTATTCAACTCTTACCGATGGAAAATACGGCACACAACATCGAATAAGTTAGTTCAAATGATATATTGAAGAGTATGTATATAGAATGTATCCTTTAAAAACAAAAAAATAATATCAACAAAGGACGGTATGAATTATTTGAAAAATGGTATACTTAAATCAAAAAAATAAAATGAATAAATTTTAAAACAAAAATCGTAGGATATGATTCTTCTACCACCAAAACAAGAATTGTTGCAAAAAATTAAAAGAACTGCATTCATCTGCAATATATGGTGTAATGCACACATGCGGTGCCCCACAGAAAAATTGTGAGAAAATTTTGGGATGAACAATTATTTATGGGAATTATGAATTTTATTGGTTTGATGGCCCCCAAAGTCCATATTTTGACGAATTATCTTCTGACATACAAGGTACCCTATTAATACTATTGTTAATTATTGATTTATTATGTATGAATGCGCAGGTTATAAGTAAACGAAGTCTGACTTAATGCTATTTATTTTATATAGATTACAAATTTGGATGTTGCACGTTCAATGCTTCGTTACGCACTGATGGTTTCTTGACCGAGTCCCCCGTTCCCGCGTCGTGGCTAATAGTTTTTATGAGGCGTTTATTTTCTTACTAATCTGGCTCCAACAACGTATTATTATATAATTTTCTAACTTTTGTCATGTTATTACAGAGCCATATCACAAATGAGGACAATGAAATAAATAAAGGTAACAGCGATGTAAGCAGCGAAGATTCATCACATGAATCTGATGAAGATTAATTTTTGTTTTTTTTTAATTTGTAGGTACTCATCTCACTAAAAAATCAAGTTATTTTTATTAAAAAAAAGAATATTTTGTTTATATCCTATGTTACAATTAAAAAAAACGAAATAATCACAATTCCTGTCGGATAAGTGATACATAACTGTTTTTTTGTAGGACATAGCTTCATTTGGGCGGAGATCACACTAATCTATCATGTTGCATTTCGTCCTACAGCTAGTAATGAGAAAAATGTTCTTGTGGTATCAACCACTTTTAAGCGTAGGACCGGGATTACGTACCAAGCAACTTGAAGGATAGTGTTATTATTAAATTATATAAATATTAACTAATTAAATTTTAAAAAATCAGCTGGTAAGTAATCACTTGCGATGACCTCGTTATCAATACATGTTGAAAGGAGGGGGATTCATTGATCAAACCATACATTTTGTAGGACAAATTTTTTTTCGAATAATTTAGATAATTATCATAAGATTTAACATAAATGAATCCAGTTAGTAATAAATTTTGGAAAATTATCAAATCAAAAATAAAAAAAACAGCCATGTATCCTGGACTAAATCACACACAACGATTGTATGTATGTAAGATATTAATAGGTGAGTCACTAAGTAATTCGTTTCATTGGTTCAATAAATAATAAAAGTTTTGGTTACAAAACATTTTAATTAAAGTTCAATGTTTAAAACATGTCTTTGTACAATACATTGATAACTAAGTTCTATATAATTCTTAAAATATGTTAACTTCTTGGAATATTCACTTACATCGTAATTAAATGGAAAAAATATTCTGGATTTCAGAACACCTTTAATTTCACAATAAAATTTAAACAAAAGGTAAACCCTTAGTTATATGTAGAAGGGTCTCTCTCAGGTGTGTGTGAGCGGGCAGGAGACGCGGTGCCTTGTTGTGAACATTTCCATATTAATAACAGAAGTGGTTAAATGCTTCAGTTAAGGATTACATATAGTTAGACAGACGCACACAATCTTTATTAAATGCTATGATAAAATAATATATTTCTGACTGAGCGTTTTCAGCGGCCAGCTGTTTATCCCTGCATGATGAGGTGAACAAAGTTTTCATAATTAATGTTTCCCTGGGAGTCCTCCTGGCCCTGCAACAGCTGCTCCACCTGCAGAAAAGATTCTCGTTTGTGCATTGAATGTTAAAATACAACAAATTAGGTCCATAACATGTGAAGGTAAATCATAAATTGACAAACTTCGTCATCACTCAGCTTCTCCCCGAGTGTTGATAGAAGGTGTCTCAGCTCAGCCGAGGAGATGAATCCATTCCCATCCTTGTCGAAGTGGCGAAGACCCTCGATGAAATCATTGGCTGTGTCACCGCTGCGGGCCTTGGAGATGGCCTACAACAGACAATGTTGAGAGTTACATCACTTATGTTTTTATCTTAAATACATTATTCATCAAGGTTTTATATTTGGGACGCGATACATGTATCAATAATACATTTAAAATACATTAATATAATATTCCTTGTTGTTTTGTGCTTGATAACAAAACAGTTACCGTTACAATCAATGAATATTACTTTGCTTCAAATAATGGCCATACCTGGTATATAGGTAGGAAGACTTCAAAGGATATTCTCTCGTCCTGTTTGAGGTGGAGGGTGCACTTCTTCACATCTGACTCGGTGGGGTTCTGTCCGAGGGCTCGGAGAGCATCACCAATCTGTGCCACATGGATCTTACCATCACCACGGGAGTCAAAGAGCTGGAAAGCTTCCTGGAACTCTGTAATAATAAGATAGATATTTCAAACAAATCAACATTTCAATTCAAATTACACAATATATATTACATGATTAAAACATGAGGATACTTCATCACAAACATAAATTCCCAACACTAATATGTATTTTAAATAGAAGTAAAGTTTAGATATGTAAAACAAAAACATTCCTTATTAACAATACTTTTATTTACCTTCTACTGAAGTAAGTCTGAGTTTAGTAGGGGGCTCGTACATGAACATGTTGCACCGATAAAAAGCCACGACGAAGTGTGTAGCGCACTCCGTAAGTACCGAATGTCCTCGTACAGAAATGTTAAAAATACTAACCATATATGGAAACTAGGGCGTTTGCAAAAGCCGACGCTTTTAGTGAGAACGTTGATTGACGTGAGTCATAGGGCACTGCGCGACTGTCTTTCCTTCGATTCTCATGTGGTGAGCGGTGGCAATAATATTAAACAGCACCCAATATACACCACATATAATTATCAAAAAATTATGACTCACCTGCGAGTTGATCTTCTGAGTATCCGGCCTAAAAAGAAGTAATTTGTATAATAACTTGTAATATATATAAAAAAAACAATCATACCAAAAGCTTATTTTACCATAGTTATTTTTGTTTTGTTTTAAAAAGTGGATATATTACAAGAAACTTTTCGTAAACCAACTGTCACATAGATACAATAACGACTTATAAAACATGAAATGTGACGTCAACAGTCAAAGTAAATAAAATGTCATTATGGAGATTTTCAAATATGATAATTAATCAATTACATTTTTATAGGATTGTCTATACAACTTCAAACAACATAAGTTGTCTTTTTTAATATTAAAAAATATAATTTCAATGTATGGTCCGATACATTTTTTGTACAACAAAAAATGTACGTAGAAATTAACAAGACTTTCTTCAAAATATTTTCTGAAAATTCAAAAGATATTAAAACAAAGTTGTTTTATTAACATTATTGTGTGACACATACGTCTTGTATTGTTTTTTATGTCTATGCCTTTCCCAATTTCGAAATATTTGCGAATTTTTCTAAATTTGTGACAATTTATCTTAAATTATTTTATAATACTATCATAAATTGTTAACTACAAAAAATCCCTATTAGTTATAAAATATTTTCTTATCATTCTGTAAATTTCTGAACGTTGGCAGCCATTGATCTATTCGTTCAAAAAAAAAAAGCCGATTGAGCTCCTACGAACCGATGGCGCGGTCTGGTTGGTTGGCGATTGGTGAACGAATTGTTGAGAGAAGGTAAAAGAAAAATGGCAAAATGGTGTACAAGTCATTTATAAGGTTAGTTATTTTTAATTTGAGATTCAACACCTTTCATTATTGCTAGAATAAGTAATTATAAATAGTAGAATTGAAAACTTGACATATTTTTCACGGTTAGCGATTACCGTTATCGGGCGAGGTAGCCGACGGCTGCGTTCGGCACAGGCTTTGTTCGGCTAACTCCACGTGCCTTCCGCCATTTAGAATATTTTGGGGATTATTTACGTTTATAATTTGGTTGTAATGCGGTTAATTTATACTGAATTTAAAAACGGTTCGACACGTTAAATATGATAATTGGGCTGTACGTTTGATAAGTTTTGGATGCTCGTAGGCGATGTGCGGCGTGGTCGTGATGGTCATTCTCCGTGCGTCAGCGCTCTGCAACTTGCCCTCTGTTCAGTCGAAGCGGATTTCCAGAGAGAGGTTCCATGGCGGCCGGCGGAGAGTTCGTCGAAGGCTGGCTAGTGGCTCAGGTACTGGGCGAGGGGGCCTATGGAGAGTGAGTGCTGTTGTTTTCATTACTTATCGAATTCAGTCATTGCAATACCTTATGTAAATGTGTTGACAACACCTAACATGTCCCTTCAATTTAAAACAATACATAAATTAAAGACAGAACCAATTGTTACACAAATTGTTGGCAAAATATGAATTTGTTGTAACATAAGAGTAGTATAAATTGCACATCTTGGGCATTTGCTGCTAGTGAAGTAAGGCGGTTCCCTTTTACTAACTAACAAAGAGGGGTATACAATTGTTGTTTAATATCTAAGAAGTTAATCTATATCTCTTAGTATATGGATCGGGTAGACTATTATAAAACTTGTACAAGTGTTTCACGGTATATGTTTATCTATTTTGACGTGAGTGTGTCATTTATGTTGAGGAACAAATCAGTTCCATATATTTATATTTAAAGTTTTGGAAATTTATAGACTTTGAACGGGAACATCAAACATGAAGTAATGCTCCTGTTGCTTGAGTTGATACTACATACAAGACTAAAAAATGTTGTTTCTTTTATATGTGGATAGTCATTATTACATTAAAGGTCTCTAGATGTAACAAGTAAACGGAAGCTTGATAAAGTGATCCATCAAGTGACTTCCTTTATTTAATATACATTGTACATATTTGTATTGTTTTTGTAAACAATGATTTTATAACATTAAGTTTTATATTATCTCAGATGTATTAGTTATTTGTTATTAATAATGTTAGGTTCTTATAATAAACAATATATCCAGCACATAATGAGTGTGAGTGTATCGAGCGGTCGTGCTACGATACGCCGCCGCTCGTGTTCGTGTTGTGATTTTATTAATTAGAGTCGTGGAAGCAGGAACTAGATTTGAGATTGAGTGCAATCTGAATGAAAAAATGTATGATGTTAGCGAGACGAGGCGCATCCTTGAAAGTTTATCCACCCCGAGCGGTCACTGCCGCCTCAGGTGACGGCCGCCGAACCGCGTTTTTCTGCTATACCTCTTGTAATTTCGGCTCACGTCTTTGAACACTGGTACATTATTATACTGAAACGAGACGCTACTCACTGTTATGACCGCAATGTATTATAATTTAGATTTATATATTTCTTTCAAACAAATTAATTACTTCCACCACTTTACGAAGGACGCGCAACTATAACAGTTGGAGAGGCGTTTCGTTACGGTCGCTCTACACGATACACGGTGCAGGGTCCGGCTGCTGGTACACTCGCGGACCGGAGCCTCGGTGGCGCTAAAGGCGGTGAGGGCGGAGGCCGAGGGAGCTGAGGGCGGAGCCCGGGAGGCCGCCCTGCACCGCGCGCTCCGCCACCCGCACGTGCTGCGCTGCCTGGGCGAGCGGCGCCACGGCCGCCTGCACTACCTGTTCCTGGAGTACGCGCAGGGCGGGGAGCTGTTCGACCGCATCGAGCCCGACGTGGGCATGGCGCCCGCCGCCGCGCGCCGCTACTGGCGCCAGCTGCTGGACGGGCTCGGGTACCTGCACTCGCGCGGCGTCGCTCACCGGGACATCAAACCCGAGAATCTGCTCCTCGACGCTGAGGACCAGCTCAAGATTTCAGACTTTGGCATGGCGACGCTGTTCAGGTGAGCCTCCCGCCCGGTCCGCCGTCCCCCTCGTGTCCTGTCGCTCGCTGACCGCGCTCCGTGTGTCACAGGCACGGGTCCCGCGAGCGCCTGCTGTCCCGCGTGTGCGGCACGGTCCCGTACGCGGCGCCCGAGGTGCTGCACGCTCCCTCCCGGCCGTACCGCGCGCCGCCCGCCGACGTGTGGTCCGCGGCGCTGGTGCTGCTCGCCATGCTGGCCGGCGGTCAGTCCCTCGCCTCACCCGCTCACGACACACGTAGCCACTCCTCGCCGTGTTACATGTCTAGTATTGAGTGGCTCCATTTCCAATGTGTGTCCTTTCTAAATACTAAGAGGAACGTTTCTGTTCACGCCCCTCCTATCACTATCATGATCGTGGGAGCAGTCTCCCGTGTTCGTTCCACAGCATGCGTCTCTATCACTAACCCGCACGTCTGTCGTCTCGTCTGGGCGAGTCCCGTCTCTTTGGTATCCTAGCTGTAGGCGTCTCCGTCGCATCCTAAAGTTATGGTACCGAAGTTACGAGTCACGCCACTCACTACGAGCCGCCCCCGCACCCGGAGTGAGTCGCCAGCCCCCCTCCCCCTCCTCCTCTTCTCTCCTCGATGGCTCATCGCTCGACCGTTACAGAGCTGCCGTGGGAGCGAGCCGCCGCTGACGACCCGCGCTACGCGTCGTGGGCGCGCGGGGACTCGTCGGCCGGGCCGTGGCGCAAACTGGAGCCCGGCGCCCTGGAGCTGATGAGGCGAGCACTGGTCGCGGCGCCGGCGCGGCGAGCCAACCTCGAGCAGCTGAGGGAGGAGCCGTGGAGCGCGCGGGACGAGCGGCGGGAGGCGGCGCGCGGTGAGTGAGTCCGCGGGGCCGTGTCAGGTACTAGGTGACTCTGAGTGGAGAGGCTCTCAGAGACGCCTCGTGCCTCAGCACGGGCGCGCGGTGGCGGCGAGGGACCCGGCGGCGGCGGCGGCGGACCGGCCCGACGCTGTTCTTTGGCGATTTAGCTCCATGACGTGTTGCGAAGCTCATAAAGCTAGATTACCAAAGCACTACGTCGGTGCCCGACCTACACTCGAGGAGCCCGGAGACAAAGAGCATAGTAATAATACTGATGACCTCATGGAATTGTCCACGAATTTGTTTTTTTTATATTGTAGACTGATATATTTATATATATAAGGAATATTATCAAGGGCATTCCAAGCAAACCACATTTTGTTTCTCTGAAAATACAAAGATTTATTTTACTGGACACGCCCTTACAATATTATAACAAGTATCGTTTAATTATGACAATTACACTTTACCTGAAAATACACAGAAACGACATTAAAGTCCACTAATATCGCCTCCTCAATTATATCCCTTAGTTTATCTCTCTACACGTTTTAATAATCATAAATTGCACAAAAACTTAAACATAATTCACCATTAGTGAATAGTCACGCGTCTCTGGCCGACAAGTTACAATCGCGCGAAGCGCGGCAAATTTGATTTTAATGAAATGTCATTTCATTACATCTCCCGCCCTAAGATCGAGGATTCTACCTAATATAATCTAAACTGCGTACCTACAAATTATCTTCACATTCGTTTTCTTCTATTATGTCTTCTACTGTGACAGGTTGTAATTTTGATATATGTATGGAATAAAGTTGATTCTGTTTTTCTATTGCCAGTGTCAACAATCTTATAAATGGAGTTTGATATTTTCTCTATTATCTTGAAAGGGCCTATTTTTAATTCGTCTAATTTTTTTCTGTTCAGTCTATTTCCACTTTCTACATACATATACACTGTCTCTTATCTCGAACTCTTGCATTTTCCTATTTTTATCAAAAGTTTTCTTATTGTACTTATGGGATTTTATTGTTTTCTCTAATGCTAATTGTCTGTCAGCAACCCACTTGTCTTTTTTTACTATTGTTTTAAAATACTGACATTTGTATCATCCAGTACATATTTTGGTGCGAAACCTGTAACAGAATGGTCTGTTTCATTATATTTCTGTATACATTCTCTTGCCACAGTTGTCCATTTTTTCTTATTATTTTTCTCATATATTTTACATCTTATTTTATTTACTATTGTTTGGTTTAATCGTTCAGTCCGTTCGAGAATGGTGTATTCACAGCTGTAAAAATTAGTTTAATGTTATTCTCCTGCAAATATTGTTTAAATTCATTTGAATTGATTCCTGGATATTGATCTGTCATAATTATTCCAATCTTATCAAGTATTTTTTTGTTGACTGTGATCCTCCAAAGCCCCCTATAGTATCTATTGACATAATCTCAAATGGTTTTGTTGCTGGTTTTGACATTAATCCAAATTTTCCTTGACATCTTGATTTATTTTTTATGCATATTTCACAGGTTTTTACAAATATTTATGATATTTTTTGTTAGGTTTTTAGCTGTATTGTATATTGGGCTTATTTTCTTCTGCAACTGTCTGATTCCGATATGGCATAAATCTTCATGTACTTTTTTTATAATTTTTTACTAAATTCTTCTGAGAGTATATTCTTTTCATGTTTTTTTATTGTTTTATATTAAATTTTGTTTTTGTATGGTAGATTTTGTTTCTTTTCTTATATTGTTTCATTTTTCGCCTGGTCTTCAACTATATCTTTTATTTGTATTAAATTAACTATTTTTAGTAATTCCTCCTTGTTATCTTCCGATTCTAATGCGGGATTTCGGCTCAAACAGTCTGCTTCTACATTTTCTCTAGCAGGTATATATTTTACTGTAAAATCATATTGAGGTAATATGTGAGGTCCCTAATTCTTCGTCTGTCCTGCATTTAATATTCATGTTCTCAAGAGGTTTGTGATTGGACTAAATAGAGAATTCTTTTCCAATTAGCCAATGTTGCTAGTATTTAACTGCTTCTTTCATAGCATGTCTATTTTAATATTGCCCCAATACCCTCTAAAGATGCATCTGTAATTTTTTTTATTGCTAAGTCTTTTTCGAATATTTCCAACACAGGCTGAGAACATAAATGTCTTAATTTGATTGAATGGTTCTTCACACTTATCTGACCATATAAACTTTTAATTTTTCCTTAATAAATTATGTAATGGGTCAAGAATAATTGCACTTCTTGGGATGTATTCATGGTAGAAGTTTATTTTTCCTAAAAATTGTCTAATATTCTTTTGCGTCTTAGGGATTGGAAAATTTCTTATAGAGATCAAATTATCCTTCAGTGGTCTTACTGAATTGTTCAGAATTACATGACCGAGGTACTTTACTGAGTCCGAAGCAAAGGTACATTTCATAAATTTCAATCTAAAGCCTTCTTTTATTATTGCCTTTAATACATTTCTTATATGTTTTATATGTTCTTCAAATGTGGTAGAGTATATCAGGATGTCATGATATAGTTTACAGAGTACCCTGTGAGATCATGTTTTCTTAGAATATTACTTAAAATTCTCTGGAAAGTAGCTGGTGATGTTTTCAGACCAAAAGGAAGGCAGGTCCACTGGAAGTGGCCATCTTGTGTGACAAATCCTGTCTTACTTGTATCTTCCACCCGTAATGGTATGGCCATGGTATGACCAAAATGCTGAATTTATATCCAGTGTAGTAAAATACTTACAATTTCTAGTTTTGATAATCAGATCATCTGTCAATGGGAAAGCTTTAGCTTGTGGAACAACAATTTCGTTTAATTCCCTGAAATCTATACATAAGCGGGATTTTCTATTTTCACCTTTTTTAAATGCCAATGTCACTGGAGCAGCGAAAGGACTGTAGGATTCTTCTATTAAATTATTCTTTAGCAACACGGATATTTGCTCTTCAATTTCCAATTTATCTTCTATTGTACATCTGTATGGTCTTTTACTACAGTATCTATTTACTAATAAATCTATGTGGGCTTCACAACCTCTAACTGATCCAATATCATACTTATTCTTGGCAAAAATTTTTTTAAATTCCTTTATAATTTTTTCTATCTCAGTTTTCTTTTCAGTATCTAAATAGTCTGTCTTACAAATTCTTCGGTTTCTATGTGTTCATTAAAATTTATTGCAAATGTTTTTATACTATTTTCTTCAATTCTGTTATGTTGAGACATTCTATCTAATTTATTTGTTATTTTCTTTTGTTCTATCTGCAGGTCCTCATTTTAAGTTACTTTGAATTTTTTTATCATATCTAATCCAATTATAAAATCTTCAAAATCTTCATTTTCTATGACATATACATCAAGCTCTTCTTCTAAATCTAATATTTATATTTTTATTGTTATCAAGCCATCTGTTTCCTTCACACCATTAACCATCTTCATATATGCTATATTCACATTGTCCTCCTTTTCTTTTACTTTAATCAGTCTTGAATTTATTAAAGATACCTGTGAGCCTGAATCGTAAATACCGCTCACTTCTAGTTTATTTTCTAATAAAGCTTGATTTTGATTAATGGTGTACTTATTCGTTTTTTTTCTCAGTATTTATATCTACTTCAATAATGGAGTAGTTATTTACATTCCTTTTCAGATTCATTTTTATTTTTCTTAAACCAGCATGTCTCCGCATGATTTCTAATTCCCTTGTCCAAAGATTCACAAGTCTTACATGGCTTCTTTCTATTAGTTTTATTTTTAAAAGGAATGTACTATTCTTTATTGTACTTGAGTTTTTCTTGTACATCATACCTTTATATTTTCTTATCCCATTGAACAAATCACTAGTGTCATTGAGTTCATCCCTGTTTAATTTATTTAGGATAAACCCAGGTAAACCTGTTGCAATAAGATCTATCATTGTTTTGGAGTCTACTGATTTGTTTATATCTAGTATAAGCCTTTCCTTTTTAAAGCATAATCAATTAGTGTTCCTTCTTTATATCTGAATGTGAGAGCATATATCACTACGTCCCATCTTTGGTGTTAAAAAGTTTGTAAAAATTTGATTTTCCATTCAATCCATTCAGCCTTTATAGTAAGTTATGTTGAAGCGCTCACACTCTTTTTCAAAATTCTCAATCCATTGCATTGCATTATAGTTCTTGCTTGTGAATTTGTCAATAATAAACTTTTCTGAAATGTGTTTCAGGTTATGTTGATTTTCTTTCTTTGTAGTGGTTTCTATTAATTTTTCCAAGATATGTTGCAAATTGTCATTTTTATCTATTGTTTGTTTTGTACTTATTTATTCTAGATATTGATCTAGAAAACTGTATATTATCTTCCTCATCTATATAGGTTTTCTTAAGGTCCTCGTCCAACTTTATCCATATTTTTACTTAGATGCCTTTTCTTAATACTATTTTTTACTTTCGAGAATGTGTTTTTTTTTTCATAATATATGTATGGTGAATCACCAGCTTCAGTTCATCAGGTAAAACATAACGTTTTCCTTCTTCTGTAGTTATTGAGGTTATTGCTTGCACGTTAGATTTGCCCTCATTTGAGTCTATCATCGTAAACTCAAATTGCAGCTGGACCATCTTCTTTTAGCTTACAAAAATTTCGTTTTATAAGGAATATTATCTAGGGCATTCAAAGCAAACCACATTTTGTTTTTCTAAAAATACAAAGATTTATTTTACTGGACACGCCCTTACAATATTATAACAATTATCGTTTAATTATGACAATTACACTTTACCTGAAAATACAAAGAAACGACATTAAAGTCCACTAATATCGCCTCCTCAATTATATCCCTTAGTTTATCTCTCTACACGTTTTAATAATTATAAAGTGCACAAAAACATAATTCGCCATCGCCATGACGCCACTGTGGTAACTCTGTACAATCAACAGAGTAGTATCATTTTTTTGTTAATTCCTTCATTGTCAACGTCAAATAACAACTTTACTTACAACTCTTTAAATAATCACTGAAATAAAAGTCTATCAGAAGCTCCTACTGAACATATCGAAAAACAAAATTTTCCACGTTACACTATCACCAGTATTAAAATGTTAACAATAAGATTGAGCGGCCGCCATCGTTCACCGTTTGAGTAACGAAAGTCGTTTCCGGTCCGACGGAGCAGAGTGTCCGGCGCGGGCGTGGTGCTCGCAGCCGGCGGGCGGGCCGCGGGGAGCCGCCGACCCCGCCGGGGAGCTTAGCGCCGCCGACATGGACGCGCTGCTCAGCCACTCGCAGCCGGCGCAGGCCGACGACCTGCTGCCCTGCTCCCCGGCCGAGCCCGCCGCGCGCCGCCAGCTACCGCCGCTGCAGCGCCTCGTGCACCGCATGAGCCGCGTGTGGCTGCGCGTGGACGAGCCCGCCGCCCTGCGCGCGCTGGCCGCCGCCCTGGACGAGCGCCGCTACCCGTGGCGCCTCTTGCAGCCGCGCATCCTCGCCGTGGAGTGCGGCGGGGACGTGCGCATGCGCGCCTGGGTGCTGCCGCTGGGCGGCGCGGGCGAGGCGCGCTCCGTGGTGGAGTTCCGTCGCTCGCGCGGCTGCGGGCTGGCCTTCAAGCGCCGCTTCCTGGAGCTGCGCGCGGCGCTGGACCCGCTGGCCGCCTGCGCCCCGCCTCACGCCGCCGTGCTCGAGGCGCCGCTGCACGCGCTGGCTCCCCCCGCCGAGCCGATGGACACATAGGTCACCTCTTGGATGTCCTTGATGATTTTGTGATTGAAAATAAAATATTTTTATACTGTACGTTGTTTTTGAAAATTATTTAATACCATCCATATCTAATTATGTACTCATTTATATATTCATTTATTAATTTACCAAAAAGAAAAAATAGTTACAATTAAAGTATTGTGATGTACAAAGGATAACTTATCTCTTAAAAGAGATCTCTACTAGAAACACTTTTTGATAGAGGAAATGAGAAGAGAAATGTGGAATAAGTACATTAAAATGAGAGAAGGAAAAAATAAAAGATGTATATAGATATATAAGAATACAAACCAAATTATAATAGTATAAAATACAGATATTATACTTACATAGATATATACATAAATATACACAAATAAATATAATATATACAAATAAATATAATATATACAAATAAATATAATATATACATAAACATAACACATTATATTAAGGTAAAAGTCGTCTCTTAAGTCGATATTTAAAGGCAAATGCACTTGAACTCTCTTTGTAAACAGAAGGTGGGAGTGAGTACCAAAGTTTTGCACCTTGGACGGAGAAGGATTTACTATAGAATTTAGTATTAAAGGAGGGGAATTATATTATTACTAAAATACGTAACTTGAATCGTATGAAAGCACTAAACTTTAAAAGAGTTAAAACAAATTCTAAACTGTATCGTTAAAAAAAAATGATATTAATAACTGATGTAAAATAAACATAACGGATTCGTCAGCTTTATTTATGGATCGCTATAGTTTTAGGATGAGTCTTAAAAGGTTATCTTAGCTGGGGAAATCTCATGATGACGTCGTTACATTTATTTATTTATATAAGGACAATTTACAAAACATACACCATTTATAAGTTTTAAAATAAAGATAATTAAATTTCTAGATAAGTGCTGTTTCAGTTAAAAGTTATCATGGCATGCCAAAGGACAGTATTTTCTATTAATGTAACACAACTTTAACAAAAATACTACCAATACAATATAAAATGTAAATTACAAAAGACAATAACAAATTACCAACTTATTATTAAGCAATCAAAAATAAATAAAATGAAACTTTTTTAGATAACAAAAATTTTATAGCAAAAATAACAAACAAACAACTGTAATACAGAACCTAAACGCAGTGGCGGCGTAAGGCGTGGGCGACGTGGGCCACCGCCTACGACCTCGCGGTACAAGGGGCCTCGCGCCTCAAAAATTTTTAAAGCGAGAATTAAAAAAATATATCTTCTTCTTCTTCCTGGCAATTTCCCAGCTATAGCCACGGTTTGCCTTACATGTTGTGAATAGTTTTGGCTATTTGTTTTTACGACCGGTCTGCCTGACATCAACCCTCTTTGGGAATCAGAATTACTTAAACCTATTTTGATAAGAATAGTGTGTTCAATGTTTTAATAATATTTAGCGAATAAATAGATAGTGTTTAAGTATATTGATTGCCCCCGAAAACAGTGATGTTTTTTATTTGTTTTTATTTTCTTTGTGATTTGTAATATACCAGTAGGTACCTGTACTCGTCTATTTTACATATAGTAACAAATATTTAATTGGTGATAAGTACATAACGCAGTAATTACTTGTCTATAAAATACTATACGCTTTATAATATCTTTTGAAGGAAACCAAAGCTTTAAGTGTAAAAAACGCATCGACGATTAAGTTTTTAAAACTAGCTGGTAATAAGAGCTTCAGGTTGCCATAGAATAGGTCCTCGCGAACTCTGTCTTGCCCACATCAAATTTAGGTCTTGCCCCGCCACTGCCTAAACGACACAATATAAACGTGATCGATGTTGAAAGACTGGAATGTGATCCTTATTTTATTATTTTCCACTTACAATTAATAATTTATACTGGGCGATTTAAAACTAGCTATAACTTTTGCTTTTAAATTTTGGCAGATTGTCTGAGAAAATGTCGATATCAATTTCTTGATTTTTTATAAGTAGGTTATACTGTCTAGGTACCCTACTCATGATAGCATTCTATCCTAAATTCGTTTTTGAGCGTGGAATCGAAAAAGGAACGTATTTTCTCGCACGGGGAAACCTTGACTCTCATCACCCTCGAGAGAGACAAAGATGAACCAGAGGTAGGTTAATTCCATAAACAGTTTATAATAGGAGTACAAAGTAACAGAGTAGGGTTAGGATCAAGTAAGAAAATCCAAGATACTGAGATATATATATAGTCTTTTATTCAGCAAGACCAGAATGCTAAAATAGGAAGGTGATTTTTACATACCATTAGCACTAAAATGGCGCACCTTAATTCATGATTGGTCGCAGCATTACTAAAATTTTATCTCATTGCTTGTCAAATGACTCCCAGATAAGAGTAATTTAGTAAAATGGGTTCAAAGTGCCGAAAAAGTGCTATATTTGTGGGAAGGAATTGTGAACTGCTAAGCGTTTGTTGGTGAGATATGTTTACATCATACTAGGGTTAGTCTTTTGGTAGCCAGAAAAGGACAATTACCACAAACGAGAGATCAATAGCCACTAAGGCGGTAATATCCGACGTCAAGCCTTACTATATACTAACTTAAAGAGGCTTAGGTTTATACTATAATATAATAGACACGTATGATAAACAATACGAACTTTGGGAAACCAGTATCCCCAAAGACCATGCCATCAAGGTCAATAAGAATTACCAACTCACCAGGAATAGATTTGTAAGCGGTAGAAGTGGGAGGTGTAACAGCTAAATCCCTATATAACCTACTAAAAGACTTTGGCCTGACCAGTTCTTATATCAATTCATTCTTCTAGCGTCCTTCGATGGCGGCCTTAGTAGATTCTTTCCAAATTTGATACGGTACAGAGGGAAGCATGAAATATTATTTTAAAATCTGGTCTTTTTGGTCTCCTAGCACCAGGTTCCATATCAATTTATCTGTTAGGAAGTATGTACTCTAAGAGTTTAAATTTAGATTTATTAGATATATATTAATGGTTTAGAGTGACGAAGTCGGGTCTTTCAACCAGCAATAAAAAATATTAATGTAATATATAATGACGTTGTATTTCGTGATATTTATGTTAACGTTGTATAAAGTGTTCACTTATTGTTAGTATGAAATTAAGTCATTAAGAACGAGTGTAGTCTTACCTTGTAGTCTACCTACTCTTTTGAACTCTTGAGAGGATGTTTGCGAGCCTACTGTTCCTGTATATTGGTTAATGTCTGCTGGTGATTTTAGAAAAAGTTTTTATTCCTTTCATAATTTCTACTCAGTCACGGAGTCTTGTTGACCATTTTAATATCTTTCCAAATTTTCTTTCATAACAACATTTACTTCAATAAACGGAAAATAAATTAATTAAAAAAACTGACTTTTTTTAGGGTAACTTACTTAAACTGTTTGAGTTTTTGTTTGTTTGTAAATTTCATTAGATATAGTAATTTTAATTTGTTAAAATAAATCCCGAACTGAATGTTGGTAGCGCTCAATAACGAAACGCATAACTTTATTGATTGTAGGTACGTGAAATATTTATTAGTTGCTACTCTTTGAAAATAAAAGTAAAATATTTGCATTAAATCTCACTTCAATATAAGGACAATATCCTAATATTATACCAAATGTAACAACGACATTTATTAAACTGTTAGCGCCATCAGTTATATTTTTGTGTGAGTTAATAACAAAACTCCAATTTCTTTCGATAGATGTCGCTCCAATATAATCTTTAATTTACACAAAATAAATTAATAAACGCACGCGTAAACGTTAATCATTTGTCATTATGTCTGAACTCATGGCAACCATTACCTATATATTATAGTATTTGACAGGATGGACAATAAATGTTTGACAACTGACAGGTACAACCCGGTTCGTTTGATCCTGGAAACTCGGGTTCGATCCCTTACATGTTTTCGTCGAGTTTTCTTTTTTAAGATTTATTCTGGTATTCGCGTCGGAGACAAATCCAACGAACCAAAAACCATGAAAATTGGTCTAACCGATTTAGAGTTATAGGTGTTGTACCAAACACGACTTTCTTTTATAAATTCTTTTATAAAATGAGATTAACAGAGATCTCACAAATAAAACTATTAATAAAAGGTGACTCATTTTTAAATAAAAAAGTTTATAATATTAAATAAATTTATTACAAAATTCTATCACTCGACAGCAATATCCAGACTAGGATCTAAGTCGCAAACTTCTAATTGTAATGAGTACACGAAAATATTGAAGCGGCTCAGAGCGGGCGAGAAGTCTGCGGACCAGAGACGGCTCCCGCACGCCCGGCCCAGTCTTCAATATTATTACTTACTTACAGTTTAATCGAATACTATTTATACATGAACGTTGCTGCCACAAGCGTCTTAGTATTATTATACAAACATCGTTTAATAAATTAATATAACAGAATGTACATCGTTGGCTGACGGAAGAGTTTGAATTACATTCACTCATAATGACGGAAGATGAATAACAAAGTCTAAACTAAGATGTGCCATCGCTTAGTACAAATAAGAGCTACAGATTGAATTAAGTCTATTGGTAAAAATGTAAAACCACGATACACCACTTACATTATACTATTCATATATTATTACAAACTTATTTTCCTTTCCAGAGGACACATTTCTATTGAACAAAATACAAACATAAACTAATATTATTTTTATATTTACTGTTACTGATGTGGTAGTAAGGTTCGGGCGCCGGGCGAGGATAACACTCCGGCGGCCGTTAGCTAATAGACACGACTAGGGTCACCGCTACCTCCAGCACACACACACGCACACACACACACACACACACACACACACACACACACACACACACACACACACACACACACACACACACACATACACACACACACACACGCATCATACACAACACATACACAACACGTGTGGCGAGGAAGCACAGGAGGACTCAGACACGCTGGATTAAGTCACTGATGCCTCATGCTGGAGACTATGGACATGTGTTAACATTTTGTTCAGATGGCATTCAATGGGAATTTTTAATATTAGGCCGATATACAGAGAGGTGGTAGAGGTACGGTGCACTGGAGCCTAGAGGTGAGGCGTTACAGACGAGGGGAGTCTGAGGGGAGAGGATATGTTTACTTCGTGCTATTCAAATAATATTATACATATATAATACAAGGTAAAGCAAGTACGCGTTTTAAAAAGTTTGTAATCAACCACATTGCGAACGTTAAAAGTTATTTTATTTAATAATCCTTAATATGTAATTCGACTAGCGCTCGCGACTCGTCCACCCGCCACGGACCGGTCACTGGAAGGCTGGGCCTCCTTCGGCCTCCGCTCTCCGCGAGCTCGTCTTCCTTTCGCTACTTATAGGGTTTTGGCCTTCTCTAATAACTCGTTAATGAATTTCTGAAAATAACATCCCATCACATCATTCTGCTCGGGCGAGTTCACAGTGAATACACAACAGTACTAGAGGAACCCTTACATGAACATCTTTTTGAGGTTTCTTAGCTTCGGCCAGTAACGTCTGTAAGATAGATGACAGCGTCAGTACATGTGTGTGAGTACATGAGAGCTAGGTGTCTGTGTGAGCCTCACCGTCAGATGTCTGCGGCGCAGGTCGTCGCTGTCCATGTCCAGCAGCTCGTCGATGTCAACCTCCACCTCCGTGCTCGCTCCCGCCGCCGCTCCCGCTCCCGCCGCCGCCTCGCTCTGTGAACACACCGCGTCACGTCACGTCCTCGGCCAGGAGCCGCCTCCACCCCTCACACGGGCCCGTCCTACTCACCGGGACCTCGTACAGCTTCTGCAGCTCGTCGTAAAGCCACATCTCAACAGCTAGTCTCTTACGTATGAGGGCCATCTGGTGGCTTCCATATTTCGCCGTTAAAAACTTCTCCCGCCGCTCCTTCACCTGAAACCGAGTTACAATATTTAATATTTTGAAATGTAATTATTTTTCTCGCCTCGCTTGTCATCAGTCAGATGCTATCCCGTTATGAGTGTCGGGGCTCGTCAGTAGTCGTGTAGCGTGACGGTTCCGATGCTCGCGTCCTCACACAGCGGGGCCGGCTCGGGGACTGCTCGTTTCCGTTTTGACTCAGCACACAGGTTGATGTCTTGTTGATACAAAGAAAGTTACCTTCAACCTTACATACGGCATGCGTTGTATGAACCACGCACGAGATTGTTTTGCCACCTACCATCATATTTATATTAAACCAAATCAAATCTGTGGATATGACTCCGGTCACGATGCTCACGGCTTTGTGACTACAATACGTTTACAATAAATTTATATAAAGTGATTTTATGTTAACTTTTCTCATCAAAATGTCTTCGTGACACATGTTACATAAACTTTAACAGTTGTGTTTTAAACGCATCATTCGTAATTGTTAGTATCGAACCTCGCCCTTGTCACTAAAGTTAACGTGAAGTCCAGCTTTAGCCGGCGATCGTTCGGTGGGAGACAGCGCCGGGTGTTGAGGGTGCGAAGGGTGCGGGGGGTGCGGAGGGTGCGGCCGTGAGAACCCTCCCGGTGCCGCCACGCCGCACTCCATGCCACCGCCGCTCCTACTGCTGCTGCTGCGACTCTGGAGAACGAAAAACAAAAGAACTTCAATATAAAAGTACGGCATCACTTACATACCACTCTTCCATTGTGAAACAATGATTTAGAATCTGATAGACTTTCATTGAATAAAGATCTTAACCAAAGAAAGAAATGAAACGGGTTCTTAGAATATTTCATTTAATAACTCTAAGTAAACAATCAAATGTTAAGAGTCAAAGGAAATGATATGTTTATGAAGGGGCCTGGGTAAAGTGAGTAACGAGAGATAGAAACACTTCAGACTGATCAGACTGATCGTTACACTAAACTTTACTGAACGCCTCCTTGAATTGAATTAACATGAAATACTTTCAATGTGTCTGGGCGCGTTGTTTCTGCAGTTTCTCTGTAGGAGGCTGCCAAGTGACCTTTGAACTCGTTCCTACAGCGCGCTTTATGTTAATCTAATATTGAACAGCTCGAGTCGAGGCCACGGAGTATGGTGTTAACGAACCTTCCTCGTTCCGCTCCTCCGTCCTCAATAAACATATCACCTCGTTGCACTTCATATAACATATACAGTGTATCTACGCTGTTGCTGTGAGAACCTTAAATCGTTTGATCAGCTGACAAATAAACTTTTATTAAATGCTGTAGTAAGGTCGCCGTTGGATTTGACTTGTTAAAATTTCATGTAAAGCGGAAACGCTTTACATTAATCTAGATGGTAGAATCATTATTTTTGTAGTGAGGACAGTCGTTTCCTTCATCCTCCTCTCTCTGTACCAGAACGGGTCTCGGTCTTCCTGCGAGTAGAATCTGTTGCACGCATCACTAATAATACGTAGTAGTGTCATAACACATAGCCCATAGGCGTGCTTTTATCTTATTTGTCTTCTGTTTAATGTTTTGTGTTACACTGCGATATGTTTACATTTGATATGATACAGGTTACTATCACTTGTTATAAATAGATTACCAGGGGGAGGAGGAGGTGGCGGAGGAGGCGTGTGATAAGAAGAAGTAAGTATATTATATGAAATGATTATTGTATCGCGGAGTACGTACACACACTGCTATGACGGATGGTATACATGTGAAGAATGTATCAATACTTACAGCACATGGAGTCAGCTTCAAATATACCAATGTTATAAAAATAAATAAATAATAATCAGATATATATGTATATATGTATATTACAGAAAAGATTAAGAACGCATTTAATGTAAGAGGAAGTTTGTTTATATATTTTTTGTTCGTGTGTGTGTGTGTTTGAGATTGAGTGTCGTATGATAAAGTTGTTATTAAATCATTACACAAAACATAAACGACGAGCCGCGGAGAACATTCAATGAACAGATACAGAAACAATGAGATAAAATGAAGGGAACGGTCACGGTGGGATGTCTTAGAGACGCGGACGGTTCAAAACAAACACGAACCAAAAGTTGAAGAAAACATATTGAAAATACTTTAAAGAGAGCGAGCGGACGAGGTGTGGCCATTGATGACGGTCAGACATCAACAAGCTCTTGGATACAGGTACGAGTGTGATTAGACAGGGATTGTAGTCAAATGTATGATAATGAACGAGCAGGCGGGTACGAGTGTTGTGTTCACTCGGATGCTGTATGTACATTAAGACGTCTTCGTGTCCTTTAACAGATCATCATCTCAAATTTTACTTCAGCTAAAAGAAAAGTTAACAGAATGAACAAAGAAACAAGGACAAAACAATAATATTATGAATTATTATATTCTGTAGAAAGGAGAGGAAGTCAGATTCATAAACAAGCACCTAAATATGTTATGCTGACCGTCATTTGTTGATGAATCTTCTCTGATGTCTTTGACAGCTATATATTTTTTTCGAGTTATTCGGCTCGTAAGTTTGTGTTATTATCAATGTTACATTCATTTAATATAAGATTCATTTAATATAAAATCTTGTATAATTTTACCGTCAGTGGTTCAGCGTCATATTAAATTTCTATGAATACTTCTTGATATAATACGCTTGGAGGAAAATAACACTTTGTTTATGTTGGGGACGAGATAAGACGCCCTTTATTCAGGTGAGCCGGTTCAAGAGTTAAGCATCACTGAAGGAGACGAAACAATGGAGGTACGAACATTGTTCGCCTACCACTTAAAAAGAAAATTAACAAAATAAAAATAACTAAAATATGCTTGGAACGTAGGACACGAAATATTAATCCGCGGGCTGACTGCATAAGCGATTATGTAAGTAGTATTGTGACAATTATTAATTATTATTAATGATTAATGTTAATCTGTAGTTGAAAATGGGCCGACACTACTCGTACACGTAAAATGTCCTTTTTGAGTCTAAGAACAACACATGAAACTGCTACAAGTTCGCATCGTAACTATACACAAGGAGGGGATCAAGTATTTCATTGATAAATCTTGGAACATGTTTGTTCCCCGTCTTTAGCATCTTATGTCATCTTTACAGTCACCCCTCTCCTGTCACTCGCCATCTCATGCTAGACGAAGCTACGCTTAAAGCATGTCTTAATAACAACTACCAAATAAATAATAATTATAATATTAGTGAGTGGGAATATGAACACATTGTAGAGTGTGCAGTATGGAAGCCAGCAGTCTCAATAAATTACAATATTATTTTATAATGCGTCGTATAATTCAGACGATGAGAAGGTTGCCTGAACCAATTGTTAGTAGTGATCGTTTGAACCAAACAGTAGTCGCATCGTCCTCAACAATTGTTTATTTTATAGTTTTTTTAAATATAAAATTTGTTTAGTATTAAAAATGGAACATAGTAAATAGAGATATATTAAGAAACGCATCTGAAAGTATCATACGAGTGTGAGAACTGAGAGTCTGTGTGGGGACATTAGACGGTAAAGGTACCGCTTGAAGTAGGTTAATGAGAACACATGCACGAGTGTTCCGTAAATTGGATGAGAGATGTGGAACATTATAAAAACATTATACAGGAATTATAAGGCCCCGTACAGAGTGTTACTGGCAGGTACATACACATGTTGCGAGTGTTGCTGCTCACTCACATGATCATTAATTGAGACGGTAACAATGAACCTCCGGTTGAGAGACAGCAGTCAGTCAACAGTGTCTAATTAATAGTTCGCGGCAGGCGATCGATATCGTCGCGACACTGAAATCTTTGGAGGTTTCACAGCTTTGTGTTTAATCCAATAAATATAACGAGGCAGTGGAGGGACCCAGGACGGACTGTGCTCCGGGCTGTGGAGCGGACTGTGGAGTCGGGAGACGCATCATCACGACCGAGTGCAGCGAGTCAGGTGACGCGAGGAGATAAAAATAACAAAACATTCTAACACAATATATTCGAGAACATTTGATAATAATATTGTAACTGAAGGTTCACATTACGTCATAGTAATTATTATAAGTAACTCAGTAACCGGCACATCAGTTACTGTCTTATTACAAAACAATGTTCTCGACCGCGACGAGGAGACGGCAGGCAGCGGACGGCGGGGGTCAGCAGCTACTTACTATCAAAAGATGTATCAGAAGGTTGGAATGGAATAAGCTATAAGGGATTCATTAGATATGTTTAAAAAATCCTTTATAGGCGGGATTTGAAACACGTTTATTTAGAGAAGCTCCAGAGAGGACGGATCACGGAACGATCAGTTCTATACGTTATATAACATTATTTACGCCTTAAAGAATCGTCAGCTCATTTAATACTTTAATTTGTATAAACGAATATTTTAAATCAAGATAAATATTTGTATTAGTGGTGACGCGTGACGGCCGGGTGCCGGAGAGTGACGCGGCCGGCGGCCGGCGGTGGGTTTTCATTATTATCTAGTACGCTGTTGGTTGTGTAATATATAATCTGTACGTACTCACTGATAATATTACATTTCACAACGCGGGGATTTATTTACTTTAGTTTTGTTATATTTCGCTGACGCTCAAACGTAGCTCTCGTCGTTAATTAGAGACGCTTCAGTTTCATCATCCGGTAAACTCGGCGGACGAGTGGAGGAAGCCGCTACACGTGACGATCACGACTATCACACGACACTCACCTTACAACGAGGTACATATATACATATATATATATATAATATACATTTAAAAGAGAACCTTGTGATACACCAGCACGAGCCACAGACGCGGCCGACTGGGAGAATAGGAACCGCTGGGTGACTGGAGGAGTTGATGCAGCAGCGATACTTGAACTCTGTGGGTTATTATTATAATGTAAGATGACTGTATCGTGATGCTGCTGGTTTGTGCGTGTGTGTGTGTGTGTGTAAGTACGTCACAACAGCATCAGTCGTGAGTTCATCGTGTCGTACCGATATCGTGTCGGGGGTCACTGCCCCCGGCCGGCCGCTCGCTCGAACTCGCTCCTCTCTCGAGGCACTCTCAGAACAATAACACAACTGTTATTGAGACAATTGATGCACTCGACACTCGCCACTCAACACTGTTTCCGGCTCGCAGCGGCACACGCGCGACTCGCTCGCTCGCGGACCAACACTGACGATACACCACCGAGCGCGGAGCACGAGACGACGACTGAGGACGGAGGACGGAGGGGAGGGGCGGGGGTGAGGGGTGCGGGGTTACAGGCGGGGCGGGGGGTGGAGGGGGAGGTCTGCGCAGGACGCCGCCGGGTCCCGGAGAGAGTAGCGCGAGCTGAGGACTGACCGGTCACAGAGAGACGAAGATACAGGCAGCTGGAGACACGAACACGAGGTCGATGACTGGCTAGACACGGTACACATCATATACATTGTTTGTTTTCACTCGCTGTTTGAGAGGTGTAAAGTTCCGTTCGATCGCGATATATGAAAAGATTACTCACATTAGGTAGCGGAGCGGGGTCGCGTTCATAAGGAAGCTTTCGCTATTTTCATATGATAGACAAATATACGAACTACACAGACGTTAGGAGTACATACATCCAATACACGCGGACACACGAACGATAGAAACTACCAGATACGGAATATACACTACAGACCTTAAAACAAATACAAATATATACAGATTCTGAATCATTATTTTTTTTATAATATTGCTATTAATTAGTGTAAGTACCGTAACCGTGGTCCGTGGCAGACAACTGATGCTTCGTATTGTTTTCTGTTCTGTCAGGAGCGTCGTTTCTCAAAGCGACTCATACTAAAGTTCCAGTAACGTTTCGAATCAGTTTTCTGATGAATCTTTCACTCGCGTTATATTAATAAGTTGTTTCATTTATTGACGACCGACTGTCACAACTTAGGATCTGTTTGAGCAATTCGTAAATAAAATTTTGTGATATTTTTTTTAAACACTAGAACTAATATTAACTGACAAACAAACAGTCTCATAGCTATATTTATCTACATGTAAGTAGTTAGTATTGTCCAGTATAATTATTTTTGGTACTTAACAATTCAGCTTAGAGTTTTTTTACATGAATTGCGTCATTATTAAGATAGATACTAGTTTAAGATTTGAATATTTCAATAATAGATAGTACACAGTATAGACAAACAAGTGTGAGTGTAGACTCTATATGTTATCACATCACTATAACAGCGTGAGGGGAGTCCTCGCCTCAGTTCTTCACTTCACTTCACTTCACTCAGTCCGTCCTTCATGTTGTCCAGTGCCCACGAGAACACACTTCATAAACAGATTCATCTTAACGAAATAAATATTCTTAAGCTGAGCATGTGACAGAGACGCTCGGTTACTATCAAACAAAATCATCTCTTCTCCTCCTCTGAGAGAGTGAAAGTTTCTCTAAAGGAAGAAAGTCAGAAAACCTTTATGTATCCAAGTCTTAATGTAGCTGGCGTGTATTTTATAAATGCATCGAGTAAAATGTCCTTAAATCTTAATTCTTTGATCAAAAAAGGAAATTATCATGATAACTGAATGTACGACAACATATATTTTGCATATTAGTAAAAGTTAGAAGGTATTTTGTTACCAAACAAGTTACAACACACGTACAAGTAGCTACTTCATTATTATAATCTTGTGTCACCTCCAGCTCGATGACTGCTGTCTCGACCGAGGCCCGGATTCGGACGACAACACACACAGATTTTACTAACATAACACATTACATATAAAAGGCTCGAACATGGTAATAAGTATTTAAAGCTGAACACTCGATGTTATGCCTCCGTAGTGATCGTAATAAACAGAGTTCCTCGTGTAACATATCGACATTCGTCGGTGTATTTGCATCTGCATCATAACCTGAATACTGAAATAACCCGTCTCCTGTATTACTGAACCGGTTATATATAATAATATGTGTGGTAGTGTGATAGTGAGGTAATGAGGCAGCTCAAACACGACACAACACGAGGACTCTGCACACAACCTGCTGCAGCAACCATATTATAAATGAACTTTTACTACAAGTTCTAAGTACGAATAACAAATAGATTCTGGGAACACAATTATAATGCTATTAAATTAATCACTAAAAAATAAACTATATAGAAGAGATAAATTATAAGTATGGATTTATAGTTAAACTGTTATAAATTTTATTAAAATATTATTTAAAAATAGTTTTATCAAGAGCGTCCATGTATGATGTAAAGACAACACGTTACACGATGGCCATCGTATACACTAACACTCGTCAATCTGTTATAAATACGTCTGACGGCTATTTTCTTATATTCTACTGTAACTTTGTAACGAAAGAATAATAAAATAGTACAGTTACATTTCTATTTGTTAAAATTTCGACATGACTCAAAACAAATAAGCATCACGTCGATCAAACTGTGAGGACACCACTAGAGATATGACTTGCAAACAGAACAGAGGTTACTGAAAACAGACACTAGTGTTGGCTTTGACATCAAGAAGATTGATTCACTACAACACTGAACTGATCTATTCGACAATGAAATCACGTCATCGCAATTAATATAATAGAGTTGGAACGCGGGCATGAACACAGGCAGGGGGGAAGGGAAGGGTCGAGGGGATGAGTACTCACACCGCTCCTGAACTTGAAGAACAGCGACATAGGACGAGCGGCGAGCTGGCAGGAGCTGACGAGGAGCCAGGAGTGACGGAGGAGTGACGGACCAGCCTCGGAGACGCGGCCGCCGCCCGCCGCGGTCAGTGACACTACGTCGGGAATAAACTGATACTAATAAGTTTTCACTACAATTCTCACATAAGATTCGACAATTGGGATCCAAGATATAAGTTCAACTAATAGAGGACGGTCGATAAGTGGAGAGTGTCAACTGTGGAAGATGTAACACGTCCACATCGTCGGTAGGGCCGCTTGTTATCACACCGCACGCGTCCCTCCCCCGCGGGCCGCTGGGCGCGAGGCACGCCGCATGCGCGAGATTATCGATCACAGCAGACACAGAGCATCAGAGATAGTGTCACGAGTATCAAGTGTCTGTGTGGACACCGGTGTAGGGGACGACACCGGGTACATGACAGTGAGTGTGATGGGGACGCGGGCCTGGGTGTGGTGGCTGGTGGTGGGCGCCGCGTGCTCCCGCGAGCTGGACCCCGGCTCGTGCGTGGCGCGCTTCGACGTTCAGCGAGACAAGATCATCCGCACGGAGGAGTCCCGGGAGATGGGCGCCAGGTACCTCTCCGAGCTGGACGTGGGCGGCCGGCCCGAGTGTCTGCGGCTCTGCTGTGAAACAGACGCCTGTGACGTGTTCGTCTTCGAGGAGAAGGTCGGCTGACGGTTGTCATATGTTGTAACAATGTTAAAAAAGAAAAACAAAAATATTAAATGTCTGCATATCGTCTAGATGTTAAGTGAGGGAAGTGTTCGACCTGGAATTATTAGTATAAGACATATTATAGCACGATGGGTTCGATATAAATAGAATACGTATGTACATAGTAAGAGTATGTGAATGAGGTAGTGTGTGAATTTCAGAGCCCCGGCAGCTGCTACCTGTTCAGCTGCGGGCCGCCCGAGGACTTCCGCTGTAAGTTCACGGCTCACGGGAACTTCAGCAGCGGCGTGCTGGCCATCAGCCGCCGCCTGGCCGAGCTGCAGGACAGCGAGCGGCTCGCCGAGCACGAGAGGGAACTGGCCAACTTACGGTGCGACTCTCTGATAAACTATGGCACCACATTCATGATTCAACTGTTATATATTAAATTCGGTTCACTAGATCTCGAAGCAGATCAATAAAACTGTAGCTCAGTCTTAGCTCAAATAATGAATTGCATATTTTGTTAGTACTGGTAAATGCTATGAGTCTGTATGTCCAGTGAGCGTCAGTCAGAGATCATGTTCGCATTTTCTCGTTTCCAGGAGCCCCACCAGCACGACCGTGACCACGACCCTGGCGGCGAGCAGGACGGAGCCTCCTCCTCCACACGTCGAGCCTCCCCACCTGCCCCACCTGCCGCAGCCGCCCCAGTTACCCACAGCTAGTTAATATTTAGTATAGATATTATTTATCTTCTACCCCTAAAACTCTTGAAAACATATGACTTGGACATATTTTGGTCATTAAAAAATGTTCCAATAGAAACATAACACCCCTCAGCGCGTTTTGTTTGGGTGTCGCATTGTTTATTAATATAGTAATATGATCGTACATTTCTAGGCCAGTGCAGATGCCTTTAAAAACAATGAAATATGAAAATAAATTATAGTAGAATGAGACCCGTTAGAAAAGGAGGGGAATATTATAAAAATTAAAGGAAATATAATTTACGGGCGATCTGAGGTCGGGAATGGGTATTTAAGGGTAAAAAATGGGTTTTCTCTATTTCCGGCAAAACTAAAAGTCAAGTCAATTTATTTTTAATAGTTTTAGCAGCTTAATGTCAATTTTCTCTAAATTACCTAAAAGAGGGACTTTCTGGAGAACTTTCAGAGTACACAACTATTAAAAATAAATAAGAAAGAGCATTTTCAAAACGATGTCGAGTGTCATTTCATTAAAAGGGACATAATTATTTTATTATTTCATTAAAAGGGACATGATTATTATAGAAAACACACAATTTTTTTTAAAAATCTGAAATTTTGACGGGTGATGTTTCGATTGAAAATGAGGCTGATTTTTCAGTATTTATTGAAAATAAGCTGAAAAAATAAATATTTCTTATCAAATAAATTACAGTGCATTTGGAACATCAAAAGAAAAGTTTTCACTAAATTTCGGGACAAAAATTGTTTTTTGGAAGAGATAAAAATAACAAACCCAAAAATTGGTTTTTCGAATTTTTCACATAAAATTTGAGGTTATGTGAAAAAAATGTTAGTACAAAAGTTTTAGATCTTTTTATTACCTACAACTTTGCCATATAATTTTTTTCTGTAGGACTTTTAGTTTTGCCGGAAATCGAGAAAACCTATTTTTTACCCTTAAACACCCATCCCCGTACCCTTCCCGACCTCAGATTTTTATAATATTCCTTTTCTAATGAGTTTCATTCTACTATAATTTAATTATGTTTTAAAAGCTATCGGCAGTGGTCTATTCTGGCCAACCACAAGTTTTTAATCACTTCGCTTTATCTTAAACTCGGCAGACTTCTCAAATGATATAAATGAGTTTTCCCTGACCCGATACTGCTTTTCGGTACAGAGTCATATAATTCTGTTGGTTACTTAACAGAAAATATCCGACAAAAAATATTAAAACCAACATATGACTATTCTTAGTATGTCATAAAGTCTTTATGTTCCTGTCACTTGTATCCGTCGTTGGATCTTTTTATTAACATCGTTCCACGTTTGGTTCCTCGTACGTGATACTTCATCTACTTCTCCGTACATTAGCCACTTTGGACCCTGAATGGAAAGTGATCACTATCACCGTCAACACGACGCACCACACATGAGCAACATTTAAAGTATAGTAACGCTGTGTGTGTGTTGTAGGACGCTGCAGCCGCTACCAGTTCGAGTGTCGCCGCGGCGGAGAGTGTATCGCCGTGTACAACGCCTGTGACGGCGTGCCGCAGTGCGCGGACGGCAGTGACGAGGCGCCGGAGCTGGACTGTCCCACGTCCCCCCCTCCTCCTCCTCCCGCCGCCCCGCCGGCCTCCGCTGTGCCACCCACGCCGCCCCACACCACCCCGGCCCCGGTCCCCAGTAGACCGCCGCCGCTCACACAGGTACTAGTAGACTAGTCTCAGTTGGATGTTTACCCGCGGACCTCCCCTCTGACTGTATCAGGACAAACCTCAACAGTTCCCGTGAACTGTCACAGATCCAAACCAATCATTTCGTCTTCGATAAGTTTTTAAACCCGTGAGGATCTCCGTCACGTGAGCTCACACTTAATGTATCGGCCGGGAGTAGACAGAAGACTCCTTATTACCTGTGAGGGGGACACAGAAGGAACAGGCCTTATTCAAAGTCAGACAACAGAAAGCACACCAGATGTTTTGTGCCACATTCAGCATGTCAGGTTTGAGGAGGATCATCTCTCCTCCACCTGCTCGCAGCTGAGTGCCGACCATGTTTCAGAACAGTTCTTGTAGGACGCGTATAATTTTCACACAACGAACACGAACGTTCAATAAAGTTCTCATTCACATCAGAATTCAAGACACGTAAAGGTTCCTCGTCTCCTGCTTTGTCTCGTACGTTCCATGTTTACTTTCAAGTTTAATATATATATACATATATAAAACCATGTATGTTGTCTATTAATTTTTAAAACAAAATTATTTTAAAATATTCAAGCGAACGGACATGAATATTTTTTAGTCATGACTTTCGGTCGTATAAAAGAAATAACTAAACTCAAGCATATTTACAAGAGTAGAGTAAATTTTAAAGCTAATACTTTTAAAAACTATATCTAAGTGCGAAAGTAAAACATTAGTAAAACGATAGTTGATATATGTATTGTAATGTTAGGACTTATTGCCTTAGAGCGTCGTCCGCTCGAGCTCTCCTTGTAAGGAATGATCGTGGTGGAGAGTTCGACACTAAAGTCTACCGCGAGTGTGACATGTCACATGAGTAACAAGCGTCAGTCATAGTCGCGCCTCTCGTACCTCACACCCTCACTCAGTTCCCTGGAGGATGGAAGGTCCCTCTGACTCCAACTTGATTGTTCTGATGGTAGTCCTCGTACTCCTTCATACAAATTCATAACACTCATAAGTCATAACTTTATAAAAGAAAATTTTCAAGTTTTATAAGGTATTCGGTGAACGAAATTCGTTTTTTTTTTACCAAAATCTTGACCGTTTGTACCGACTACCGTCAAACCGGATTTAGAACTTAGAAGATGAGGTCACATTGAGTTACTTTTTGTTGTCAAAGTTGAGATACAATAATGTTTTACACACATGCAGGCTCTATCAGACAACCGGTTCCCGGGCGTGGTGCCGGCGGAGGGTGACCTGCTCGACGGAGCGGAGTCCTGGCCGCGGAGACTGGCGCAGGCCCAGCCGCACAGATACGCGGGGGGTGAGGAGACGGGGGAGGGGGTGTTATACTGTACTCGAGAGTCGATAACAAACATATGTATGATGTGACGGCAGGCGGGGTGGCCGGCGCGGGCGGGTCCCACATCTTCAGTCACAAGGGCGGCCTGCTCCAGGAGAACTCCTTCGACCCGGCGCTGTCCCCCAGCTGGCCGCGACGGACCTGGAGCCCGCAGCTCACGGCTCCGGGTACTCACTATTAATATCTTGTATTCTTAGTTGTGTCTAGTCCATTGCTGGTCCTTACATCACAGTAAAAGGTATGTGGCACGTGGACAGGCTACTACAGACAGACTAGTGAATATGAAATGTTTTAGTTTCAGACATGGAACCGGAGCGTGCGTGGAGCGGGTACGGACGTGACTGGCCGGACGTGGAGCCGCGACGAGCCTGGCCTGTGGCGCGCCCGGAGACTGTGAGTCACTGATCACTACACACATATAGTCCGTTAGACTTAAGCTGAGTTTTGCATTTGTGTGAGTGAAAGTAAAAGTAGAGTTAGACAAAAAACTTTAGAATAAAATTTTATTATATTTTAAATAGATACATAACATAAGTGCTAGATCTATTCTAGGTTAAAAATAAAATAATCAAAACTTGTAAAAGGCCAAATTGAAATATTATGGAATAAAATTTAATAAGTAATAAACATTTTGAAAAACAATACAAATTTTTCTTCACTTGACATTGCGTTTTCTACATTTAACGTTGTTACTAGTACAAAGGGTGAAGTGAGGAAGGTGCGGGGCGAAGTAAAGGCAGAATAAACCGGTTTAAAACTAGAAAAGAATGTTGCATTCAAAAATTTGACATCACACCTACACTCACACAAATACAAAGCTCAGCTTAAATCAAACGCACTATACAACATAATATAATTTGGCTTGAGACAACTCCCTGCTCCTTGTAATGTATAGAAGGCGTGGTATTCTCATATCACTATTCACTACTACCAAGTCCACAAGTGGAGGGCGTGCCTTTTATGATTCCAAGAAAGATTTTGTGTCATTACCCGAATGACTTGTGTGTCTGATGCGGACACTGAAATATTTGTTTTATCCATGGCTTTTGTTTTTCTTTTCAGGACGTACAAATGTATTTATCTTCTAAAACCATGCCGGAGATGCCCATGATATACTCGAGTCAGCAGCAGACGCTACGGGACGGACCCAAAAAAGGCTTCGAGATAATGAACAAAAACGTACTGGACTTCCCGAGCGAACCTCCGCCGCGCTCCACCCTCGACCGGAGAGAGGAGAACAGACCCGTGGTGATAGAGAACACGACCAAGAAGAAGGTGTTACAAGAAAAGGTGATCACTGACTCCACGTTGTACGTTCAGTCTAGAATAATGTGGAACGGGGCAAAATAAAATGCCAACTTTTATAGGAGGTGGACTCGAAGAACGAACATCAAAAGGTAGTCGCCAGCCGCGTCCCAGCTCCGAGCGGCGCGGAGGCCGGCGGGGGTGCGGGGGAGGCGAGGGAGCCCGCCGCCCTGCAGGCTCACACGCGCTGGACCAACGACGAGCACGACGGACTCAGCGAGCACCCCCCCGCCGCCGTGCTGCTGCTGGTCCTCGGTAGGGCGTCTCTCCCCGCCCCGCTCACCCCTCACCCCTCAGTCAGCTCTCCTCACCGCTCCTCTGTGTTCCAGGCTCGCTGCTGACGGCCTGCCTGGCGGGGCTGGGCGTGTGCCGCGCGCGAGCCTCCCGCCGCCGGCGCCGCTCACACCCGCGCCTGGCGCTGGACGCCGACTACCTCGTCAACGGCATGTACCTGTAACATGTACCTGTAGGACCCGGGCAGGTCGGGGAGCGACTCACGACCTTAAGTGTTCATCTTGAACAACATGTTCATATTTAACTTGTATAGACTCGTGTTGCTATTTTGTCGTACAGTGAGCTGTGAGTCCGTGGAGTTGTGCCATGTACCCATCCGACAACGACACTATCTGATGAACAACCAGCCGGCTGTTGGTGATGATACATCTTAACTCACCGACAGTCACTATACGGTCTCTCCTACACAAACATGAGTTTGTTCAATCTTTTAAAATCCCTCACATGTGGGAGCGTTGTGATGTTAAGTCATAAGTAATTTATTTTAGTTCACGGAATGTAAAACATTGAATGTATATGTTAGCGGTGGACGATGGATGCATTAACAGCATATGAGTGTTCTATCATGTGCGGGACGACACTTATACAAAACTTAATGAAACTGGTCAATATATCATTGACTTAAATTCATAATGACCAATAAAGATGTGTAAAGAAACATTTTAACAGTTATTTTAAGTTTTTCTGTGCACGTCTTTTATTAACATATGTAGAAACATACATTGTAGTTATAATTATCGCTGTCGATCAATTTAACAACAAATACTTTTTCAATAGATTTCCCAAAGGAGATAAAGGAGGTATAAATTAAATTGTTCTCTGTACAACTTATTCATGGATTATTTTATATTATCTAATTTTATATCTACACCCATTTGTTAAGAGGTCTTCATGGGAGTCACTCACTGAACGTCTCTATTTAGTGGGGTAATAAATATATGTAACGGCGGGGAGAGAATCATTGTGGTGGAAAAGTTAATCAATTTGGGTCCGCTAACATATACATTGAACGAGGACAGCAAAATGTGCCCTTAAACATGTAAATAACTAAAATATTAGATATTTATATATACAGACACGAATAGACAAAAATTGCCATCACTAACATCATTCAGGTACTTACTAATCTTATACATATATTATATATATATTTAAATGAGCAATTCTTGTATCTTGTAGGGGATTTCAGGGGCGATAAATCAATGTAGCTAGGAATCATTTTTAGAAAATGTTGTTAAAAAAAATACAAAAAGGAGTTGTTTAAAATATGACCCTTCCTGACATCTATTCGCGAATAGTAATACTACTTTTTGCTAATTGCTTTGACTAATTGATTTAACGACACAATAGCAGGAGTTAAATACAGGAAGTCAACGAGAGTTTGTTTTGAGATTAGACTAAGAAAATAATTATTGATTTATGGGTGAATATACGCTATTTGGTCTATAGATAAATTTTATATAAAACTATAATCAATGTTTATTGTCCGTAGATATCATATATTAACTTAAACTGGAGTAAGAAAAGCGAGTGATGTTAATTTTAATACATAATATGTGTAATTTTGTCACTTCTCTAGCGTTACTCCTCTGGCATATTACAAACATGATAGCCAGAGGAGTGACAATTTTTTTTAAATAAATAAATAAAAGTAAATAGACGTTTTATTTAATATTAGTCAATTTACTTAGCTAATAAAATAAATCTGCATAGATTGAAATTCAGACCATTGAAATTTAACAACGACAATACCCAGCTTTGATTTGTTACTACTCTGGCAACAGTGTCACTCTTCTGGTAACACATTTCCCTCTGGTGCTTATAAAACTTTAAAAAAATTAATGATTGTCTGGCCCCTGGAATTACTAATTTTAAAATAGTGTTAAATAAATAAATTATAAATATTGAATGGAACCTATAACATTTCCTTCTCGGACATGAAAAAACCAAATAGCATATATTCACCCTTACCTATATTGTTTTGGCCTTCTTAACGTGTTCACTTAAATATGCCTAAACGAAATAAAAAAAACACAGTAAATACTAATAATTCCTAAATACCGAGCAAAGCTCAGTAACCAGATATTTACTATATATATGATATATACATAGGCATTTTGTAATAAAACCTTAATCTATTTAAAAATAATGTTTCATTTACTTCAAAGATTTCTCGTTATTAACCGATTTTTACAATAAATATACTTTAATCAACATTCTCTCAACCTGAGAGTGTTGAGATGAATCAACAACAAAATATAGTTAAGGAGTCCAATGATATGACTTCAACACGAGTTCAATGAACCCCAGAGGGACCATGCCGAGGGCGGACTCACAGCTGAGGCCACTCTCTTAGATAAATGAATACTTCGACAGTTGCTACAAACAAAGATTTCTGCCATGATACATTACTACTTACAAGAGATAGAAAATATGTAGGTAATACAATTTTAAAGCCTAGCCAGGACAACTATCACCTACTACCACCGCAGAGTCACACTAATATGAGATACCTATATGACTGTCAGCTAGTTGCCGGACTACGGCTGGTAACACTAAGGGAAAGGTCGCTACACTAAAGCTCCCTCTCACTGGGCCCTGAAGCAAAGATCCGCCCTACGGTTTACATAACAGACTTAAGGTATTCGAGATCTGTGATCGACTCGTCTGGAGAGAGACAGGACCCTCCAGGTCAGATTTGGAGAGGTTTAAGAAATGTGTATTTCTGCTGTCGTTGGTTTGTGTAAGATACCAGCGAACAAAAAAAGACAGGTCTGTAGTACGTCATTATTATCAATATACTAATCGTTTCCGTCAACTTGCTCTTTGTTTCACCATAACAAACAAAAACTCTGTACTAGGAAAATAAAGAAAGTGAGCTCGTCGTGTAAATGATGATGACGATGAATGAATATTGAGGGAATCCTCAGCGTACCGGGAACACGACGAAATGTGAAAGAATGTTTTCTCATGCTCAAGTCTATATATGCATTATTTATTTGGAACTCTTTAAAATTTTAACAATAACGCAGCGTTTGTGCAATGTAATCAGTTAATTAATTTAGTTTAAAATTGAGATATACCTAATAAGCTAGTGCAGAAGCCTTATAAATTAATGAAAAGTGTAAATAAATTAAAGTAGAATGAAACTCATTAGAAAAGGAGGGGAATATTATAAAAATTAAAGAAAAAATAATTTAGTTTTAGCAGCTTAATGTCAATTTTCTGTAAATTACCTAAAAGAGGGACTATCTGGAGAACTTCCGGACTACACAACTATTAAAAATAAATTAGAAAGAGCATTTTCAAAACGATGTCGAGGGTCATTTCATTAAAAGAGACATGATTATTTTATCCAAAAATGGTACTGTAAGTAAGAAACTTATATTTTTTCTTCACCATCGGAAAATAGAGATTTCAACGAACAGAACACATACCAAATTTTTGAAAACAGCTGATCTTTTGACGGGTGATTTTTCGATAAAAAGTGAGTCTGATTTTTCGGTATTTATTCAAAATAACCTGAAAAAATAAATATTTCTAATCAACGAAATTACAGTGTATTTGGGACATCAAAAGGTGGGTTGTCACCAAATTTCGTGACAAAATGTTTTTTTGTAAGACATAAAAATAAAAAACCAAAAACTTGGTTTTTTCGAATTTTTCACATAAAATTTGAGGTTATGTGAAAAAAATGTTAGTACAAAAGTTTTAGATCTTTTTATCACAACTTTGCCATACTTATAACTTTTTTCCGTAGGACTTTTAGTTTTGTCGGAAATCGAGAAAACTCATTTTTTACCCTTAAATACCCATCCCCATACCCTTCCCGACCTCAGATCGCCCGTAAATTATTTTTCCTTTATTTTTTACAATATTCCCCTCCTTTTCTTATGAGTTTCATTCTACTATAATTTAATTATGTTTTAAAAGCTATCGGCACTGGTCTATAAAGCCAAGTTGGATTTGACAATAGGTCGGCTTTTAACGGAAACGTTCTTGAAAACTATACTTAGGTTATAGAGAGTATCTTGCAAATAAATTTGAAAAAAAAAGCTTCTCTGGTTCAACATTCTAATTTGAAACTGTTATGCAAATATACTCCTGATAAATTAAAACAAATAATAATAATGAAGTTAAAAGTCAGTGGTGGCTCAGTGGTTAAAGGGCCCGCCTCTCGTCGCCGAGGACGCGGGTTCGATCCTGGCCCGGGCAAGTACCAATGTGATTTTTCCGAATCATATGTACTTTCTAAGAGTATTTAGACATCACTGATTAATGTTGATTCCCAAAAAGAGGGTTGATGTCAGGCAGGCGGCCGGTCGTAAAAACAAATAGCCAAAAAAAAAAAACTATTCACAACATGTAAGGCAGACCCTAGCTATAGCTGGGAAATTGCCAGGTAGAAGAAGAATAATAATGAAGTTCTAAAAATTCACATCGATCGGAAAACTAGTATCGTTCGACACACTATTAGATGTGAAAAGTGAAAATTCCTCATCCGCATCCATGCGTTGCCAACCTTGATTGTTGAGGAAAAGGGAGGGGTGGGAATAGGGCAATAGCAGGCCAGGTTGGGAATAGGGAAAAGGCAACCGGGTCTCCCACTCATCGGACGAAACGCAGCCACTAAAGGCTACTTCACGCCGATCTAATGTGAGAGGGTGATACTTCCCCGGTCCAGCCAGCCCGCGTTCGAGCTGTATAGTACCTTGACCACAGCTAGGCTCTATCACCTAGGAATAAAGATTTTAAGAAGAGTTATATTATACAAATCTACTAAAGGTCGTGACCAACTGATATCGCATTCTTCTATCTGTAGTTTATACTCGTATAGTTCCTTAAAGTTTCAGAAAACTATTCAGACTGTATTTAGTGTCTGAAAAAAATGATTATCTAAACTCGTCTCAGGTTTTTTTTTTGATAAATCTCACGTCTCTGCTGAAAATAGCGAGAAACTAATTAATATTTAAATAAAATTATCGGGTAATAAATAAAAATCAAGGATCGATGATCAACATTTTATTAAATTATTATTTTTATAATCACTCATTGACCACTCATCGTTTCTCTGTCACTTTGTAATTCGTGTTGTCAACCTCGCTACTTAAATCTAAGGTTTTATTCTTAAACATTCTGCAGACGACTTCGCCAACTATCATCAGTAATTGGTATCGATCAGACAGTACAGTACAGTGTTGAGTGTAGAGTGTGAGGTGTGTTACAATGAGTATTTCAAAATACGAGTAACTAGAAGGAACAAGAACCGAGACCACGTCCCGTGTAAGAAGAAGGTTAACATCTATTGAGTTATCACAAACAATATACTATTGTTAACTTTAACTGAGTCCCAAAACAAGCTCTGAATGAGAATCGTCAGCTGGAACGAGGCCAACGAACCGACGACATACTTGTATATAAAGTTATGTTACGGATATACTATAGGTACATGAATCTGAACTTCCCACTTTTAATAATATAATCCACAATGTACGCATACATACATTCACACTCGACTCCGGTTTAGGAACATACGACACACGTCACACCTGTTACACTTTATTTCTTTAATTTGTTTCTCTGGCCTTAGTAAATATACTATGTAAATAATCTAAGTCAGAAACATTGAAAAATAACTGTGAGGAACATTCTCTTAGAAATTCATAACATTAAGGCACTGTATGTGATACTATACATATAATATAAAAAACACCCACCAGCCAGTGGGGACGCTGCACCAACAGTGACCCACACATCACAGACACCAGCCCACACACACATACAAGTAACTGACAGTAAAATAAATATGTGGAGTCAACGACCTCCAACACTAGCCACAACACATTGATATGAGGTGAGCTCATCCTGACACTGTTGAGATTAATATTTTATACAACATCTTATTAGTGACTGACTCCATGGACAGGCATGAGGGAATCAAGATGTCCGTACAAGAATACTACTTACTTACTATGAGTGTGTGTCATTGGACCACGGAGGGTGTTGGATACATCTCTTACAAAGACACACCTACAACCACTGTGCTATACATATAACATGATCTGTCTGTTGAGAGATGTGGTGCTCAATGTACAAGTAACATGTGCTGTGAAAATGAGCAGACAAAAATAAAAAATTGAGTATTGTGTTGCTTCACCTGTGAGAATTACATTTGATATAAATTATTATGATATACATTAAAGGCACTTCATATCCTCCACCACTTAACATCAGAGTGATCATTTGAAACATGTCAAGTTGTACGAGCTACGCTTGACATCATTGCGAAATCATGTAAACGCATGTATCATTATTCTTGTTCTATTATAAAATCTCAATAACTTATTGAAGATTGATTAATTTTATATAATATTATATATTGTTTGATTGACGAGAACTCCCGGAGTGCTCGGTGACCGAATGAGAACTGAACTAAAATATAAGTTATTGAGATTTTAGAATAGAACAAGAATAATGATGCGTTTGTTTACATGATTTCGCAATGATGTGAAGCGTAGCTCGTACACAAGTGTTTTTTTTTCTTATTTTGGTAAAAATTATAGAAATGAAAAAATATTCAATCAAATTCGGTCAACAAGGAGTTCAGTAAATGTTAAATGTCAAACTAAAATGAAAAATATTATCACATCATAGTTGTGTTAGCCTACAAACAAATAAAATATACATATAATGTATGATTAAGTCTATTTTGCGTACTCTGTGTGTCACTGGATACCGGCTCATATTAAACTGTCTCCATATTTTCATAGACCGTTATCACGAAACACACACACACATACACACACAGCCTACAACCTCCAGGCGAGTAGGGAGGGCGCGCGTCAGGGCAGGCGCGGGCCGTGCGCCAGGCGGCAGTTCTCGAGGTAGAGGTCCTTGACCAGCAGGTCGGCGGCCGCGAGGCGCGCGTGGAGCCTGTGGGCCGCGCGCTCCGCCCGCCCGGCGCGAGCCCGCAGCGCGCCCGCCTCCCTCCACACGGCCGCCCGCCAGCGCGCCGCCGCCGCGCCGCCGCACACGCAGGACGCTCCCTCGGCCGCCTCCAGCCGCCGGTGCAGCCTGCGCAGCTCCTCCGACTGGAACAATCGTCTCGTGATGAGTACGAGCCCGCCGGCCGCCCCCCCCCCCCGGGCGTCGTCTCCGTGGCTCACCTTAGCGGCCAGCTCGGCGTCGTGCGTCCGGCGGTATTCGTCGAACTCGTCCTGCAGCTGGTTGACCTGCAGCTCGAGCTGGTCCCTCTCGTCGATGGTGGGGAGCGTCGCGGGCGCGAACTGTCTCTCGTAGTCAGCGATGCGCGCCGCCAGGTCTGCCAGCCGGTCGTCTCCCGCGCGCTGCTCCTCCGCGAACGCCTCCCGTTCCTCCTCCAACTTGTCGCTCCAGTATTCCTCGCATTTTTCGTATTCTGTCTTCAATAGCTCTAAACTCGTCTCTAGTTCCCTGAAAATAGAAATTCCTCCATTATTCGACCCCTTCAGTATGGTAACAATGAACCTGGTAGCTATTAATGAAACATGAGTGTGTGATTACACTAGACACAATATATGAAAGACAATGAGCTACACATTATATGGAGAGGGAAGTGACTGAGATTTAAACATATTAGAATGTAAAAGACTTGAAGTATCAAGTGTAGTGTTGAAGGTGGAGTGTTGCAGCGGCTCAAACCGTCAATGTCTTTTAATACAAGCTTTATCCATACATTTGTATGTAGCTCCTGTGGGACTTCTTTGAACAATATTTGATGTGTCACTTGATGAAATATATGATAGGTGTGTGAGAGGCGCTCTATGAACTGGGGGATTGTTTAATGTACATATGAAGACGAGACTTGTTACTTTATAATAAACATAATACAATATACGTTTGTTTTATTCATAACAGTTATATTCATTAATCACATGTTGTTTACACTTGTCTCACACAGATCACTCCTTAGGGTCTGATCTCTGTTCAGTAAAATTCTGTATTGAAATTGCTTATGTCTATCTAATTATTATAATAATGAACTACATATTATAATAATGAAGTCTACAACTTGAATAAATATAATTAATGTACTTATAATATACCTCTATCATATAACTAGTCCCGCTGTTATATTCAAACTTGTCTACTTTATATTGTGTTTATCACACACACTGAACATGGAATAAATAATGTCAACTGTTGATACTTGTATATTGTTAGAGATCAGTTTGTGTATTAATTTTTTCTTATTGTTCTTTACATTCAAATCATTCTTAGTACTGGAACTAATAACTAAATGTACAGTACAGTACTCACAACTTAGTTTATAATGATCAATGGTATAAGTTATAACATATAGGTAGCGTTGCCAGGCGTCCGGATAAAGCCGGACATAGTTAGGCTTTTTGATTGTATGTCCAGCCAAAATAAACAGTGTCCGTCTTTTGTTAGGTTTTTTACATTTCACAAATTAATAATAAAGTACCTACCTAAGACTGATTTGGTATTCGTTTTTATCTATTATTTGACTGGAAATTAACAAAATTAATGATAATAATCAAATGATTTGATTTTACATAAAAATTTTGTCGTACCTATTAATACTAAGACAAAATCCTAAATAATATAGGGTGTTCGGCTTTTTTTAACCAAATGTCCGGCCAAACTGGCTGGTCTGTCCGGCTATTAGGTTTGGCGACCTGGCAACCCTACATATAGGTGAGGGTGAGTTACTATATCATGACATAGATGGCGCTAGTTTTCTTTTTAAGTTTCTTTTAAATGATTAAATACTCATATGTAAAATATGTTATACCGCTGTTTGTATATCATAGAACCAACTCCGAAGTGTGAGGAGTTATGATATTTAATGTTACAACTTACAAGTGGCGCAATCTGTGCCGCACTAATTGTTATCCTACTAATATGTATTATAATTTCGAAGGTTTGTGAGTGTGTGTGTATGTTTGTTACTTCTTCACGCTCAAACGGCTGAACCGATTTTAATAAAATTTTGTATACAGGAAGCTGACGTCCAGGAATAACACATAGGTTACTTTACATCCCGGAAATCTCGGAAATCCGCGGGTGACACCGCGGGGCGCAGCTAGTATACTATAGTCCTCAGAATTATTTATGACTGATTATAATTAATAATAAATTAATGTACATCTGGTATGTTATAGCTCACACATATTTCAAAGTGTAATTACTTTATGACGTTCGTGAGACTCTCTTTTTCCACTCGATGGTCGTGCTCCATGTCTGCCAGCGTCTTCCTCAGAGCCCCCAGCCGCTGTTCGTCCTCGAGCTCCGTCTGGACCGCTGCCTCGTCCCTCGAGGTCACGTGGTTGTGGCCTGTCGTGTCTGCTCCTTCATATCTTGAGCTTCTTAACGCTTCCCGGAAGGTCTCAGTGGTTGTCGAGATAGTCTCGCACGAGGCGCAGCCGTTCCCGTCTCGAACTGATATTTCTCGTATATTAGTCAGAAACGTCATCAACTTCTCTATTGCTTCCTGGGCATCTTTCTTATCAAAAGATTGCAGCGAGAGGTCACACACCTGGAAAGTAAAAATATTGTAAATCGTAATGCGGATCGAGGAATGTCGTAGGATACGTAAAGTGTAAACAATCCTCGCACATCAGGCAGCGAGTCCGGCGCCTGCGCGTCCACCTCGTCCCGCCAGGAGCGCGCGGCCCCCTCCCTCGCCGACCTCGTGGCGCCGGCCGTCTCGAGCGCCGCGCCGAGCTCGTCGCAGCGGTCCCTCAGCCGCGCTCGCTCCTCCCTCGCCTCTCTCAGGCGAGCCTCGAGCTCGTCCCTGGCCGCTCCCTCCCGCGCCGCCCTCTCCGCATCGCGCTCCTCGGCCCGCCGTAATTCCTCCTGCAGCCTGCTCTGCTCGCGCTCGGCGTGTTGGCACCGAGCCTCTGCAGCCGTAGCACGCTCCTATGAGGCAAATGGTTAGGATTATTATCATTACCATGAACTTTTTGGTTCTGAACTGGCAAAAAAATGACAATGTCGAACGATTGTACACCTGATATTCTTCGACGCGTTCTTGAAGTGAAGTTATCTCGTTCCGAAGGTGATTCTCGGTATCCGCCCGACGCGCTGCTTCCTCTTCGAGCGCGGACCTCGCTGCTGCGGCCCGCTCCCTCTCAACTCCGGCTTCAGCCGCTGCAATGCGAACGGCCTCGGCGTGTCGGGCCTCCATTTGACGCAGCCTGGACTTGAGCTCGGCTTCGATGCGATCGTGATTCTCGTCCACATCCTGTGCCAGCAGCCTGGCACGTCGGTTTGCTTCACCGAGGTCTTCGCGGAGTTTGTCCCGTTCACCACGAGCGACGTCGAGGAGTCTCCCAACAGATTCTAGACGTATACGTGATAGTGAATATGCGGCTAGAGGCAAACGCGAGTCCATTTGCGAGGAGTTAGCACGTAATTCATCGTCGAGAACGCGTTCGAGAGACTGCAACCGTAAAGCGGCTTCTCCGAAACCTAGTTCCAATAACAGCCCCATCGGTTTTCTTACACCAGCTCGTTTCCAGGTCTCCACGACCGTATCACTCGAGACGATGTCAGAATCAGATTTAGAATCACCTTCCACAACACCTCCATCCAGAGACGTTTCAATGGAATTCGTAAGCGAGGCGTTCAGTCGGTCGAAGAACTCGCCCACCGTCACCTCATTCTCATCGGAGGCTGCGAACACGCGGTCGACCAGAAACCGATCGACTCCATGCATGTCGAGTCCCCGGCACAGGGCGAGCGCCCGCTCACGGTCGACGCGTTGCTCGTGGTCCAGCTCCAGAGCTGCCGCGTCCTCCTCTCGACTCTCCATGGCGGACGAGCTCCTCTTGCACCTCATGCGTCGCCTCGCCCGCACACTGTCCAGACGAGACTCCGACGCCACCCGATGACGCGGCGTATCTTCCGCGGCCACGCGGTGAGGCCGGGATCGTCTCCCGTACCTCTTTGAACCGAAGGCGAACTTAGGAGCCGCTTCTCTCCCGGGAGAGTCGTCGTCGCTCTGTGCCGGTGACGAGGGGCTCGGGGTCTTAGACACGACGCTCTCCTTACTCGAGCAGCTCTCTTGCCGTCGTATGGGATCTTTATCTAGGACGGAGAGCAGCCCGTTGCGGAATTGTGAAAATGTGACACGGTCGCTCTGTCGGTCAAAGAGGGTGTCCACAAGCGCCGCGCCGCGATCTTCGAGCTGTAAAGAGTCACAGAGCTGAAGTACTGCTGACCTTTTTAAGGCTTCCTCGTTATCTATGTCGAAGGTTTTGAACACACTGTACAGCTGTTGTTCGTAACGATTCATAGGACTATCCATAGCTTCTCAATTCTAAGAACATACGCTCCTACCGAATGAGCATTTAGGGTATTACATTATTAAAATTCAATCACATGTTGCATTTTAATAAAAAAAAACATATATAAGGACACGGGTATATTTAGTATTGAAGCTGTCACTTGAAGTTACTCTTAATAATTTGCATATTTCTCTCTTTGTTGTCATTGGGAATTGACGTGCTAACGTCATGTGTCATTGGTATAACTGTAGAGTACAAAAACCTCAGATTAAATTACTTCTCACTAACAAGAAAATATGGATTTGATTAATAATTATAACATATTAGAATAAATTATGTTAAGAAAAGATTTACAGAACTATTACACGTAATGACAGCTTCCTTCTCATCTAAAATTAGAATGAATATTTAATATTGAAGATTAGCATAACTATTAGGCTTTGACTGTAATATTTAAATAATTTTATCAAACATTCAAAGAGTATAATATATCAATAATAATAACTTTTGCCCATGTGTACGTCTGTTGTGGTGTATAACACTCATCCAAATAAGAAGAACAACCACAACGTGTGTGTCTGTATACTTGATTGACTGTATTGACTTACTTTAAAAGTAGCCAATGAATTTGATTAAATTTTGTATATATTTTAAGAACTATAATAGACAATAGCTTGATTCTATAAAATTCTAAAAAATAAAACTGCACGTTGAGTATCCTTCAAACATAAGTGCTAAATGTTTTAATTAATATTTTAACTTAATAATTTTTCACTAAATAATTGGGGTTAATTTAAAAATTTATTAAAACCAAAACTTGTTTTATAAAACCAATTGTTAAAATCTGTTAATATAATTTCAATAATAATTAATGATAAATATATTTAGCTGTAATTTTTGACTACAGTAATATTTTTCTTCCAAGCTTTATTTTGTCGTATCAACTCTGTCGCTGTCAGTATGTGCAATATTATTGTTGTTGTATGCTATAGACTACAGTAGAACGGTAAGGAGCGTGTCTGTATGCATCAAGTACTTAACAATAAATCGATAAGTTGACCTTGTTCATATTGTGTTATTATGTAGGTGGCGTACATGCAAAGGACGCGCATCTGGAACTCTCTTAACGTATTAACAAATACTGAGAACATTTTCAACTTCAATAAAACGATACAGTGTTGAAGCTCTGAATAGCCCTCGTTTGAAATACAAGTGTACCGATAAAGTGTCGCCATGGTTTTTAAGAAAATTAAATCCGAGGGCTGGGAAATTAAAATTCAATCTATGCTGCTCCAGAAATTGATTAATGAGGAGGAGGAAAATAAAAAGTGTTGCAAAAGGAAGATCATACTAGGACTTGTTCTTTGTTTACTTCTGTGTTTTCTCATAACAGGGGCTATTATTTATGAAGTAACAAAAGAATCCTGGCAGGCAACTGATCCTGAGACTAAAGAAGTTTATTTCAATATCTCCAATGTAGAAGATGACAAAGCTGTGGTCTCATGCTACTACACTATGCCCGGCTCCCTAAGTTCCTCTGAGTTACTGCCCTCCGACATTCATTCACAGCTCTGTACTCATATAAATGTAGCATTCGCTCAGATTATAAATAAGGAAATTTACTTGGATAATGTTCAGCGCCAGATTATATCTGAAGTTGTGAATTTGAAAAAGAAAAATCCAAACCTAAAAGTTCTGTTGTCAATCGGTGGTGCAGGAGCTCAAGATGGCTTCTCTGATATGGTTGTCAATCATACATCAAGGAAAATATTTATCAAATCTGTGAAACATACTCTCAGAAACTACACTCTGGATGGTATTGACCTGGATTGGGAGTTCCCTGCCGTAAAGGACTATCAGAATAAGTTGAATAAGAGAGAAAGACAACACTTCTCTCAACTCCTGAGAGAAATTAGAGCAGAGTATGTCAGAGAAAGGAAAGACTATCTATTGACGGTGGCCGTGGCCGCTCAACAGATCATTGTGGATGCAGCTTACGATGTGGATCAGATCAACATGTATGTGGACTATGCTAACATTATGACATACGACTTCCATTACTACACTCAGTTCACACCCTTCACCGGCTTCAATGCTCCATTATTTGCACGAGCAAGTGAACAACTATATATGGCAACTCTGAATATAAACTACACCGTTGAAATGTATAAAAACAAGGGCCTGGATGCTAGCAAGATCGTGGTTGGGATACCGACGTACGGACATTCCTTTACTCTCGTTAATGAAAACAACACCAATGTAGGCAGCCCCTCGTCTGGCTTCGGGGAGCTAGGAAGTTTAGGATTCGTAAACTATCCAGATATCTGCACCTTCATAAACACTCATGAGAACAATAATCTCGATATGAAGAGGGATCAAGATGCGAAAGTTCCATATTTGTCGAGGAACTCGGAGTGGGTGTCTTACGACGACACTGACAGTGTCATTGAGAAAGCAAAATTCATTAGAAAGCAAAAATTAAGAGGTGCTATGATATATTCGTTAAATGCCGACGACTACAAGGGTGTCTGCCGTGAGTTACACGGACAGGAGAAGTTCCCTCTCTCCGAATCCGTCAGGGAGACCCTCAAAGATTAGTGACAGCCGAGATGGATGATTCCCTTTGAGTTACCTTCTTTTTCCTGGACACATAAGTGATTTTGTACATGGTACAGGATCTCATGGTACGATAGGTCGGGCCGGAGTGGCTGGCGGCGGTGGACTGGTGGCCGGCACATGTCCTTGTCGGTGGCGGGCGCCCACGCGGCCGGCGCGCCTCTACTGGTGGCGCTGCTCAGCCGGACAGAACCGCACGCACTACATACATACCGCACTTTTACCACTAGAAAAACACTGTAACCGTTCCACCAGCCCGGGTGGGGGTTTCCACTCCACCGGCTGCATTACACCGAGCCCAAGGCGGCTCATCGTCGCTCTTTTAATTGAACGAGTGTGTAATTATGAAAGCGTCTTCTTCGTAATGACTGTTATTCTAATTCCTACGATCTCTAACAGTACTACTAGAGTACTTACGTTATTCGGATGTTTATGTTTGTAATTATTATCGAGTCTTTGTTTTTATGATAATTATTGTTATTGAACGTTGTGATTTATTTATATTGTTTGTAGTCATGTTAGGGGCTGTGAATTAACAATTTGATGTTTATTTATTTATAGATTACTTGCTATATGTGTAATCTTAATGTTTTCGACTCTTAATAGATGTAATGACATGAATAAAATTATTTATTGTCCTTTATCTTCCGCTATGTTATATGAACATATCTCAGACAACCTAGTTATTTACTAGAGTAGCATCGTTGATGTAGAATTTAAATTATTGTAGAATGTAAATTAAATGTCTAATTATCTACTATAATAAATGGTAATATGAAGTACCGAGGTTTTTATTGTCACGCACGTATGAACCTAAAAAGATAGTTAAAATTTAAAATAACGTTAAAATAAAAATCAGATTTCTTCCTCCGTCCTATATTATATGCATCTAATTTATATAAACAAGCAATTAGCAAAACGTGTGGGTCCGTAGGTGGTTGACATTGACCATGTGTGAGTGGGCGCCAAGGATACATACACCTGAGACCATACTATATCTATGTAATATAATATATACCTACATTCACATTTGAGAACGATTATAATACTAGGTACTATTTTTTTATTAAAAAAAAATTGATAATACTTACTGAGGATTAAGAATTTTGCTATCACAAAAAAATTATCAAACCATGTTTTGATCGTAATTACTATGTGACGTTTATAATATTGATAATACCTGTTAATAAGATCTTTAAATTAATATTAATAGGGCATTTAAAAAATAAATTGTAAGGACTTAAGTACCTAGGCAATGGATGTTAAGGAAAAGGATTATTTCGAGCGAAACAGCATTGTATAGATTAGGAGATTTCTTAAAGGAAAAAATATTATTAATGCTTTTTGGGTTAGAAAGTAAAACATCAGTTAAAAATAGGAAGCTCTTTAATATGGCACTACCTTAAAGTACCTATCTAGTCATTATTATCTATGCTCGATACATCGATATCCGACAACGGACAAGGCAACGATCAACACGACTACAACACAGCACCTGTTATGATTCAGAGATTACTTTAGATTAGTTCACAATATTATACGAGTTACGAGCACTGTATGCGCAGCTCGTGACGCGGGAATGCACTCAAATACAAATTAATAATAGTTACTAGGGACCTGCAACTTAACATTGAGAACTAACAATACTTTGACTAATGATATGTTCATTTGGGAACAGATATTTGTTACGAAGGCATTCCAATGAGCGCTTCACCCAGTTAAGTTAACATGGTCAACGAGACCACCGGGCACCAACCAATTTATATATCAATATATCACACGATTTACAACATACAAAACATATTGTCACAGTCGGATACAATCTTCTTCCATCCCACAGATAACTCGTCAATCTGCCACATTCACTCATCGCAGCGTTAGTTGCATGTGAACCTATTCATTTGCATTCAACTCGTTGGCTACATTACCAAAAATATATTTTGTAGCTACCACAATCGGATCAACATGCACCGTTCTATTTTCTACAAGATTTAAACGTCTTCAACATAGTGCTTCTAGACACACTAAACTAACTGAACCTCACAGTAATATATTACTGACAACCATAATGTACTGAATACAAATGTACTTAGTGTTACACACAAAGAAATATAAGTGGCAAAAACATGGTCGCCGTGACCAGTGGAACATCCGACATATTGAATAAATAAGAAACAGCACTTACAGATGTTGATCCTTAAACAATAACTTTAATGTTAACATGCAGTTACAAAGTATAAGACGAGATAAAAAAACTTAATAATATAACTTAACAATAAACTAAGAGTATTGAAGACAACACAGTTCAATGAGCCACAGAGCAAGAGAGAGCACTTCTGAGTATTAACAATTAAATGCAATCATTATGTTTTGCTTCCATTAAAGAAGATCGGAATTTAGAAATAATATTATTAGAGTTCTAGAGGGATGATGTTTGGGATATATATTGGAATGTATGTACAACACAACAGAGAAGGCAGGAAGGTGTGAGCGCACCACTAGCCAGTGTTCAAACATTACTTACAGTAACCCCTAATACAGCTAATATTGTAGATTTTGCACAAAATGTAAATTCATTGTATCACAAACTATATGTATATATATAATATATAGTCTATCCTTGCATATTATATAATTGAGTATCTAAATATTAGGATATGGCAACTTAACAACTTATTGTCTACTGGAATATTTATCGACTAAGGTTGTGGAGTGCATTCAGCATGTCAGCATGCACGCACACACACTCACACAGCACACTGTACCACTCCTTCAGAGCAGTACATCCAACATACAACATGGGTATCCTGTGTGGAGTTTGCTCCCTGGATTCCTCTACTCTTAAACATCTAACTGACTAAACTTTAAAGGAGCCCTCACAGGGCTATGAGTAACCTGCATAATTCAATCTTTTCATTAAATATATAACTCAATAATTTCATTGCATTAAACAAACATTAGTTCACACTATTCCGCTCTTAAAATTCTAATTTCACAAAATCCCCAAGAGCCTGTAACATTAAATTGCTTAATTTATCTGATATATATTGTAATGGCAGGACGGTTTCCTTGTCTGTGAGTGTGATTGTAGACTACAAGCAGCGACCCTACAACCTGATATGTGTCAACTCTACAAAGTCAATGTTTTCTTCATTTAGATTTCTACTAGTTTGTAACTGCTATTTCCGTAACGTGTCTAAACATATTAGCCAATATAATCAACGTGTATGATGACTGTAGGGGCAGCCAATGAGGAGAGCAATGCTACGTTTGCAACCAGTGGAACATGAGGCTGTGCACAGTCTGATAGTCCAATTCCATGTTGGGTGAACTCAGAAACTCTTTCAGGTCGAGGGTAATGTCACCGGAGAGCGCGGTCTCCTTCAGCTCGGCGGCGCTGTGAGCCGAGTTGTCGTCGGAGGCACAGTCGGACAGCCCGGGGTCTCGCCACTTGTCGTCGTAGCTGAGGTGGCACAGCGTCGGCGGCTCGTCTCCCTCACTTAGCTCCTCATCCACGGACACGGCCCTGGACTTGCTGCGACTCGACTCGTTGTCCGCGTTGTCACGGATTCCTTCGTGTTGTCTCCGAGCGTTTTTGAGAGCGCGATATCTCCGTGACCTCTCACGTTGCAGCCGACGTTTCCTTTCATCTGCACGTTCTAGCTCCTCTGGCGTTTTCTTTGTTGCATTCTTTCCGAAAAAATACCGCATGAAAGATTCATCACAGTTTCTTTTTGACAAATAACTAGCCATTAACTTGTAATAGTACTGATTATCCATGTTTTTTAGAATTTAGTGTTATATATAATAAACTTAACAAAAATATCCAGAAATTCTGGAAGTTGCGAAATAAAAATAATAAGAACGTTACTGTCGCTAATCTGACGTCATTTGACATTTCCAGTTTATTAGTCACAACTCACAGAGTAAGAATTTAGAACCGGTTTTATCATGGACCAGAAATAATTAATTTAAGTAACAAATTCTTTTAAATAACATTTTTACTGCAATAAGGAATAATTTGTTTATTTTTAAGTAACAGGCTTTCAGGTTATCATTTATTGAAATTTATGAATTATTTTTATTAGGTGGCTAATAAAAATAATTCATTATTTATAAAATTAATACTACAAATAAAATTTCAAAATTAATTAAAACACAATTTTCCTATTAAAAAGAAAAAGATTTAGGATGAAAAGGAACAATTAAATGATTAAGATATATTTAGAATATCAGTTCTTTATTTTGTAACAGTATTAAATAAAAAAAATGTTTAACATATGTTATAAAATTTATAAACTTTATAATAAATCACAATAATTTCATCAAAATTTATATATAAAACTATTTCGTATTGAGTCTATTCTCAACAGTTTTCTTGTCTTGTTTGTGTAACTCTCGTCGGTGTTGCCAACATGTGAGGTTATAGCTTCAATTCAATAGTTTTAGAGTATTTGAAGAATAAACCAACACACAGTTTTGCCTCAAAAAAAATTATGGCTTCTGGTACTGATGATTACTCTCGATAATGTTTGTTTAAGGCACACAAAAAGTTCTTTATATTTAAGATAAATTTTTATTAGAAAAAAATAAAAAAGGGTTTTTTTAAATCATTTTTACATTACTTTCACTAAAACCAACAATGTTTTCGTAGATCCTAAATATAAAGGGGTTCATTTAATTACTTTAAGAGTATATAAAGTTTTATTGGACTTTCTATTCTCTTTAAGTTTACATTTGCGTTTCTAGATTATAACGAGTATATACCCATGTAGGAATCATAAACGCAAACAAAAATTTCATAAAAAACACGTAAGCATATTCAAAGTTCACCATCAACATATAGAAAGTGTGAGTTAATAACAGTGTTCTCTCAATATTGTAACAGTATAATATTTTAATAGCCGTCCTTATCACAGAGATGACGCGCGGTTCATGATTCATTACGGATCAGAAGACCGGGATGTCGGTCCTCTTGACGGCGGACAGCCCGTCGTCCCACGTGAGCAGCACGCTGAAGGTGAGGTACAGCGCCACGGCCGACAGCATGTGCCACAGGTCGTGCGAGTCGTAGAACTGGAGCAGCGAGCACTCGTGGTTACGGTGACGGGACAGGGCCGGCGGCGACGACCAGTCCGTGGAGCCCGACAGGAAGAAGTACAGCGCGGGCACCCAGGCCGCCGCCGCGCCCGCCAGCAGCAGCCACGCGTACCAGCGGAGGCGCTCGCCGTGGGACAGCTTCATGCCCAGGTAGCAGCACAGGTGCACCAGCGCGTTACCCAGCAGGATCTGCAGCATGTGGCCCGCGAAGTCGCGCTTATGTTGGAGCAGCCTGAGGAGAGACACCATGAGGAACGCGGCCCAGGGGAGGAGATACGGACAGAGCGGGGAAGAACGTACCCGTATATGGCGAGCAGCCAGTTGAGGGCGTTGGCGATGAGGAGCAGCACCAGGCGAGTGACGTACCGGGGACGACGCAGCTCCGACGTGGCCGCCGCCAACGACTGCTTCTCTAGAACATGAGAAGTGACAGGGTCAGTCAGTGGGAGGACGAGGAGCGAACGGAACGACGGTAGGGAGTCATGGTCACCGAGGCGGAACTGTCCCACGTAGTAGATACGGAGAGACAGCAGCAGGAACGTGAACACGTGGATCACCGTGAACAGGCCGTAGAACACCGGCCCGCCGCCCAGCACGCCCCACACCACTGTACGGGACAAGACACCACGGGTTATATACAGTGAGAGGGACGAGCTCCTGACTGAGTGCGTCGTGATCAGTCACCGAGGGCTATGAGCACGGCGAGCACGCCGAAGGTGGCGTGTGCGCGCGCATTGACGTCGGGGTGGCGGGACTGGTAGATCTTGACCATCATCAGCACCGCCAGCACGTACATGAAGGCCGTGTCTGGAGCAGGACAGAGACAGATAAGTATATCTTTATATATATAAATTTCCTGTCACGTGTTTGTCCGCGATGGACTCTAAGCTACTAAACCGATATTAAATTTGATTTGCATTCCGTGGGCATTTTGATCCAACTTGAAAGATAGGATAGCTTACATCTCAATTTATAGTCACAATATTATTTTATTGCAAATTATTTTTCTATTAAAGAAAATTATTTGTCATTTTTACAATTATCTGGTGACTGAGTTAAGTAAGTAATCAATAGATGACACTATATTAAAAATACAAACGTCATATACAAGCAACTATTTAAGTAGAAACTCGATTATCCGGCCCTCAGTTATACAGATTCGCGATTATCCGGGCTACGGACAAGTCGGACTACGGACAAGAAAATATGTCAAAGCGTAAGAGAGTGGTGTTGTTGAGAGTGGCGTACGTCAAATGACAATTACCAAATATTCTAAACCAAATTAAACTTATTATTTGAATTTATGATCACTAATTGCTAATTACCAAATACATATTGTAATTTATTTCATGATTAAATCTGTTTTTAGTACATGCATATATAAGGTGGCCAACCGTCCCGCATTCTGCGGGACCGTCCCGCACTGCTAGACGAAATCCCGCTTTGAAATTATTCGTAAAATAGTCCCGCAAAACGTTGTATGCGTCCCGCATGTCCCACATCCCTATTTTTCTACCACACTTCTACACAACACCCATACCACGGTCTACAGTGCAGGAACACAGATTACCTATAATAGGGACAGGCGTATCGCGCCCGCGATAATCTCGTTTTCTTTCTTTCTTCTGAACTCATGACGCGTAAGAGAGTACTCAAATTTAATATGGGCAGTTGCGAAGATTTTTATGACATTCCCAATCCCTAACACCCTCCCCCCCCCCGCCATTCACGAAAGGTTACGTCCCGCATTCAGTTTTCCGAAAGTTGGCCGCTTTCAGCATATATCTGTATGTATATATTATGTGGATTTTCGATTAATCAAATGCCTATATGTATACAACAATTAGTCCGATTAATCTAGTTTCTACTGTAATAGCATAAACACCACGTGTTTCCGAGGCTAAGGTACACCCTAAATTTATTTATTAAAAACGTAACAGATATTTCTTGATTATAGGGCGATACGAAGTTCGCCGGGTCTTTTAATATATATAGAGCTCACTCTACCTATATATATAGAGCTACTCTATGTAGGAGTCTGACCTCTCAAGGTCAGACTCCTACACACACTACAGGGGCCACTCACCGAACTGGAAGTTGAGTCCGTTGGGACACACGTGGTAGGAGGCGGAGAGCACGCCCACCACCATCATGCCGGCGCCCAGAGACGACAGCAGCCCGTAGTGAGCCGGGATGCCGTACTCCTGACAGAAACATCACCAGCGGTAAGGAACACGTACTGAGATACTGTTATCAGTGGGGCTCCACACACACCAGCTTATATTGAACGGACCTCGTTCTACGATTTATTCTGTTATTTGTATATAATAAAGTTAAACTAGCTTATGTGACATAAAACGTTGCACTATAAATGAAGCTAAAAAGGTTCTCCATGATTGGCTAATTTCATTGTCTTATGAAAGTACAGAAAAAAATTCTTATCGTACAAACGTGATCTCAGATTCATGATAATTATATTTATATCTTGTATATTTAATTTATTATGTATGTACGTGTGTATATGTCTGTATATGTACCTATATATACACACATATATATATATATATATATATATATATATACAGGGTGACTAGCGAATTACTATCGATACTTGAGGACGTGATATTTGACGATCATATATGACAAAATAAAAATTAATATAACACAAATATTAATAAACTTCTAAGTAAAGTTAACCAAAAGTTGTGTAATTAATTACGCTTCGTGTTAACACCCTACAGATTAGGTATACACACACACACACACGCGCGTGCGGCGGCGTGGTGTTGTATCAGCACGCCGCCGCACGCGTCCACACTTGGAGCACTTGGAACGTGTCCACACTTTATTTATTTATACGGAAATTTGGTCAAAAATTAAGTACGTATTTTTTTACAAAATTCGAATGAGAATCATGTACCGAGTATGCGCCTTAAATATTGATAGTAATTCACCAGTCACCCTATATATATGTGTGTGTATGTGTATGTGTATGTATGTATGTATGTATGTATATATATATATATATATATATATATATATATATATATATATATATATATATTTGAGGACGTGATATTTGACGATCATATATGACAAAATAAAAATTAATATACCTAACATAAATATTAATAAACTTCTAAGTAAAGTTAACCAAAAGTTATGAAATTAATTACGCATCGTGTGAACACCCTACAGATTAGGTATACACACACACACACACGCGCGTGCGGCGGCGTGGTGTTGTATCAGCACGCCGCCGCACGCGTCCACACTTGGAGCACTTGGAACGTGTCCACACTTTATTTATTTATACGGAAATTTGGTCAAAAATTAAGTACGTATTTTTTTACAAAATTCGAATGAGAATCATGTACCGAGTATGCGCCTTAAATATTGATAGTAATTCACCAGTCACCCTGTATATATGTGTGTGTATGTGTATGTGTATGTATGTATGTATGTATATATATATATATATATATTTGAGGACGTGATATTTGACGATCATATATGACAAAATAAAAATTAATATACCTAACATAAATATTAATAAACTTCTAAGTAAAGTTAACCAAAAGTTATGAAATTAATTACGCATCGTGTGAACACCCTACAGATTAGGTATACACACACACACACACGCGCGTGCGGCGGCGTGGTGTTGTATCAGCACGCCGCCGCACGCGTCCACACTTGGAGCACTTGGAACGTGTCCACACTTTATTTATTTATACGGAAATTTGGTCAAAAATTAAGTACGTATTTTTTTACAAAATTCGAATGAGAATCATGTACCGAGTATGCGCCTTAAATATTGATAGTAATTCACCAGTCACCCTGTATATATGTGTGTGTATGTGTATGTATGTATGTATGTATATATATATATATATATATTTGAGGACGTGATATTTGACGATCATATATGACAAAATAAAAATTAATATACCTAACATAAATATTAATAAACTTCTAAGTAAAGTTAACCAAAAGTTATGTAATTAATTACGCATCGTGTGAACACCCTACAGATTAGGTATACACACACACACACACGCGCGTGCGGCGGCGTGGTGTTGTATCAGCACGCCGCCGCACGCGTCCACACTTGGAGCACTTGGAACGTGTCCACACTTTATTTATTTATACGGAAATTTGGTCAAAAATTAAGTACGTATTTTTTTACAAAATTCGAATGAGAATCATGTACCGAGTATGGGCCTTAAATATTGATAGTAATTCACCAGTCACCCTGTATATGTGTGTGTATGTGTATGTATGTATGTATGTATATATATACATATATATATATTTGAGGACGTGATATTTGACGATCATATATGACAAAATAAAAATTAATATACCTAACATAAATATTAATAAACTTCTAGGTAAAGTTAACCAAAAGTTATGTAATTAATTACGCATCGTGTGAACACCCTACAGATTAGGTATACACTGACACTCACACACTCGCGGCGGGGGCGTAGTGTTGTATCAGCACGCCGCCGCACGCGTCCACACTAGGAACACTTGGAACGTGTCAACACTTTATTTATTTATACGGAAATTTTGTCAAAAATTAAGTACCTTTTTTTTTTACATAATTCGAATGAGAATCATGTACCGAGTATGCTCCTTAAATATTGATAGTAATTCACCAGTCACCCTGTATATATATATAATGTAATCGTAATATTAATTACTGTATATTTATGTTATTCCATTTATTTACTTGTTTTTGTATCTTTTTTTTTCTATATTTAAGATTTAATACTTTTGAGCCATTTGTAACATGTTTATAAAGCACACGCCATCTACCATAGGTGTAACTTGTTATAGTTAATCGTAAATAAGTCATCCACGACACAAGCTCGCTCAGTGTGGACGTCCCTGGAAATCGCGCCATGTTATCACTTCAGTAAAATATTGATATGTTTGTGTTCCCTGTTAACATTGAGTTATTGCTGGTAATAAAGTATTTTTCATTTTTTCATTATAAATATGCAGTATATCTCGCTGCAGTGTGTTTATATTGTTGTGTGTGGGTACCTGATGTCTGGGTTGTCTCTTCCGTGCCAGTCGCCGGCGCCGCACCTGCAGCATGAACAGCGCGCCGAGCAGCAAGTAGCCCAGGTTGGAGAACACGTGGTTGAAGTCGGACAGGGCGCCGGCGCGGTGAGAACACAGGAAGTTGTAGTAACAGATGTCCAGCGACCCCGACACGTTCAGGATCTGACGGACAGGAGACAGGGGAGGAGTAGAGACACCAGGTGAGAGAGAGTGACGCCGGGAGAGGCGGCGGACTTACGATCTGGAAGGCGGTGATGAACTGGATGACGGGCAGCGCGTAGAACACGGACACCGTGTACAACATGGACAGGTAGCGGTCCGAGCGGGCGCGGAGCGTGCGGCCGCCGCGACGAGCCAGCGCCGCCAGGTGCAGGCGCGCGGGCAGGCCGAACGGACCCTGGGGGAGGCAGGTATTGATGGTCACTTGAGACACTACCACCGGGTCGGAAAACAAAATACCCTGACCTGACACAAAGGAGTTACTGACTCTATGTAGTCGAGTAACAGGAGTAACAAGTTTATGTTTGTTCCTTGTACCAATGCTATGAGTATCACATTTTCTCATGAAATCATTAATATTTTTTCGTACATACATAACATTGCAGAATATATGTATATTGAGAAGCAACAGTCAATATTTTGATTTCTTTAAATTTATTCCTTAACGATTCTTTAGCTTCTAGGTTATAGATTGCGCGAATAGCCCTCTTCTGTAGCACAAATATAGTATGGAGAGCGGCTGCGTTGCCCCACAGCATAATACCGTATGACATTATACTGTGAAAGTAACTGAAATATACTAAGCGAGCCGTATCAACATCTGTACATTATCTAATTTATTTGACCGCGAATGCCGCAGAACTCAGTCTACTCGCCAATCCGTTAATACGGGGGCCCCATTGCAACTTAGCATCAATAGTAAGGCCAAGAAACTCAGCAGAAACCATTGCATCCATCGATTCCCCGTTAATGAGTACATCGGCTTTTACATTATGTACATTAGGTGTACTAAATTTCACAATTTTTGTTTTATTATTATTTAGCCTAAGATTGTTTACGCTAAACCAATATCAGCTATAGCATTGTTTACGTCGTCGTACTGTACCTGTTTTCTATTAATTTTTAAAACTAATGAGGTATCATCATCAAACAATACTACATCATGTACCGTGTAGTATATCATGACTCGTTACCTGTTCCTCGGAGGTGACGGCTGCAGCCGGCTGAGGTCCATCAGGTCCGGGCCCGGTGTCAGCTCCTCTCCCCCCCTGGGTCCGCTCGTCGTGTCCCGGGCCGGTGGTGGTCGTCACCGAGTCGTTGACCTGCTCTTCATCGGAGTCGCTCGCGTCGCTGCTATCGAATGTGGCGTCTGAAATTATACATGGGCGGTTTTAATATAGAAAATTCATTTTATAAAAACATTAGGAATCTGTTTTAGCTCTAGACAATGTAAACGTTCGTTGACTGGATAGGGCAAGCTTGGATTTACTTTACGACGCCCCAGTCCCCGACCCCTGTGCTATCGTTATATTATGTGATACTAATAAAAGACAGTCCGTGTACAGTGACTACTCGGTTACTTTTATTTCTTTTTCCCCACTAAATATATTTAAAAAAAGGAATAAGAGTATTTTTTAACAAATATCACAATGTTAACTTAATAAAATCGTATGAACTTAGAATGAAATTTCCGTAAAATCCTGTATCCAACCGTAAAACAAAAACTACAAGAATGACCTTCATACGTGAGGAACTACTTTGAAATGTTCTCGACTCTAGAGCGCTACATCTACTTATCTACTGAGCATCCGACTGGTGACAAAATAACCAATTTCGTTACATGGAAAGTCGATGTTATACTGACCGGAGAGGCGGCGGCGAGGCTCCTGGCCCGCGACCTCCGACCGGCCCTCCGCGCGCTCCACCGCTGTAACAGTGAACACTTTAGACAGACCTTAGGCTGAGGAGAAGCGGGGGGGGGGGGGGGGGGGCGGACACTCACCGCTGGTGTCCGGGGAGGAGGCCAACACGGCGCGAGGAGCCACCACGCGGGCGAAGGGAGGCCAGCGCTGAGCGGCCACCAGCACACCGAACAGAATGTAGAAACTGAGGAACACCACCAGCGTGGACACCGACGCCACCAGGTACTGCGTGCGGCTCAGCGCCGGCTGTGGACACGAAGGATAACGTTCACCTAACATACTGACACCACCTCGAGGGAGAGGGTCGTGATACACCGGGTCTAACCTGTACGGCGACGGTGAGGTCTTTGCGTCGTTGTTCTCCGCGCGTCACCACCTCCCGCCCCTTGAACACCTCCTCGAACAACCAGTCGGAGCCGTCCTCGGAGTCTCCGCCGCACGCCTGATCCGTGTCCCGCACCAAGGACACTACGTAGAACCCTCGCGGGAAGTCCGACCGCTGGAACGGAGGATCCATATTAGCCTTTTTCCATATTTCGTATAGTTTTTATGAGTTATATCTTTAAGAGAAATTATAATAAGTTATTATGTTTGATGTTAATAAGATATGTTTGGTAAATATAATGTTGGTGTTTGTTTAAATTAAAATGTCCTGTTTTATACTAATTTTATTACAATTTCATATTATACATAGTTATATCTATGACGTATTTAATAGAAGTATGTCTTACCTTATATTTTCATAGTCCAAACGCTTATAAAAACATAATAATATTGTGTTTATTTCAATTTCAATATTATTTTTTCTGTATTATTATTTTATAATTTAACAATGTTACTTTAATGTAATTGTTACCGCTGTCAGTACCTCAACATCAGGAGATCACTGAAAATTAGTGTAGAAGCAACATTGCTTCTAGTTTTCACTGAGTGGTTCTCTTTTTGTTTAAATTACACTGCTGCACACTTATTATTGTTTTATTGATTTTTTACTCTGTTTTTATTTTTTTGTTTGTAGTGTAGTGTATTATTATTATTTAAATGGTGAGGTCAGGGTAGTCTGTGTGGTCGGTCGGTGGCCGCCTCACTCACCAACAGCTGCACGCTGCTGGACCGCAGCATGGTCATACGGAGTCCCACCACCGACACCTCCGGCAGAGACTGGGCTATGGGACACTGGAACAGGGAGAGTCATCATTACAATACACAGACTCCTTATATATCGCGTGCAATATTATTAATACATAACTAGTCTGATCATGACTATCGTTACAATAACACTTTTCATTTTTTCTACTTGTAAATTATTTTGTTTATAGAATACCCTTATTATTTTAAAAACTTCTTCCGATTTTGTGTCTTTTAATAGGCCAGTGCAGAAGCCTTTAAAATTAATGAAAAGTGAAAATAAATTATAGTAGAATGAAACTCATTAGAAAAGGAGAGGAATATCATAAAAATAAAAGGAAAAATAATTTATGGGCGATCTGAGGTCGGGAAGTGTATGGAGATGGGTATTTAAGGGTAAAAAATGGCTTTTCTCGATTTCCGGCAAAACTAAAAGTCCTACAGAAAAAAATTATATGACAAAGTTGTAAAAAAATAATATTTTGTCACGAAATTTGGTCAAAACTTACACTTTGATGTCCCAAATACACTGTAATTTATTTGATTAGAAATATTTATTTATTCAGCTTATTTTGAATAAATATCGAAAAATCAGCCTCATTTTCAATCGTACAATCACCCTTCAAAATATCAGCTATTTTGAAAAATTTGGTATGTTTTAAATTTTTTAAAATCTCTATTTTCCGATGGTGAAGAAAAAATATAAGTTTCTAACTTGTAGTATCATTGTTGGATAAAATAATTATATCCCTTTTAATGAAATGACACTCGATATATTTTGAAAAATGCTCTTACAATTTATTTTTAATAGTTTTAGCAGCTTTATATCAATTTTCTGTAAATTACCTAAAAGAGGGACTATCTGGAGAACTTCCAGAGTACACAACTATTAAAAATAAATTAGAAATAGCATTTTCAAAACGATGTCGAGTGTCATTTCATCAAAAGAGACATGATTATTTTATCAAATAATGGTACTGTAAGTAAGAAACTTATATTTTTTTCTTCACCATCGGAAAATAGAGATTTCAACGAACAGAACACATACCAAATTTTTGAAAAAAGCTGATATTTTGACGGGTGATTTTACGATTGAAAATGAGGCTGATTTTTCGATATTTATTCAAAATAAGCTGAAAAAATAAATGTTTCTAATCAAATAAACTACAGTGTGTTTGGGACATCAAAGAGTAAGTTTTGACCAAATTTCGTGACAAAATATTAAATTTTGTAAGAGATAAAAATAAAAAACCAAAAACATGGTTTTTCGAATTTTTCACATAAAATTTGAGGTTATGTGAAAAAAATGTTAGTACAAAAGTTTTAGATCTTTTTATTACCTACAACTTTGCCATATAACATTTTTCATTAGGACTCTTAGTTTTTCCGGAAATCGAGAAAACACATTTTTACCTTAAATACCCACGCCCGTACCCTTCCCGACCTCAGATCGCCCGTAAATTATTTTTCCCTTAATTTTTATAACATTCCCCTCCTTTTCTAATGGGTTTCATTCTACTTTAATTTAATTATGTTTTAAAAGCTATCGTCACTGGTCTATAACTTATTTTTAGTGTTCTATTATCATATATAGATAACAATATAAAATGTGGTTTTCAAGATAACAGGAATGCGGTGAGTGACAAACACTGTGAATCTTACTATCCACAGACACTACAACTTTCGAAATCCAGAAATAGTCGTGGCGGCCGTTTGCTGTTAGAATTACAAAGGCTGAAAAAGACAGATTTTGTCGAAACCCCATTAGGAACCAAAACTCGCTTGAAAACGGTACGTAAATCATAGAGTTTGTAAAAAACAGAAAAAGGCCAAGGACGACCATATCGAATAGAATATGTTTTACTTTTTAGCTGAACTTTAATAAATTTATGGGAATTTAATATTACATTATGTGCTTCATTTTAAAAATACATTTTAGTTTATAACAGGACTTACGTCTAGACGAGGTAGTGACTCCTCGACGTGGAACAACTTACTTGGTACTGTTGTACGGAGATGGTGGCGCACACGTCCGCCTCCGACGACAGTGTGAGGCGCACGCTGCTCTGACCCTCCGAGAACTCGTAGAACAACACGCGCGGAGAGGACTGGACCGAACATGGAGAGGACGGATCAACAGGACAGAAACATAGAGCGACAACAACAACATTATATACGGCAGGAGTTTACTATGGTGGCGGTGACGGACAGCGGCTGATGCAGGTGGAGTCTCCAGGCGGGGGGCAGGGACGCCCGCAGGGACACGCGCACCGGAGACGAGCACGCGCTCGACACGTGCAGGAACAACTGACGGGGGGCGGACTCCGCGCCCTCGGCTGGCAGGGGGGGGAGCATGTACTTACTATTATATATGACTACCGTTTAAGAAAAGCACTGTATAAATAATACTGACAACAAGAGGAGCCGTCGGGGTCGGCGGCCGTGTCGTCTGGACACAGGGTGCGCTCCAACTCGAACAGCTGTCGGCCCTCAGACTCGAAGGGTAGCTGCCACGTGACCGCGCCTACCACGGGACGAACACATTACACGAGGACCTCACACATAGTACATATAGACAAGACGTTATGAGATGTACTTGGAGGGCAAACATTATACTGGCGAGGATACTACTTAATGTATGGAAACTATGGCAAAACATGGAAAATTATAATCCTATTTGAATCTCACACAAGCGCAAGTAAGGAAGAGAGTACAGATCTGGTTTAGATCTTTATTCTCATAAGAACAAACACAGGTTACGTGAGATTAAATAATGTTACACACATACATTAGTATTTGATATAAGGAGTGGCTAGTACTACTTGATATTGTCTAATATATACATTTTAAGTTTATTTTTAAAAGCAATTAAACATTTACATTCCTTTATGTAGTTTGGCAAATCATTATATAGTTTTACTCCATCAAAACGTATATTTTTGTGTCCATAATTTAAGGTTCTGACTTTAGGTAATTCAAGTTTATGTCTGTTTCTTAAGTTATGCTTGTTTGATTTTTGTGTAAATGCTATGTTTAAATGAATACTTTTAGATAGTATCTTTTTAATTAAAATACATGTGTTATAAATATATGTTTGATTTAGGTTGAATAATTTTGATTTTTTGTACAGTTCTATCGAAGTCATAATGAAAAAGTACTTTTATAATATATACAGATAACGACAAAGCGATAAAGGATATACAGGGTGACTGTGAATTACTATCGATATTTGAGGACGTGATATTTGACAATCATATATGACAAAATAAAAATTAATATAACATAAATATTAATAAACTTCTGAGTAAAGTTAACCAAAAGTTATGTAATTAATTATGCATCGTATGAACACCCTACAGATTAGGTATACACACACACACACACTCGCGCGCGGCGGCGTGTTGTTGTATCAGCACGCCGCCGCACGCGTCCACACTTGGAACACTTGGAACGTGTCCATAGTTTATTTATTTATACGGAAAGTTGGTCAAAAATTAAGTACCTATTTTTTTTACATAATTCGAATGAGAATCATGTACCGAGTATGCTCCTTAAATATTGATAGTAATTCAGCAGTCGACCTGTATTATGTGAATCATTCAGAGCTGTTACTGCTGTTGTAACAACCTTATAGCACTGTATGGCAAATAAATATACGAAGACCGAGTTGATATGGATACTACGTAGTGATGAGCTCCACGAGACAGGAACCGACCAGCAAGTGTGGACATGAGAAACAACACAGGCACTAGTGAACTGCATCTGAACATATTACAACATTATTATTACATATCTTCATATTTAAGCATAAAATTTGAAAATACGACGTAATTATATGCAAATATTTCATGAAAATGCGGTAGTACAATCACAAATGGCTCTGTATAACATCTCACTTACCTTATCAGCAACCAAAATCACTAAATATTCAAAAAGTTATTCACCCTAAAGCAAACTTCAAATCGCGCGCTATATACAGAAAAAAAGTTATGAGGTTTTCTTACTTTAAGAACTTACTTTTTGACGTGATAACGTCTTTAAAATCGTTTTAGTCGGGTGACATGTTCAGAAACTTGTGTCACACCAAAACCTCACGAGCGCGATTGCAGGTATAACGAGAGAGAGACGGACCCATCTCCCGTCTCATCTCGAGCGCTGCCAGTCCTTCCGTGAAACTTGTCACGCGGAATCCTCACGAGCGGAGGCAGGCATAGCGTTCGAGTGAGTGGACCGATCTTCCGTCTCTCTCACTCTAGCAGCATACAAACGAATGGAGATTTTATCGTGCGGTTAAGTTTTCATTGAATGTTTAACAGTGAAACAAAATGTGAAGTGCAAGTGAAGTGTTACAACAATTGCAACAAAAAAAAACCGAAATTTATCATCAAAAGTGTGAATAAAACGATAGATGTAATTTAAAATTTGAAAAAATTGTTATCTTCATTAATTCCTTACTTCCCAAAAACTTATATCCCTAATAAGACGTTATCACGTGAACATCTCGATCGTAAACCTACTTTACAAACAACCAATTTTTTTTAAGGTGCGTTTACGAAGCTTGTTTAAAATCGCTAATTTAAAATAAACATATAATAGTCCGGTCAAATTAGACATTCGGTGCTACATAAATTCGCAACAAGCTGAATTTCGGTACAATTGTTCAAAACACGATTATAAGCATTAAGCAATAGCCGAAAGTTCCCCATCATTCCCGTGGGTGGAAAAAATTTATTCAAGGTCAAATGTCAAAAAAACGAGTTTTTCGTGATTTTCAGCAAAACGGTAAGTTTTATCAGAAAAATACCTCAGACCTAAAATTGTAGATCATTAAATTATCTAAGTACGAACCCGCACCCTCGTGCATGAGTGGCGGGCCTTTTAACCACTAGGCCACCACTGACTGTTATATATATAAAATATAACAACTCTAGATGTATATACGTGTCGTACTCATGCATATTATGACGATAACAACTTTTATAACTTTTTGAATCGTTATATCTCAGAAACGGTAGCTCATAAGAAAAGAAGTATTGATACATTTGTTATAGATAATTTTATGATCTATAATTTTTGTCTGAGGTACTTTTCTGATGAAACTTACCGTTTTGCTGAAAATCGCGAAAAACTCATTTTTTTGACATTTGACCTTGAATAAATTTTTTCCACACACGGGAATGATGGGGAACTTTCAGCTATTGTTTATAATCGTGTTTTGAACAATTGTACCAAAATTCAGCTTGTTGCGAATTTATGTAATTTTACCCTAATTTTTGGTCTAATTTGACCGGACTATATGAATAGTGTTGGTTTCACGCGAAATAATAATTGAAACTAGTTGATGGTCCCGCTGTCAAAGTTACCCGAATGAATCAAAGTTCCCCAGATTGATATGAAAGTAAAGTTTATAAAAAATATATTTTAAAATAACATTAAAAAGTACAATAGAATTAGGTAAACACAAAGGTCGTAGGCATCAGAAAAATTAAACACGGAACAGAAAACAAGACAAAAAGAGTTATAATTATATCTAATTTTTTTTAATATTATTTCTACCGTTTTCGCTATATGCTCCCGAAGTTAGAATTACTTATATTTTGGATGACGGTCGTTGAAGTTCAATCAAAACACAACATTCATTTTAAAATTAGATAACAAACGGATTAGGTTGTATAAAGGAGCGACTTCCATACATGTCTACGTCTTTATGAAGAAACACACATGTTATGTATGATATACATACAAATATTTGAAAGACGATTACAACTAGAGGTTTGACTCGGCTCTCTCTCTCGATAGATGGCGCTGATATCGATACGTGAATAGAATAGAGATCTACAAGTCCGCTAACCCGCGTTGTTCATATATTGTAATGATTTAAGTAAAGTGAGTTAGAGAAAGGTTTCTGATAATAAAATAATATGTATGGTAGTTGGTAATGATTGTAAGATACATTTTAATTCGTCAAATTTTCCTTTTTTTCGTATACTTCGAGCATTAAGGTAGGCGTAAGGCGTGATTTGCTAGTGTGAAGACTATGATAATAATTAATAATTTGATATGTATTATTTTCTGTGTTTGTTGTTATTTGTGTATCATTTATAGATCTCAGTTTTTTGGAGTAGGTATATTTGACTATTGTGGGTGTGCCATTTCTATATTTTATAGTGAGTTCATTCTCTCCGTTGTTTTGACGACGGGAAAGTTTCTCTTAAGTTGCTAAGATATTTTTGTTGAGCTGGTGTTTGATCGCAGTATATTTTTATATTTTGCAGTAATTTGTTTTGGTTGCGCAGAAGTTGTTAAGCGGGCCTAGATGTCTCGTAGCATATTAGCATATTATATATGAGAGAGAGAGAGAGAATATAACAATGTGGGTTGAGGTCCATGTGTAGGGTATACAGGGATTATTTGAACATATGCAGTGCACAGACTGAGATACATCAGAAATAAAGAGACAGAAAGACGGAGAGAGGATCAAATAATATAATACCAAAATAGTTGAGGTAGTTGCCAGACGTGTTAACATTCATGGCACAGTTGGACCAGTCAGAGGGAGCTGTGTTTACGTTAATTAATACTGTCATCACTCGCCTGTTCGTTGCCTGGCGGTGACCAGCACGGGGTGCGAGGAGTCCCCGCCGTCCACCTGCAGCCACACCGTGCTGGGGACCTCGCCCTCCGGCTGTAACAACACACACACGTCACGCGCCTGTCACCGGTCGCCCGCTCGTGACCCGCCCCCCCCCCGCGCCTCACTCACCTGCGTCAACTCCAGGATGTATTCTACGGTGTCGTTCACCTGCAGCACGTGCACCTCGTTGTACGTCAACCTGTCGACACCCAGGGGTAGCTCTTACTACAGTGTATAAACAGACACGAGTCTAACGATCATGAGCTACGCGAACTTGACACTTTCAATTCTGTTACTGCGAATCTGTCATACATTGAAAATAACAAATATAGTGACATTTGACGGCCGTCAGGAGTCAGGACGCGCTTTTTGGACTTCTCGAACAAGTCTGAGTATTTCGGGTTTTCGTTCAGAGTTTGTGAGAAGTGTGATATTTATCTATTAGCGAGTCCGCGAAACCTTGACCTCACCGACTCGATAGTGAGCGCCGCTAAAACCGACCGCGAGTGTACTCGTTATCACAAATTTCGGACAAACAGAGATTTGTAAGAGGAAATAGCACTAAATAGCGCGTCACGCGAATATTGAAATATTATTTATGGTCGATCGAGCCGTGTCTGTCTCACCGCATCTGCAGGACGGTGACGGGCGCCGGCTCGGCCGCCGCGGACACCACCCACCACACCACGAGCGACCACCACATGACACATACACACACACACGGACACGACACGAGGCAACGAGGAAGACGACCTGCGGCCGGGGAGACACCCGCGAGGATTACGGACTGACGGACGACCGGCGGGAGGGGGAGGGAGGAGGGGGGGCAGGGGGACTGATAAGGAACCCTATCAGCAGGGGTATCAAGATATCGACGTGTCGACACACGGTTACTCATCGATCACACCTCACTAATGTAGCACAAACACACTGATAGAGGAACGCTCGCTTATCAGATCGTGTCACCGGCAGGTCCCGCGGGCCCGGCGGGACAGCGAGCCCCGGGATGTGGGTCAGCCTGCCCCCCCCCCCCCGCCCCCCGGCCGCGGCACCTCGATAACGTATCTCCGTCATGACTGACCGCACGGAATCGTTTCCTTATCACTACATTGTATTTCGTTAAATAGATTTGTTTCTTAGAGATCGTCCCGCTCGCGCGAGAAATAAAACGACGAGTATAAGGAAATAATTTATTAAGTATAACATATATACTAGAAAAACAAGGAGCGAGTGGTGGAGGCTAGCGGCGAGAGTAGCGGAGACCCACCTCCTGCACGACCGCCTCGATGGAGTCCAGGCAGCGGTCGATCTGGGCCCGGGAGTGAGCCGCCGACAGACAGAACCTGCGGACACAATGAGCGTTACACACACACACACACACACATACATACGTACATACACACACACACGTACACACAGACGGGTGGGAGTCTCACCTGATGCGAGCCTTGTTGAGGGGCGTGGCGGGGTAGCCGACGCCGACCGTGGCCAGGCCGCGCTCCGTGAGCCGCTCCACGGTGGCCGCCATCTTACTGAACGTGTACACCAGCATGGGCACCACGGGCGAGTCCTCGTGCCCGAACGTGATGGCGCCCATCTCACGGAGCCGGCGACGGAAGTGGTGCGTGTTGTCCCGGAGACGAGCCACGCGCTGGAGGCCCACGGGCGAGGAGATGGCGCGCATGGCCGCCAGCACCTGCGCCGCCACCGGGGGAGACATGGCGTGCGCGTAACCGTGCGCGTGGCAGCGGCCGCGAACCCACTCCACCAGCCGGCGGGAGCCTGAACACGGACGGAGGGGGGGTCAGCGAGGCGAGGGGGCGGAGGAGGGGGAGGGCAGCTGCTCATACACACCCGCTATGTATCCTCCGGCGGCGCCGAAGCTCTTGGTGAAGGTGCCCATGAGGACGTCGACGTCCCGCGGGGACACGCCGCAGTGGTCGGTGACGCCGCGGCCGCGCGGGCCCATGGCACCCACCGAGTGCGCCTCGTCCAGGTACAGGTACAGGCCCAGGCGCTTCTTGAGTGCCACGAGCGCGGCCAGCGGCGCCACGGAGCCCTCCATGCTGTACACGCCCTCCACCACGATGACGACCTTGGTCCAGCGGCCCTCGGCCAGGGCGGCCCGCGCCAGCCGCTCGCAGTGCCGCACGTCGTTGTGTCGGAACACGCGCACGGCGACGCGGGCGAGCCTCAGGCCGAGGATGAGCGAGGCGTGGTTGTTCTCGTCGCTGAGCACGAGCGCGCCGCCGCCCAGCAGGCCCGGCAGGCCGAGCGCGTTGGTCGCGAACCCCATCCCGAACACCACGGCCGCCTCCACGCCGAGGAAGTCGGCCGTGGTCCGCTCCAACTCGTCGTGCAGGGCCGTGGAGCCGAGCTCGCCGCGGGAGGACGCGAGCGCGAGCCCGTAGCGCCTGGCGGCCGCCTCCGCCGCCTCCGCGCAGGGCCCGCTCGCCTCCGCGAAGCCCAGGTAGTTGTAGGAGCCCAGGTTGATGCAGCGCTTCTCCGTGCCCGTGAACCTGCGCGTGAGAGACTACGAGTCAGTGGGAACAGAGCAGGGTCGGCGGGTGTGAGCGTGGGTCGCGAGGGTGTCACCTGAAGGACCAGTTATAATCGTCCGTGTGGCGCTCCTTGAGCGTCAGCTCGGCGCCGGGCGTGGAGCTGATGGGTCGGTTGAAGCAGTGCCGCACGCGCCGGTACACGTAGCGGGAGAAGAACTGCTCGAACGGGTTGTACAGCGGAGCGTAGCCCTGCACAGACGGGCTGCTTAGAACGTGATGACCTTCATGTATTGACGCCAAGGACGTAATATTAACATCGCGAGCTACACTATGTCATGCCGTGACGGTATTCGTTGTATGTATTTTATACGATCTACTCTTAATTGTTTAAGATGTAGTTTAAGTCCGACTGTATAGTCTCCGGTGTATTCAGAGCTCGTTTGTATAATGATTTAATGATATGTATATTTATTTAGGACCCTTCTGAGATGTTTCGATCAAAGTAAAAGGTATCTAAAAGGTAGTACATATTTTTTATATAGGAGGTTGTATTACAACCTGTTTAAGAGTAGAGGTAAAGTCAGGCGGATCTGGATCTTCCCTCTTCATGCAAGTCCTCAATTACCCAAATAACTTATCATTTAGAATAGCCTCTATATATCTGGTTCAAACACGTTTTTCATCTACACCTGGGACAGTCATCAGATAGCGATAATTACTATCAATACACGTGCTACCTATAATACATAACACACACACACACACACTCACACACACACACGCACACACACACTACTCCTCGTGTAATATGGCTAGTTAAAGAAAAGAATAATCTCAATAAATATGACTATTATATATGTATACTAGAAGACCCGAAGAACTTCGTATCGCTCTATAATCAAGAAATATCTGTTACGTTTTTTTATTTATATTTTTGGACCTTTATTTATATTTTTGTTTACCTATTAAAGCCATAAATCTCCGTGTTTTGAAGTGCGACAGAAAGATTGACATATTAGTTAGTTGTCAAATCTAATGTCAAAAAAACGTTTGTATCAACAACTACTAACAAAATTAAAAATTAATTAAAAAGCCTTGTCCAGCGGACAAAATTGTGAATCTAAACCATTCCCAGATCCCCTTGAACACACACAAAAAAATTTCATCAAAATCGGTCCAGTCGTTTGAGAGATGTTCAGTGACATACACACGCACAGAAGAATTATATATATAAAGATAAGATGTGGTCGCACGAGTTGGTGTCGTGGACAACAGGAAGGAAAACACGGCGGAGTATGAACAAACAACGAGACGTAACACACGGACAGACAGGAAAATACACGGAGACACGTTACAGAGAGAAAATGAGCACTGGTTATACTCCGGTGACTTATATGTACATATTAATAGATCGACGAGATGCGAGGAGAGCTCGCGCTGTACACACACCGCGACCGACGACAGTAAACGATATGGAGATATGAAGAAATACATGTTGGACACACGGGTGATCACACACTGACTCTCCTCTTAGGGTGAGTCGCCTGCTTCACGTTGCAACTGAACAAACATCTACCGTCGATATCATACAACTCGAACGTTATTTAATGACAGTAATATAATTAGTAGATGAGCGCGCTAGTCCCCACCTCCCGGTTCCTCTCGGTGGCCACCTTCGGCTTGAAGAGCAGCTGGTTCACGAAGCCGAGGAACATGAGCAGGTACATGCCCACGTGAGTGAGGGCCGCCGTCATCAGCGAACACTTCTCGAAGGAGCCCGGGAACGTGTCGTACTGAGACCAGTCCATCATCGGGAACCGCTCGTTCTCGTCCTTACATTTCTGTGAACAAAAACAATCAAGGTTCACTGACTGATGACTGCGCTGGATAGCTGATGGGATGCGATAAGTAACCTGGGAGGTGGTCGCCTCCGCCATGGCTGGTGATCGACCGTCGACTGTAAAGACGACTTATATAAGACTTACGAGGATAATATGAGAAATATATAATGACAGGGAGGGAAACACGCGCGGACAAGGAACGTACGCTATGAGGATAATCCACATGATATATTTAAGTTTTATTAATTGTAACGAACGGTCCACTGTCATAGGAAAGTCTCAAATAGTTTCAAGTGTTAACTGACATGAACGTAGAGTGGACACGACGAGGCCGTGTGACGCTGACCAGGATGAGATAGTCCGTGAGAGAGACGCAGTTCGACCGGCTTACATTCTTTACATCGCAACATGACTATCAATTTATATGTAATTTGTACATGTTAAAATATACTCTGACTACAGCAGAAAGTTTATTAAGCCAAAACACTACAAGTGTATAAGTGCTCCATCACCATCCTAGCTACTTATATAATCAAACGACTTAGATTAGTCATATATAACAATGTTTCCTACCACCTTGATATAATCAGACACTCCACATTAAACAATATATCAGTCGGTCGGTCGGGGCCGCGTGTGACGTCACAATATACGTTATGAATAGGGCCCGGATAAATATGTATTAAAAAATCTAAAATATGTACATAAAATATGTACGAAAAAATCAAAAATATGGAAAAAATATGGAGTATAAAATACTTTATACTTTCATAATACTTTCATAATTAAACATTGTTTTACTATAAGAAAAGGGTCACTCGTGACGTACATCGTTAAGTTACATTTAAAAAACGATGAAAAAAAATAGGGAAATATGTATTTCAACAAAAAATAACAGTTTTATTCAACTTCCATTACACTAGCCTTATCAAATTGGTTGCAATACACAATGACGTGCTTCTTTAAATTCTCAAAATGAAAACTGACCATTTGGTAGAAATATAGCCTTATATCTGCTGAATGATCTCTCCACGTCACATGACGTGATGGGTGCATACTTAAACATGGTTAATTTAGTAATTGTGTAAGCCATGTCTACAGCCTTCAAAACTTCCTCACAGAATTTTGTTAATTTTTTTTAAGTGCATCAAATCCTTTATTGTTATCCAAAACATTAGTGGTGGGAACATAAATATTATGTATTTTTGTGAATATATGGATGATTGTGACATTTTCTTGTAAGATATGGACTTAACTTTGAAATATGGTAAAATATGGAAAAATATGGAAAATAAAAGTTGCTTTTTCACAGTCTATATATGACAATCCATGTAGAAAATTCATTCTAGACCGAAAATCGTGTAAATTAAAAATATGTATTTACATATTAATCCGGGCTCTAGTTATGAATGTGTCCATTAATTGAGGCCAGCTCGTTACTTTAACAGTGTTGTCAAACAAAACCCCATACAGTCAATGAATATTATAACACATTTAGTAATATACACTCATCATTTAATATATCAATTTATGATTGTACAAATTAAAGCTTCAATAATAAAATATAAAGTGAGTGATGTATTTGTATTGTTTTATTGTAATATAACACATGTTCACCTCACATATACATGAGCATGTTTATTAGTTGGAAAATGTGATCTAACTTAGATAGAATTAAGTGTGTCTGTTGAGTTTACACATCAACTTTTTTTTCAGAACATATGTTGGCAGCGAGATGAGTCGGTAAGGAGAGCATGTACTGCACGCAAAAAGACAACACAGAGACCTCTGTACATTAATGAGTAATGAATGTATAACAATTAAAAAACAAACAAAAAAAACAGATAATAAACTGATATTAGTGATGAAAATGAATAAGTTTACAAAATATTAAGAATGTTTTAATGAATTACATTGATCTATTGATTATTATAATAAATATTATACATTAACACATTACTTTTATACAGAACAAGAAAAAATACTTGTGTGACAAGTATAACATAACAAAATATATGGTATGTTATTGTTTCTTATCTTTGCCATAAAATATCAAATGTGCTCAACATGCCATTCTGACACATGTTACAAATATTTTCAAATTAATAAAATTGTTATGCCTCTCATATATTTAAAAACTAAACCGAGCCATTCATTACTAATTAATTAATAAAAATAACTCAATTGTCAACCATATCATCGTGATATTGTACTATCAATTATCTAATTATGGTCTGTTACTCACTCACTATGAAGGCACTGATTTTTTTAAACAAGTCCTTGAGATAATCAGATATCTATAAAATCAAGAGTATCATAAAATGTCGTACAAAATTATGAAAGGAAACAATATGAGAAATTTAAGTTACAAATGAAAAAACTGGAAATTTAAAAATCGACACATGTACTACAGGCCTCATATCAACGTAAAATATTTAAATTAAATAAACAACCACGAGTGTAATCATTAGTATCTCCAGCAATCATGAAACACGAGTTAACAGCAATTACTGAAGCAGGAGAATTAATAACCTTGACGTTTGTCTAATTATTTGGATTGTTTGGCTCCCACGAAACGGGTCGAGGGAGTTCGGTGGGCCACGAGGACTCCTGAACAAGTGACGCAACTGAGGCCTTCATTCATTGGGAACTGAGAAAGTGGGTGAAGAAGAAATCACAGTGAATAAATGAATATCAACTCACATTGGATCCATTACTTATGGTTTGAGATTTTGAAAAGCCATTTTGTACGTGTATTTTTCCATTTATATTTTTTTCACTATTTCCATTACATTGTACATTTTTGTTTAAACTTGTTTCTCTTAAATCAACACTATCAACTACCGCGGTGTCCACCATCCTCGCCGAACTAACCGCACTAAACGTCAATGTTCAAATGGTACTTTTGACATTTGAATTTCGTGTTTGTGAAGTCATTAGTCGAGACTGAAGCCTTCAGTCGACTACAACCAGTAAATGAAGCGCTAAGCGTCGCTCGTTAGCACTGATTGTGAACGGTCCGTGCCGCATTCGACGAGTATATACGTACAATATTGATTGACGCTGCAATGAAGCGCCGCAGCGCGGTTTTTTTAGTTGCCTCACTGCTTTATCGACGTAACATTCATGACTTTGAAGTTTAGCGTATGCGTTTAAAAACCTTTCCACAAGATTTGTATTTTGTTTATTGTTTTCTATTGTTATTTATTTATTAAAAACACATCGCGACATTTTTAAGTTTTTTATTTTATAATTAGGACTTCCCTTCAGTAAATTCAAGATTTCTGAAAATTTTCTTCGTCATATCTCACTTATCTGAAATAGTGGTCGGTAAAACAGTCGCCCTACTTTAGTTTGTCAATAATTTTTACACAGCCTTTCTATCCATATTAGTTTTGCCTTTTAGAAACTCGACTACTAGGAATTTATAAGATTTTTACTTTATTATATCATTCGTTAGATAATATATTCACCTCACTTCAAGTGTTTTTACATATTCAACTACTTCCTATAATCAGCCGGCATATAGTTCCGCCCCCACTACAGCCAACAGCTTAGATCGCATGCGATGAGTAATACCGTTTGTCGTGCTGAGTGACGTCGTCCAGCGGCAGCCGGCGAGCGGCGCGCAGAGCTCTCAGTTCGAAACTGAGGAGAGGCACGACAGGATCACCTCCGCACTCCTCATATCTCCTAATTTGAGTGACACCGCACCCACTATCGATTACTTCGATCTGTCTCATCTAGTCGCTACATATTAAATAAAAATGGATAGCTCGGACGGTTTAATAGGAGGGTTGGCGAGCGGCGACGGCGCGGCTCCGGCCGCCATGAAGCGGGACCAGGACTCCACGGACGACTTCGAACACTTGGATCGGGAAGGCAAGCGAGAGGAGGCGGACGAGGCGCCGCTCCTCAAACAGGACGCGGCGAGGCACGCCACACAGAGCTTCCTGGACATGGAGCGAGACGAGCCGGTGGACACGGCCCGGGCGCCCTCCGCCGCCGACAAGATGGACCACCTGGCCGACAAGTTCACGGACAGCGAGTCCGACGCGGACACGGCCGGGGAGTCGCCCCTGCATCTCCCGGAGCCCCCCAAGGCCGCTCCCTCACCGGCTCCTGTCCCTGAACCCAAACCCGAACAGAAACCCGACACACTGGCGGAGTCTAAGCCGCTCGTGGAACAACCTAAACCGGAGGCCAAGCCGCCGGCGGAGGAACCCGCACCGGAGCCCGAACAGAGGAAGCCGGCCCCCACACCGGTGCAGAAGAAGCAGGAGGAGGCGAGTCCTCAGCCGGCCGTACAACCCCCGCCCCAGCCGGCGCGCGCTCCGGCCGCTCACGTCATCGAGGCCGAGGTCATCTTCTGCCAGATAGGACTCGGTGAGTCGTCGATATCTTTTAAGTTATTTTTAACCGAACCATATGTTTATTGATCCGCTGCACGCCCCAAGGCCGCCCCACGCCGCTCGTTCTCTCAACTCCACTGCCGACGGTTCCTCGAAGGGAGCTGTTCATTCGATATCACGTTGTTTCCAAAATGTTTCCGCGGTCTGGACCGTTGCGCGATATTTTTTTGCTTATTTCTTGTGAATAGGTAACGGCGGATTGTCTCAGTGAAATTTTTATTCACATTTTAAATCATAAAAAACAAATGGAAATTTTGTGCTCGTTTACTATTACATGAATTGGATGTTAATGAAGCCTTAGAAATTCCCATGAAAATGAATACCTATAATAAGAATGCGTTCATCAAAGAGTTAGTCATGAAAGTGGAAAGTGCGAGGGGTGGGTAGGCTCGTGGGGATGGAGGGGCTGCTGGGCTCCCTCGAGTGGAACGGCGCTCGGAGCGATGACCGCGCACCAGCTAACGGGCCCGCGCGCTGCAGACACCGACTACAATGATTCATACACATCCTAAATACAACGATTATACGAATGCGCCACGGCAGCCGGCCACCGACCCCCTTCAAACTATTCACTTATATGAAATGAAAGAACGGCGTAATCGACAACATGCATATGCAACATATTTCTCAATAGTTAATCAGTCGTCAACATTAGTCATAATTGAGCATTGTTCTCGAAATGGCTTTTCGATCCATAGCGGGAGGTGTATGAGGTCACCCGGCAGTCACTCAGCAGTCGGCTGAAGTGATGATTCATCAGGCGTGTTATCTCTGTAGGCTCCGATGATAACGATAATGATAAACTGACTGTCGAGAACATCTCGTATGCTGGCCTGGTCTCTGTCACCCTGAGACTGTGTTCGGGAGACGTCACAGTCGTGTACACAGAGCGCGGTGCGTTTGTAGTTATAGGTATATCATAAGATGACGATTGTAGCATTGCTAATTATAGCTCGGATGTCGAGTCGCGAGCCGCGCGCCGGCAGCCTCATAAGAGCTTCACATTCCGCGGTGAGCTCACGTGGAGCTGCGGAGCTCCTCGACCGGACCCGTGTGTTCAGAGACGGACTGTGAGGGGACACGGACATGGCCTCGGCGGGAGACGCGCTCACTCGTAAGTGTCATGCTCTCGCTTCGATCCGACATACATACAAGTATAACCCGACGTGTTCGTCTCTCGTGACGTACGTGTGTTATCACTCATCTGTACCTCTCTCGGAGTCGACTTCTCAGTTTATCCATAAACATAGTCAGTCAGTCAGTGGTCCCCAAGGTCCCGTCCATATCCCGCGTCCAGATCTCAAAGCGAACGTGTTTAATGAATTCCGTGTTATTTTTATTCTCGACCGGCGCTCGCTCTCTTTCTGATCGTTATAATTGCATAGAAACGAATCGTTGTTTCGAATATAACGTTGCATGTTTTTGTTATTCATGTAGGTCTGTCCTGAAGGTGTACAACTTACAAGACGTTTGAACATAGTGACCGTAATAACCTGCATTGTATCGGCTATAAGTTTTAAACAGTATAGTATATAGTAGCGTGTGACACCTGCTCCTTCGATGACTCACCGACCCGCTTCCTTCCTATTTTTTAAGTACGTTTCCACCGGCTTTGTTTGTTAGTGTAACGTGACGGCTAAGAACATAAGCGATATCCATCAGTGTATCCCCGTACAATGGATGCGAATATTTTGATTAAAAAAAATTAAATTTATATTTCTTTCAATGAGAATACATTAATATTGTTATTTAAGAAATATTACCGATCAATATGTTACAATGATGATACATTACTAATCTTCTTCTTCTATCTTCTATATATATAAAAATGGATTGCTGTTCCTTAGTCTCGCTAAAACTCGAGAACGGCTGAACCGATTTGGCTAATTTTAGTCTTGAAATACTCCTGGAAGTCCAGGGAAGGTTTAAAAGGTGAGAAAAATTGATTCATTACTGGGAAAACCATAAAAACAGCCCTTTTCTATTTCCCATACAAAAGTTTTTTTTGACATTAGATTTGACAACTAACAAATATGTCAATTCTGTTTGATTGAAACAGCAAAAACCTGATTATTTATGGCCTGTAAGACGGAATAGAGTTCGACTGGTCAGCTACACCTACATATATTACTCTTGACCAAACTAACGCGGACGAAGTCGCGGGCAAAAACTAGTATTACATAAAACATTAGCCCACCCTCTGGGAATGAATAAATTGCTATGTTAGGAAGTGTTCTGGATACTTGGTGGAGACGAGGCAGGAGAACCTAGTTATAAAATATGTGGATGGGGTCGGAGGGGTTGGGGGTTGGGGGTCAGGAGGGTCGGTGGGTTGGGGAGCGGATCGATACGCGCCGAGTTCGGAGACGACACCGTCCGCCAGGTCATAGTTTGATAATGATGAATACAGTGTTCCAGTATTGGTCGCTCGGAAGCTCCTCAGGCCACCGGCCACGTGTGTTTAGTAAAGGAGGCGAGGGGTTGGTTGGCCGACACACCCTTGGAAACAAATTGATAGTTAAAATGAATGATTAGTAGTAGTCCGGTCAAATAATAACAGTAAGGTTACATAAATTCCCACCCAGCTGAAAATCATTAAGATTGTTTGAAATATCATTAAAAACAAAATTTGAAAGTTCCCTATCCTTCCCCTGTAAGGAAAAAATTTTATTCAAGGTCAAAGGTAAACAAAATGAGTTTTTCGCGATTTTCAGCAAAACGGTAAGTTTTATCATAAAAATATCTCAGACAAAAATTTAAGATCATAAAATTATCTACAAAGAATTTATTAATACTTTTATTCTACGAGCCACCGTTTTTGAGATATAACGATTCAAAAAGTTGTAAAAGTTGTAATCGTCATAATATGCACACGTTTCCTCGCCACCTATGAGGTAGTGTACTTAGCTTTTTTTTTGTATCTTCCCCAGTAGGTCTATTCCACGGGTCAGTTTTGATCTTGTTTAATTTGAAACTATTGATAAATAATTGATATTAGCAGAGATTGAAAAGATAAAAGCAATTTAAGTTAAAAAAAGTAGTAAAATTTAATCGTCCGATGTCGTATTTTTCAAAATTTTCATGTTCTTCTTCATCTTCATCTTGAGTGGATGTATAGTTGTAATATATGTAAAAATATTTGAACATATATTACAACTATAGAGATGTACGAGTATACATATACGTGGCGTACTCATGCATATTATGACGATTACAACTTTTTGAATCGTTATATCCCAAAAACGGTGGCTCGTAGAACAAAAAGTATTAATTAATTCTTTGTAGATAATTTTATGATCTAAAATTTTTGTTTGAGATATTTTTATGATAAACTTACCGTTTTACTGAAAATCGCGAAAAACTCATTTTGTTTACCTTTGACCTTGAATAAATTTTTTTCCTTACGGGGAAAGATGGGCAACTTTCAAATTTTGTTTTTAATGATATTTCAAACAATGTTACCGATTTTCAGCTGGGTGGGAATTTATGTAACCTCGAATGTCTAATTTGACCGGACTATAGTCCCTGCGGCGAGTATGCCAGTGTGTAGCTTACGACACGCGGTTTCTAGGATACAAGAACATGGGGTTGGAATGAAAACAGTGCCGGGAATTCATGTGACTCATTGGACATTTGTTTGTACCCTTTATACTGAGGGAGGGACATTACATACGTACTTTTCGTCATTCTCTCCCCTCCCCCTCCTCGCCCGCCGTCAATGGACGTCTTGTCAGTTTATAAGTATTTGATAACCAATATCTTTGAACAGATTGAATTAGCAATAACCCTTGAAGGTACTACCTCACAAAACGCGGTGGCGGGGGTGGAATTATTATAAATCATGATAGCCCATTTATTAGGAGGAACCGACTGTTTAAGTATCATAATATAAATGTATGTCTTACATTATTATTCAGCTCTGTTCTGGTGAATGGAAACTCATTACTGACTGACTGTCTAGAAAGATTATATATGTATAGAACAGACCATACAGCTATAAAGAGCTGCTGTATATATATCATGCTAGACGGTAAATGTCTGATTCTATCTTGTTTCTTATAGTAGTAATATTGATCTTCATAATATTATAACATATCCAACACCCCGACCAGCGACCAGTCAGTCCACACTACCAACGCCTGTCCTAATCAGTATCTATCGCTTGTATTGTGCATCCCTACATATGTATCTTTGAATCCGTTCAGAGTGTATGTCTGTTGGTCCCCTCGTGTCCTCGTGTCCCTCGTCCTTATCACGGGAACCTATCGTGATGTAGGTGTGTGTGTGTGTGATGACACACTATGTAACATGAAACAGTAACCAGGTACACTATTCGAGTGAACCGTGTCATGTAGAGTCAAAAAAATTTAATTAAGTGCTTCTGTTTTCTTTCTGATGACCACCCTTACATACATCTCTGTAACATGTTCTGTCCTGTGTACGTATTGCACCGGTATAGAGTTGTAACTTACATAACCACCTTCACATAGGAGGTCACACAACGAAACGGAAACACGTTTTTCAGAGGAATATGAAAAAAATAACAACTTTCTGAATTACCCTTCAAATATTTTGAGTTAAAATAAGTAATATACAAATTAAAAGCCAGTTCTCGGTCGTCAGAATTGTATTGAAGGTGATCGTTAATATCTGTTGGTGGTTTGAAGGTCTCATGTATGAGTCGTATCTTTTAGACGCGGGGTCCTTGACCCTCAACAATTCGTTCTCCGCCGACTGAACGCTTCAAACTAAGGCCGTCAATTTGGACACTGAATTATTTCGATGTTTAATCTAATATTTTCAGTTGCTTCTTTTCAAGTACAAGGTTCCCTAACTTTATCCCACGCTCTTAACTTCTGCTTTCTGCTGAGAGACGTCTTTTAATTCCGTAATATTTTTTAAAAGCCTTAACTAATGTCGTCATATTATATAAATCTGTTTTAGGATGTTTTTCTTCAACTCCTTTAATCTTCGATTTCATATATTAGTTTTCTCGTCCGTGGCGTGTTTCGTGAGTATAATATGGGAGTCGGTTATTTTTATTACATACTTTATTTAATGGTCGTCATCAAAAACTTTCGAGTCAACGTTACGTAAAAGGCGGACTTGGAGGACGCTTCGGAATTAATGTTTACCACATGACATAATGAAGTATGGAACACGTGTCATCCCTCAGGTTACCATATTTAAAATTTATATGTATGAGAGTGGCGACATAATTTATTTCTACAAGTATATAAAATCTACCGTTTGTAAACAATCAGCGACAATTGCAGTGTGTTATGTATTGCTCATGATATATATATACATGTGTGTATGTATGTCCCTGTTGTATGAATGTCAGCGTGATGGTTTGTATTATAAAACGCTTTGTGTTTCTGTCCGTGTATTCAGTATTATCTCTAACCTACTAATCTTTAAATGTCGCTTCCGAACCTCTTCTTTGGTGGTGGTGATGGTGGTGGTAGTGCAGCGGTATACGAGTGCAGATGCGCACTGATAGCGATTGACATTGCGCATGCGCCGCGGGGGCGGGTCGGGGGGGGCCAGGGGCGGGGAGAGGGCGGCGGCGCGGGGTGCGGGGGGAGCTGCGCCCCGGCCGCCAGTATCGACGCGAGGTTCGGGCGCGGCGCGCGCTAGGTTCGCGCATCCTTTAGGGTTTTAATATTACGTAAAAATTACGATGGCGGATACGGGGCCCACCCTCTGCAGCGTCCTCGACCCAAGTAAGTGTCGGTGGCGGGTTCTGTTCGCCTGTCTTTCTGTCTGTCGCCACTAACCCTCTAACTCGCAGCCCTCTCTTGCAGATGCTTGGTTCGACCCGCAAAGGCTACACCCCGAAGGTGAGTGAACAATAGAGCCGAGCCGGTAGTTCATTAATGGGCCGGGACCGTCCTAGGGTGGCGGGTGTGTGTATGTGTAGCTGCATGAGTTCATTGCTGGTCGTAGTGTATCGCGTGTGGTGAGCTCCCGTGGATCGATAGCGCGCGGCCGCCCCGGGTCGCTCCGGGCCGGCCCTGCGCCGCCTGCCACCGCGGCTCACCTCCCACTATAATAATCCCAGTCCGTTCTAAATGTATCTAACTCGACGGTCATCTGTTCGCTCGTCACAAACATCACTAATTAATTAATAGTTCTCCTCTGACATAGATATATCGCTTGATGAATGTCCACAGTCCGCTCACGTACCGCTGTGCTCTTATCGTTTAGAAGCGATAAAGTAGATAGTTTAATGATAATAATCATTTAGCTTTAACACGCTGTCCTTTCATTTCATATGTGAGTCCACGCCTCAGTCCATTCACACCCATGATCCCTGTACCGTACACCGTAGTGTATAGTGTAGTGAGTCTCCGGTTCCTTCATCACACTGGTAGTGTGTGTCGGTCCGCTGCCAGTCGCCGCAGCGGTCGCCTGTCAAGTGACAGACACAGCACGTGCCAAGATGAAATTAGAATCATTGTTCGCTAGAATGAAACTTGGAGTATGTCTGTTTGATGTCGATCAAGTATTATTTGTTCACACAGCCCCGTCCCCCAGCTCCGTGTCGGTCATCGACTCTATTGTTTCCATGTTATAGTCACTTCGTGTCAGATGGTGATTTTCCTTTTTCCTCTTGTGCCCTGACACTCCTGTCAGACGGTTCGTTTCCACTACATCACGTTGTATACCCTCGCCATTTATTATTTTATTTACATATTTGAATGGTACATCAACATTACATACATTAAACACTTAAAACTAAACATTTAAAACTGACACTTATCTGATGTGTGTACCAATTATAGACGTACACAGCACTGCTGAAGATTACTGTCTAGCTGCTTAATAATAATACTTATTGATTACAAAAATATTATAAAAAATAAAGATAACAAAGAAGAAAGAATATCACAAAACAATCAAAATAAACTACTACAGCTAAATTTTACTAACAGGACTTGACAAAAACATCAATATTTTGTGTTAATGCACACAGATCCACCCTACGTCGCTGTGTGTCCGTGTGTCCTCTACTCTATATTTTTTGCGGCGCCAGTCACTGCTTTGTTTTTTTCCGAAGTAATTCGATGACGCCGCCGGTTCTCTTGTGACACGACACCCAACGACCTTCAGTTATACTTTTTCATTTTTTACTTAGTCTTTAATAATTGATTAGTGTAGTATATATTAATGAAACCTTTTTAGTTCGTCCCTTATCTTCTGCACATGTTCCAGTCACTTTACATTTTTATTAATTTCTTTCTTAATTCTTCCCTATACTAATATCTCTCATACAGAAAATAAACACTAATTTCAATTGTTTAATAAGTGTTTCCATGGACGTGTCTTTATTTTTGTATGATCCCTATATGTAACATGTGTGTGTGTGTGATCCACGTGTCTGTTCGTCCTCGCTTCCTCCTCAGCACGACCTGTGACGTCATAGTAGTCGAAGTAGTACATAGTGTGTGAATTTTATTATGACACCATCGTTTGTTTGTTCCACTTTCCGATGCTCCATGTATAATCGGCATTGAAAGTTTCCATCCATTAGTATTGAATTAGTGACCGCTATCTAATGAATAGTCCACGGCTTCCCAGGTAGTGTATGAACATTACTACATCCCAGTACTTTTATTTATCACTCAGCATCTCTCGCCCTACCTCTACCTGAGTTTGTTCGCTCGACCTAATCTTATTTCAAATCCCACTTCTCATCAACTGTAATGCGTCGTATTTTTATTCATCTTCATAACTGCTCCCGTCGGTACCTATCTGTACATATTATTAATGAACTTCTTAAGGACTATTGTTCTATTGTTCTGTACGTGTCTCGTGGCCGCGTCACCGTACATCCTTATCATTCCTCTTCGTCTGCTTCTATTTCTGTTCTCCGCTCGATCGATCCACTGCTTTACTTTGTATCAAAGTGTAATTCGTTGTTGTTTATTACCAGAGACAAGTTTTTCTCTCACAAGTCCCACATTCTCGAGTATATCTTTATCTCTGTGACAACAACTGATAAGCATGTGTTCGTATCATTTATAAAGTTCTATATGTCGAGCGTCTGTTTTCTTTTCTATTTTCAATAACCTTTATAACTTAGTCTAACACATCTATATCCTACCGGTAATGTATATTTAACTATTATAATATTATTTTCCTCCATACCCATCTGTTGTCTAAACCCACTTCTCGCTCGTAGTTTGTAATATGACTCCATCGATTACTTTTTTAATGTCTTTCCCTGTCTCTGTAATTTCCATATAAAGTTGTTTTTTTTTATATATTAAATATATTATTAGTATTACTCGGGAGTGTAAGTAAATAGTCCGTCCCTCCATATAACTGTTGCTTCATGTTTCTTATTGTATGTATGTAGTTTTTTTAAACAATAATATAACGCGTAGTAATCCGCGAATCTTAGTTATAATTTATTATTAGTATTCTTTATAGTTTACTTTCTGTAATGACTTATCTATCCCTCCCGCAGACTCCTCTCTATTTCCTGATAGTCAAACTTAACTCGTGTTTGTTTAATGCGGACCACGTAACTTTTAACACTAGTGATGCTGATAGTATCGCGCCTGTGCTACAATAAATATATATTTTATATCGTAACCTTTCCGGGCGTCGCGTTACGTCGTCGGGCCAAATGGATGTAGTCATGTTAATGAGTCAGAATGTTTTTTCTCTGTCATGTACTCGGACCTGTATGTATGTCACACTTTATATAAGGTTGATATTGTTCGTGATGGCCGCAGTGCACCGCTCCCCCCCCTCCCCCTCCCCCGCCGCCGCTGCAGGCTCCATCGATCGAGGAACACTCGACATACATATCACATTTTAAACAACCTGCCAGCTATCCCTATCCCTGTCCTCACCCATCCTCTCCTATCCCTATCCGTATGTTCCCCGCGTCTCGTACTCTTGTTACATAACACCGCCTGACCTTCTTATCTTTAATGAGTCCGTCGCTCTGGTCTTTTGAAGGGCAATTAAAATACAATTAATATAGTCACATTCCGTTATATTAAATCTTCTTTTAAAGAAATTACATTTATAATACTTATTGTGTCTAAATTATACTCAATTATTTTTCCCCGCTATCAGTAGCCCCGCTCAGTGTAACGCCTGTTTATATATTTTAGCAAGACGAGCTCTTATAGTTTAGCGGTAATTTCTTATCAGTCCAATGATAACTTATCCCACGATTAGAATATCATTTTAAAGCTAGTGTATTTTACATGAGTGTGTCCGTTGTACACGGACGTCACATGTTCATGAGGCACGTTATAAGAGTCATATTATCGCAATTCGCAGCCCCGTATCTTTGGGTCACGACACGTCATCAGTATCGTGTCGTGTGGCCGTCCCTTGACCTACATCATCCTCGCTCGAGCCGCTCACTCTCCCCGGAGGACGAGTTTCGTTTTCTTCGATCTCAAACCAGTTCCCGGTCGTGCGTGTTGTCGTTGCCTGTATGTAATATCATATGATCGTGTCTTCCTGTGGTTCTTATAATGCTTCAATATTTGTATTATATATAACGTTAATGTGTTGTTGTATTGTTTATAATCCCCAGTCCACATCTCTTTCCTCAGCGTCTTTATATTTTCGCTCTATTCTTCGTGTTCTGTCGCGTCTTCTAGTATCTGTCTGTCATCTCCGCGGCGTCGTGTCGCTCACCCGATCTCCGTCCAGTGTATCTCGTTTCGTCCGCTGTCACCTGTCACCTGTCACCTGTCACTGTGTGTGTGTGTGCGTGTCGGCGGGCCCGGGCCGCGTGTCGGTGACGTGTAGTGTGTTGTGGCAGTGAGAGCGCTCACTCCGCCGCCATGGCCCGCCCGAGACAGTCGCCACGCTTCACCCCGTCAGTAGAGCTGCCGCCCCGCGGACCAGGTAGGGCTGCTGCTCGCCGCCACATCACCTCCGTGTCCCTCGTGTTCTCTCCTCCGTGTCCAGCTCGCTCTGAGCCGACCCTGTGCTGTTAACGTGCTCAACATATTGTTAATGAGTGTCCCGTTCAATGAAGATGTGTTCGTTTTTTATTTCATTTTTCATGAATCAAAGTATGGTTTATTATAAGTATTAAAATGTCGGTGAGTGTAGGCGTCCTGTTTCAAAGCTTTCTTTCCATTTCTTAGTCGGTGAATATGCTGGTGTCTCTTAATAATAATAGATGAATTATTATAAATTTATAACCAGTGTATTAATATGTCCTAACGTCTCGTCGCTAGTCGTTCAGTAGTGCGTGTTACGTGGGAGTTGTTTTCGGAGCTGGTACCGGTTCTCTGAGCCGCACTCGACGGATTCGTCTCGGATCCCGTTACTCGTTTCCATTCAACAAATCTGTTTCTTTTTCTTTAATCATTTCTTTTGTTGTTATGACCCTTGTCATCGTTTCTCTATTATATTCTACACGACCGTCTCTGACTCCTACATATTATATTTATATTATGTCGTCGTGTAGTTCTGTTTACCGCCCACAGTCGGAGGTCGCCACGTGTTGGGGGGGGGTGCACCACCATCAACAACCCTTCACTATGACCACACATTTCATCTCGTTCTAACGTCGGTCCTCTCTGTCCAGTGGAGTCCCTGATCTACTGGCGGTGCGCGGCGCGGTCGGGGGCCGCCCTGGGCGCCGGGCTGGTGCTGCTGGTGGCGCTCGCGTGCTGCTCGGTGGTGTCGGTGCTGGCGTACTCGTCGCTGCTGGCGCTCGTGGCCGCCGTCGCCTTCCGCATCTACAAGAACGTGCTGCAGGCCGTGCAGAAGACCAACGAGGGTCATCCTTTCAAGTAAGCACTGCGATCATTGTCAACTAGACTGTTTATGCCGCTGTGCTAACGTGTGTGTCTGTTCCAGATGGCTGCTGGAGAAGGACGTGAGTGTGTCGGTGGAGCGCGCCCAGTCGCTGGCCGCGTCCGCCACCGCTCAGCTGAACGCCGCGCTCGCTGAACTGAGACGGTGAGGACTCTCACACACCACACCCCCCCCTCTCAGAGTCGGTCTGTTCCGTGCCTCACGGTCGTCGTCATGTTCGCAGGTTGTTCCTGGTGGAGGACCTGGTGGACTCGCTCAAGTTCGGCGTGCTGCTGTGGTGCCTCACGTACGTGGGCGCCTGCTTCAACGGCATCACGCTCATCATCCTGGGTGAGGACCGTCCCCTGCCCCTGCTCCCTCTCGTGTCTCTCTGTCTCTCCTCCGCGTCTCTAACCCTGTTCTCTCCCGCAGGCTGGATAGCCCTGTTCACATTGCCTAAGGCGTACGAGATGAACAAGGCGCAGGTGGACGCCAACCTGGAGCTGGCGCGCGCCAAGATCAACGAAATCTCGGCCAAGTACGTACCGACCGTCCTGTCCTGTAACTACATACATAATAATAATAATAATATTTATTTGCTCTGAATGTAGGTACAGAATATAGGTGTACAAATATGTAGATTTAAGTTCCAGGTACATTCTACCATAAGGCATGCAAATATTAGGTTTAAATTATAAATTAACTATTCAATTAAAATTAGAAATTAAATTAACAATGCAATTATAATTATAAATTCATATTAAATGTTTTACAGATGAAAATTAGCAATGATAGATAGATACATGATTAAGTTATATATTTTATACATTTTTTATACATCAATTTCTTATAAAATTATGTCTTATCCATTAGATAATCATTTAGACTTGTTGACTAGTAAAGAAAACAAAAGTTTTTTAAATTTTACATAAGTTAAATCTTTTATTTCATTCGGTATTTTGTTATATATAGTAGGGGCCATGGTCAATATGTTCCTTCTCAATAAAGCAATTTTGTAGTTGCCTGTACATAAAAGATTATGATATTGAGACCTTAGGGGTTATCCATTAATCACGTGATCTTTTTTTAGCATTTTTTAACCCCCCCGCCCCTATTGGTGATATGTAGTGAGATTTAAGACCACCCCCCCTCCCCCTTCTCAACATCACGTGTATTTTTTTTTAAATATTTATAAAAAATATTTAATATTTGTTTAAAAATCGCGCGTTAGACAAAAAAATAAATACACGAGATATCTTACTACACCCCCCCTCCCCCTTGTGAAATTTTCGTGATTTTTATCAAACCCCTCCCCCCCCTTTCAAGCCTCACGTGATTAATGGACAGCCCCTTAGATTTATAGCGCGATTTTTCATATATCTTAATGAAGGAAAAAAGTGCTTATTTGTTTTCACAAAGACTGCAATTTCAAATATATATAAACAAGGAAATGTTAAAAGCTTATATTTCCTAAAAATCGGTATACAGCTGTCCGTGACCTTCAAGTTGAAAATAGATGTAAGGCATCGTTTTTGTGACCCTTAAAAATACTTTCGTACATAATATACATATTATAGTGTTACATGTATCGTTTGTGTTGTCCTCAGAGTGCGCGCGGCCGTGCCCCTGGGACGGAAGGCGGAGAGCGAGAAGGACAAGTAGAGCGGCGGCACGTGACGGCACAGCAGACCGGCCGGACGACACCACACACGACCTCTCCGCCCCGCCGGCTGTCTTATTCATTATTACTTGTATTCGATGAACACATTCATTACGTGTAAAGCTTTACGAGACGAGTCATGCGGAGATTATTGTATTTGCTTTTTGAAATTTTAAATTAAAATAATTGTCGAACTATGAGATGTTTCATTGTGGAGGCGCTCTCTGTTCTGTGCGTCTCATGTTCATAGCTTCCGCCGCTTGGCCCCTCTACCGGCTAGTTCCTAGTGTAAGCTGAAGCCTGCGCCCGAGGTCGATGACCCCGCAGCCTGTCTTGTGTAAATTATGATGATAATTTAAATTTTTATGTTGTAAATTGGAAATCTTTTGAAGAGTGAAATGGATACATTTATGTTTCGGTTATGAAATTAATATATATGTCTTGTTTTTATCTTAATAAAAGGTTGTATAATTTGAGATCATCTTTCTCTTGTACTCGATCACGGGACCATGGCGCGAGTGATCCCCTCCGCCGCAAGTGACGCCCGGGGTCGTACGTTGTATCACTGACGTAATGTCCTTGTATACCATATGTGCAAATAAGCACCGCTTGCCCCACCCATTCAACTAAACCTACATTGTTAATTCTTCCTTACATACTTTTAATCAAATGTTACGCAATACGAGTATCAACTGACATTTTATAATTGTCACTAGATTCATGATTTGCTAAAATTGTGATAAAATTGTTAAAAGTGCCATCTATGAACGTAAAGTAACATGTTTAATCGACCGCTGCTAGCCCCTAGCGCCGCCTATCAGCCACAGCGGCCGTAAGCACATTACTTGGTGCATACTCCAAATAAAATATATTGTCAAGGAAGATCTACAAAGTTCGATTTGTATGAAAAAAATATTTGCATTTGTAGGATTATTTAATTTGTTGTTATACTGTTCTCATATTTTTATTCGCATTTTGTTGTAACTGTCAATCTAAGCCCAAGTGAATAAGTTTTAATTAGTTAATGAGTGATTTTTTTAATGAATTATGGAAAATTATAGCTATGAGCTCTGCACTGAGGAATTGTGATTAACGAAATTAATTACGAGTACAGTTTAGATTTAAATGGAAAAAGTTATTGTTACTCGTTTTGATAAAAATAATAATCATAGTTGTAATTGGATAGAACGTTGTGTACACACAAATTTTGGTTTTTGTTGTTTGGTGTTATATTAACATTATTTAATAAATAATGTCTGGATCTCCACTCACTATTTAGATTAAAATATTTTTCTTAAAGCTGTCACCAAGCATGAACTATCAGAAACCACTGAGATGCTTGTTTAAAGTTCTAAACTTTTGGAAAAAGTATAATATAGTTTAAATAAGCAGTTTCTGTAACACTTTGAATGGCACACCGCGAAAATTGATGGGGATAGAAATGTTTTTAAACGTTTGGTCGATATAGTTTGCTTTCTAGGTAAACCGGAATTACCTTTCCGCGGTTCAGATGAACTTACTTTAACATTGAATACAGACAATGTTCATGATCTGTTGTTGATTTGTTAGCTAAGTTTTATGCAAACGTGGAATCCTATGTACAGTCAAGAAGAACTCTAAATGATATATGTTCTAGTGTCGATGAAACTAACGATGTAAGTTTTCATGAACAGCTCGTAACCGTTTTAATGTACTTTCTTGCCTCAGTAGTATGGATAGATATAATAATTTCTGCTCACTCCACTCCACATCTATGTTCACGCCCGTGCCTCTATATAATATTACATCCGTGGGGCGCTATGATTTAACTACGTGTGTCATGATGATGTCACGTGACGGCGCTAGTACCGACAGTACGTGACAAGAATACAAGAGGCACGAACTTAGACGCAGTTACATTTTGTAACTATAATGTACACTAATAAAAATATAACGTTGCTGATTGAGTAATCATAAGGAACAGGTTGTATAAACAGAATGATTCCCTAATATTAAAATATATTACAGAGGTAATATATGTATGATGAGGAGTGAAGGCGAGTGACGAAGGGATACGTACATCGGACTCGTACAAACTGCTGCTTGTACTAGTCCGTCCTGGTTCCCTGGAGCATCCTGCATCTTCCTAACCTGTAGGTACCTCTCAGTGTGTCATGTTCAAACAATATTTTAATCTAGTTAAGAAACATATTTCGGTATGGTTGCATCATATAATGTGTCTCGTATTTGTTGAAGCAAGGGAGTCAAATATAATTAAAAATAGTGAAGAAATCGATTCTTTTGTATTATTTATTGACCCCCCATATGTATACATATTTGTTCATCTTAATTGCGGCATTCACCTGCACTGACTATCGACATAATATATGAGTGGAACAAAAAATTTGCCTCTCTATATTAGTTAATAGATATTAACCTACATGTATATAATCACTGAATATACAGGGTGACTGGTGAATTACTATCAATATTTAAGGAGCATACTCGGTACATGATTCTCATTCGAATTATGTAAAAAAAATAGGTACTTAATTTTTGACCAAATTTCCGTATAAATAAATAAAGTGTGTACACGTTCCAAGTGTTCCAAGTGTGGACGCGTGCGGCGGCGTGCTGATACAACAACACGCCGTCGCGCGCGAGTGTATGTGTGTCTATGTATACCTAATCTGTAGGGTGTTCATACGATGCGTAATTAATTACATAACTTTTGGTTAACTTTACTTAGAAGTTTATTAATATTTATGTTATATTAATTTTTATTTTGTCATATATGATCGTCAAATATCACGTCCTCAAATATCGATAGTAATTCACCAGTCACCTTTTTAAATGGTGGTTCAAATTAACACTTGCTCATATCTAGTATTAAATACATGTACATACCTAAATAAATAAAATAACAAACTGGTTGCAATACCTTTATGATAAAAACATAATTTAGATGACAAAATCTTTGTCTCGATATAGGTTCCGACAGTGCGGGCGACATCTACAGGCGTCATTTGGTTTTCTATATGTATTATTCGATAATGGTGTATGTGTCGATAGCTTTTAAAACATAATTAAATTAAAGTAGAATGAAACTCATTAGAAAAGGAGGGGAATGTTATAAAAAATAAAAGGAAAAATAATTTACGGGCGATCTGAGGTCGAGAAGGGTATGGGGGTGGGTATTTAAGGGAAAAAAATGGGTTTTCTCGATTTCCGGCAAAACTCAAAGTCCTACGGAAAAATGTTATATAGCAGAGTTGTAGGTAATAAAAAGATCTAAAACTTTTGTACTAACATTTTTTACACATAACCTCAAAATTTATGTGAAAAATTCGAAAAACCAAGTTTTTGATTTTTTATTTTTATCTCTTACAAAAAACAATATTTTGTTACGAAATTTTGTAAAAACTTTCCTTTTGATATCCCAAATACACTGTAATTTATTTCATTAGAAATACTTATTTTTTCAGCTTATTTTGAATAAATATCAAAAAATCAGCCTCATTTTCAATCGAAAAATCACACGTCAAAATATTAACGTTTTTCAAAAATTTTGTGTGTTTTCTGTTCTTTGAAGTCTCTATTTCCCGATGGTGAAGAAAAAAAAATATATTTCTAACTTGCAGTACCATTTTTGGATAAAATAATCATATCCCTTTTTTAGCAGCTTAATGTCAAATTTCTGTAAATTACCTAAAAGAGGGACTATATGGAGAACTTCCAGAGTACACAACTATTAAAAATAAATTAGAAAGAGCATGTTCAAACCAATGTCGAGTGTCATTTCATTAAAAGAGAAATGATTATTTTATCTAAAAATGGTACCGTAAGTAAGAAACTTATATTTATTTCTTCACCATCGGAAAATAGAGATTTCAACGAACAGAAAACACACAAAATTTTTGAAAAACGCTAATATTTTGACGGGTGATTTTTCGATTGAAAATGATGCTGATTTTTTGATATTTATTCAAAATAAGCTGAAAAAATAAATATTTCTTATCAAATAAATTACAGTGTATTTGGGATATCAAAAGAAAAGTTTTCACAAAATTTCGTGACCAAATATTGTTTTTTGTAAGAGATAAAAATAAAAAATCAAAAACTTGGTTTTTCGATTTTTTCACATAATATTTGAGGTTTTGTGAAAAAAATGTTAGTACAAAAGTTTTAGGTCTTTTTATTACCTACAATTTTGCCATATAACATTTTTCATTAAGACTCTTAGTTTTTTCGGAAATCGAGAAAACCCATTTTTTACCCTTAAATACCCACGCCCATACCCTTCCCGACCTCAGATCGCCCGTAAATTATTTTTCCCTTAATTTTTATAATATCCTCCCCTTTTCTAATGGGTTTCATTCTACTATAATATATTTTCACTTTTCATCATTTTTTGAGGCATCTGCACTGGTCTAATGATGTAGTAGCGATTTATATACCTTTGTACGAATATTTAATACATATTCATATAATAAAGAAATTCAATTTAATGTTAGTAGCAGAATTTTTGGATAAGAGACCATTTAAATGTTTACAAATAAAAACATATTATTTTTGAGTTTTTAAAAAAATAATTAAGATACATACCTTAACTTGTATAAGGTTACATTGCTTATTAAAACGCTGTTTGTTTTGAACTTGGATAATAATTTGAATACATTTTTTATGCTATGGCTTCATTCGCACAGGAATCGTGGAATTTTTTGTCAATGTCAACGTATTTGTGCAGAACTTAGCCTTGTCTTATTTTTTCGCATTTACGCACCACACAGTATTGCTAATTATTTTAAGCAGGAGTTTGATATATATCATGTTATTTCACTTTTTTTTCAATTATCTGTTTAAAATTGTCATTAACTCTTCCTGCTTGGCCGCAAAAGGATCAGTTGCAACAAATTTTATAAAACTTTAATAAGGAGTTTCATTTTTGAGACTACATTGTGTACAAAATTGTACAGAACAACTAAAATCAGTATTTATTCTTTGGACGAATTATAATCTTGAG